GTTATAATCTGGAAGAAAATATGACGGTCGATGCAAATGAAAAACCTGACTTTAGGAGAGGACATTATGGCAACCTTAGAAATTTTTTTAGTGAGTATAATTGGACAGACTTGTTGCTAGGCAAGGAAGTGAATGACATATATGTCAGGTTTTGTGAAATATATGATAAAGGCACAAAAAAATTTATACCAAAACAGAGAAACAGAACTAGGAAGCAGGATTGGTTCAACAGAAAGTGCGAGAGGGCCAGAGACCAAAAGACACAAAAATGGAATCAATACAGGAAGAGGCCGAACCCCCAAACATACCAGCGATACAAAGATGCGAGAAACAAGTACACGGCAGTGAGGAGAGAGGCAGAAAGAAATTTTGAAAAAGGGATTGCAGACAAATGTAAAACAGAACCAGGTCTATTCTATAAATTCATAAACAACAAATTGCAGGTAAAGGATAATATTCAGAGGTTGAAAATGGGAAATAGATTCACGGAAAATGAAAAGGAAATGTGTGAAACATTAAACGAAAAGATCCAAAGTGTGTTTGTACAAAATGAAATCTTCAGGGAACCAGATACAATAAGAATTCCAGAGAACAACATAGAGCACATAGAGGTGTCTAGAGACGAGGTGGAAAAAATGCTCAATTAGCTAAATAAGAACAAAGCAGTTGGTCCAGATGGAGTTTCACCATGGGTTCTGAGAGAATGTGCACCTGAGCTCAGCATTCCTCTTCAACTGATTTTTCAGGCATCCCTGTATACAGGAGTTGTAGCTGATGTGTGGAAAAAGGCTAACATAGTTCCAATCTACAAAAGTGGAAGCAGGGAAGACCCCCTTAATTATAGACCGGTATCATTGACAAGTGTAATAGTCAAAATATTGGAAAAAATAATTAAAACTAAATGGGTAGAATACCTGGAGAGAAATGATATAATATCAGACAGACAGTATGGTTTTCGATCTGGAAGATCCTGTGTATCGAATTTACTCAGTTTCTATGATCGAGCAACAGAGATATTACAGGAAAGAGATGGTTGGGTTGACTGCATCTATCTGGACCTAAAAAAGGCTTTCGACAGAGTTCCACATAAGAGGTTGTTCTGGAAACTGGAAAATATTGGAGGAGTGACAGGTACACTTCTAACATGGATGAAAAATTTTCTGACTGATAGAAAAATGAGGGCTGTGATCAGAGGCAATGTATCAGACTGGAGAAATGTCATAAGTGGAGTACCACAGGGTTCAGTTCTTGCACCAGTGATGTTTATTGTCTACATAAATGATCTACAAGTTGGTATACAGAATTATATGAACATGTTTGCTGATGATGCTAAGATAATAGGAAGGATAAGAAACTTAGATGATTATTATGCCCTTCAAGATGACCTGGACAAAATAAGTATACGGAGCACCACTTGGCAAATGGAATTTAATGTTATTAAATACCATGTTATGGAATGTGGAATAGGAGAACATAGACCCCACACAACCTATATATTATGTGAAAAATCTTTAAAGAATTCTGATAAAGAAAGAGATCTAGGGGTGGTTCTAGATAGAAAACTATCACCTGAGGACCACATAAAGAATATTGTGCGAGGAGCCTATACCACGCTTTCTAACTTCAGAATTGCTTTTAAATACATGGATGGCGATATACTAAAGAAACTGTTCACGACTTTTGTTAGGCCAAAGCTAGAATATGCAGCGGTTGTGTGGTGCCCATATCTTAAGAAGCACATCAACAAACTGGAAAAGGTGCAAAGACACGCTACTAAGTGGCTCCCAGAACTGAAGGGCAAGAGCTACAAGGAGAGGTTAGAGGCATTAAATATGCCAAAACTAGAAGACAGAAGAAAAAGAGGTGATATGATCACTACATACAAAATAGTAACAGGAATTGATAAAATTGATAGGGAAGATTTCCTGAGACCTGGAACTTTAAGAACAAAAGGTCATAGATTTAAACTAGCTAAACACAGATGCCAAAGAAATATAAGAAAATTCACTTTCGGAAACAGAGTGGTAGACGGTTGGAACAAGTTAGGTGAGAAGGTGGTGGAGGCCAAGACCGTCAGTAGTTTCAAAGTGTTATATGACAAAGAGTGCTGGGAAGACGGGACACCACGAGCGTAGCTCTCATCCTGTAACTACACTTAGGTAATTACACACACACACACAAGAGTTCTTACATCTTTGCACTTAGCTGGAAAGCATTATTATTGTTCTCGTGAGGTAAGTACTGTAGATAGTATTCAGTTTAGCAACACACATTGATGTAGCTTGTACACAGTTCTTATAGTTTTGGGAATGTTTGACGTTTTTCAATGTTTAACTCCTTTCTATTCCAACTTGAACCATTTCAGGATAAACATCTCCTTGAAATGCTCTAGCAACATTATTTAAAGTAATTCTGCCAAGTCTTTGTTAATTTTGTCTGTCATTAGTGAACCCAATGCTTTGTCAGGTACAGAAGGGAGTGTATTTACCTGAATTTACCTAAGGGCCATTACATTTTTCTTTTTCTTTACACAGTTGGGTACAGGAACAGACAATTGCTGACTCCTATTAGCAGGCCGAGAGATTTTCCGATCCCATAGTTGATGGTAAACCTTACCCACTAGTTCCCTGGAATATGACCCACCAATCATTTAACAACCAAGTACCCAATCACTCCTGGGTGAACAGAGGTATGGAGTTAAGGATCGGCACCTAGTCAATCCTCCCCAGCCAGGATACGATCATAGGCCAAATCGCTCGCGAAACACGGGGAGAATCTGTTACCACTACACCTTGATGAGGACAAGAAGCCGGCAGCTTGTCAAAGGTCCCCCCTCGATTTGTCTTGATGATTTTATCTATTTGATCTTAAATTGCATCAGTGTTTGACATTTACAGATTCAGCGGGTAGGCAGTTCCATGGGTTTTAAACCCTGATGCATAGTCTAGTACAGAGGGAAGTGTATGGTGAACCTAATGTCTGTTACAGAAGGGAGTATTTGGTGGACCTCATGTATAGTTTAGTATGGAAGGGAATGCTGACAATGAATATGAACACAAGTGTCTTCTATGCCTGTTCAAAAGAAAACTTAACTTTACCTCCAACATTTTAAACCGAGAATATATTCACTTTAAAAGAAGAGTTCTTACCCTCCTTCACATCCTGTATGGCATTAATCATCTTTTCAAAATGTTGTTTTCTCACTTGTGCCTCGAGAGCCACACTCCCAGCCAGCTGTGCACATGTCCTGATGTACCTGTCAAAAAGGAGCATAGAAATTTATGTAAAACTAAAAAGATTAACCCTTTAACTGCGCAACGTGACTGCAGGCCCTGGCTTCGGGTGTGCAACATGCCTCCGGGTGTTTCTATTTTTCATGTCCAGTTTAAAAGTGGCGCACGGTGAACGCAGGTATGGAATGGATGGCTGGGGGCCCCAATGATCGTCCACCATCTTGAAAAAAAATCCCAGCATGCCCCGCGGTCGTGAGGAGCCCCAGTTCCTAAGCAGCAACCATGTCTGACACATCGTCAACGAGCTCCCGATCAACGGTGACCTGCGGTCATGGAAAACGACTCTCTGAGGAGGAAATTCGCGATATAGTGTATGACGACGGTGCTATGGATGATGACCTGGACTATGATCCAGAGAAAGATCTGACACAGAGGTCTGATACAAGAGAGGGGGAAACAGAAGTGGATGATATGGCGAGCGTGTACGGTACACCCTCCTCACCCGGCCTGTTTCGCCACCCTGGGTCAACACCGTTATCATCACTACCATCATGTATGTACCCAGATAATAGTTCATTATTCAGTGACAGTACATGTGACGAATCTTTCTCGGGGTTCAGCGACATTGGCTCTGATACGAATAGTGTGGACGACCCCAGTACTAGCAGTGGGGGTGGTACCAGGCGGGGTTTTGCTGCCTCAGCAACACGTAGAGGCAGGCGGCAGCGTGTCTCCCAGCATGACGACAGTGGGCTCTCAACATCAGGTGTTCGTGGTAGGCCTACAGTACGGAAATCTGCCTCAGCACCAAGCATACCCTCACGCAGCTCCAGCAGCAGCAGCAGACGACGTAGCAGTGGTTTTGGTGCACAGCGTGTCGCCCGTAGGGGTAACAACTACGGGAAGCCCGGGCAAGGTGTTGTTAACCGGTTAAACACCCAAAAATAACAAAGGGGTAGAGGACAACACTGAAAACCCCTGCAACGTGTACAATCATGGGGGCCTAGCAAAGGGCCAACAAACACTACCAGTGGAACTATAACCACACTAGGCAGACCCCCATCAGGCAAATGAAAATAAAAACTAAAGAAAAACCCCGCTAAAGTACACCGTCTCCAGAGGAAACAGGAACCGGTCGCCGCTTAGGTGGCAGGTCGCACAACACCCTGACGCCCTAACCAGCTCAATACCAGTTCCTACCCAGGGCCAAACAAGGGCCCCAAGCCCCAGCCAGGCATTTGAACCTGTTCCTCCAGCCGTGTTGTAAGAGTCTGCCAGTGGGCTCCCTTCCTTAGTGTTTTTGCGGCTGCCCCGGTTTACTGGTACGGCCGGGGCTTCGAGGGGACGGCTCGGCCCCGGGGCCTGTCGTGTAGGTTCCCGGGGCTGGGGAGGGGTGGACCGGGGGGGCCTCGGCTTGGGGGTTTTTCTCCCCCTCTAGGCGAGGCTTGTGGTTATGCGTAGTGGGGTTTTTCCTCCCCACTCGCCGTACGTGTTGTTGGGCGTTGGCCTCTCCCCGGGCTTGGTTCCTTGGCCTTCGAGTCGGTTGGTTCCGTCCTGTGGGTGGATGCTCCCCCCCCCCTTTTTTTGGGACGGTGTCTTCGTCATGTTTCCCCGTTCTTGGGGTTCTACGTGACTTCTGGTTTCGGGTGCGCCTGTGCCTTTGTGTGCCTTCGGGACTAGTGTTGGCTTCTGTGTTCTCGAGGGTTCGGGAAGATTTTCGCTACTTCCCACGTTATTGGAACGTCTGTCGGCTCCTCGTCTGGATCACTGTTTTGGGCTGCTTGTGGCCCGGTTGGGCTGCTTGTGGCCCGGTTGGGCTGCTTGTGGCCCGGTTGGGCTGCTTGTGGCCTGGTTGGGCTGCTCGTGGCCTGGTTGGGCTGCTCGTGGCCCGGTTGGGTTCCCTTTTGGGCTCTGTCTTCGCTTCGTTGGCCGGTTTTGTTGTTCCTGCTTCCTCTTTTGGCTACTTTTCTAGTGCAGTAGTCCTGGTTGGCGCCTTCCCGCAGAGCGGGTTGTGCGGTTCGGCCAGTGTGTCATGCGCATGCGCCATGGGGTTTGTTTTGGTCTGGGCAGTGTGTTTCAGTGCTGGTGTTTTGCGCCCTTTTTTCTCAAGTGCTTCCTGGTTGATACCTGGTTGATGGGGTTCTGGGAGTTCTTCTACTCCCCAAGCCCGGCCCGAGGCCAGGCTCGACTTGTGAGAGTTTGGTCCACCAGGCTGTTGCTTGGAGCGGCCCGCAGGCCCACATACCCACCACAGCCCGGTTGGTCCGGCACTCCTTGGAGGAATAAATCTAGTTTCCTCTTGAAAATGTCCACGGTTGTTCCGGCAATATTTCTTATGCTTGCTGGGAGGACGTTGAACAACCGCGGACCTCTGATGTTTATACAGTGTTCTCTGATTGTGCCTATGGCACCTCTGCTCTTCATTGGTTCTATTCTACATTTTCTTCCATGTCGTTCACTCCAGTACGTTGTTATTTTACTGTGTAGATTTGGTACTTGGCCCTCCAGTATCTTCCAGGTGTATATTATTTGATATCTCTCTCGTCTTCTTTCTAGTGAGTACATTTGGAGGGCTTTGAGACGATCCCAATAATTTAGGTGCTTTATTGCGTCTATGCGTGCTGTATATGTTCTCTGTATTCCCTCTATTTCAGCAATCTCTCCTGCTTTGAAGGGGGAAGTGAGTACTGAGCAGTACTCAAGACGGGACAACACAAGTGCCTTGAAGAGTACAACCATTGTACTTCGCCTCTCGCTCTTCTCCCTTGCTCCGGTATGTGCCCCTTCGCTCTGGGGGTGTCCTGGTTTCCAGCTGTGGGGAGGACGCCGAGGTTTTCCCTGTGTCTTGGGTGTGGGCCGCCTCCTTCGCCTCTACCCTGCTCTCCTGCGGGTCCAGCTCTGGCTTCTTCACCTGGCGGTGCTCCCAGGATCTTCTGGGCACTGTTGGGTCATGTCACATTCGTGCCTCCGTTCGACAGGTGAGTTTCTGTGGTCTGGCGTCTTTTGGCCGGGCGCTGAATGCGGAGATGTTTATATACCTGTCTTTATTTAGGTATATTTCGGTAAGACTGAGACCATTCGCACACCAGTGACTGTCCCTTTTTCAACCCTTCCAGTCCCACTTATATGCATGTCCAACCCATGCTAGAGTCATTCAGGGGACCCACATTTTTTCGTGTTACGAGGTGTGTGGGTTGTGGTGCTGGTTATGTACTCACCTGGTAGGGCTCTCCTGGTTGTGCTTGCGGGGGTTTAAGCTCTGGCTCTAGTGACGTGTTTCGCGGTGGCGTGTCCTTGTTCCTGTGTCCGGTTGTGGTGTGGCACTTTGCTGCTGTTTTGTGCCTAGGGTTTGTGTATGGGGGTTTGCTTGTTTTTCGTGATCTTCAGGTCCCTGGCTTGGCCCTCTCTTGTGCATGGGGTTTTTCTGTCCCTGCCTGATTGTCCACCCCTGGTTGTTTCCTGGGGTTTGTGCTTCACCTCTTTCATCCTGCCTCTCCCCAGTCGTTTTCCTGGCATTTCCTTTGGTCGGTTTTGCCTGCATTTGCTGCTGTGGGGGGGGTCGGTTTCACCGCTTCCTTTCCTTGTGCGTTCCCTTGTTTCCTCCTCTGCCGCAGGGGTGTTCTGCGTGCGTTCCTTGGCTTCTTGGGCGTTCTTTCAGTCTGTGTCCTGTGGTGCGCTTATTTGTCTCGGTCTGTTGCAGTTGCTTGTACCCCTTGGTTCGGGTACTGTTTCTGGAGGCAACCCTTCCGCCTTCTTCGGTTTCCTGGCTTACCCTACCGGTTGGCTTTTCGGGGTCTTGCGGTCTCGCGTCGAACCCGTCATTTCTGCACTCCTGGCGGGCTTGCTTGCTTTGGGGAGGTTTCTGTTCGGCAGACGTTCCATCTCCTTGTGCCGCCTGGGTTTCGGTGGTCGCGCCCGAGATCTTCCCGCGGCTCCGCCTTTTCCTGGGCTCGGAGGGGCCTTGTCGGGACTGCTTACATTCTGCCTAGCAGTCTCGCCTCCGGTTGGTGGTCAGGTGGCTTCGTGGTAGGTGTCCCACCTGCGTACTTCTTCTTGGCGGCAGTATGGGGTAATTTGGCTGTCCTTCCTTTTCCTCCTGTCCCTTCTTAAGTGCCTGCAGTTGCTAGCGTCGGCTTGGTTTTCTGGTGGGGGTTGGGGGCCGTCGTCTTGCCACATACTGTCGCCTCTTTTCGTGCGGCGCTGACGGATCCGATTCGGCTTGCTTTCGGTCTTGGTGTTGCTTCTGCACCGTTAGTAAGCTGTCTCGTGCGTTGTTTCACCTCCGGCCTCTTCATGCGCCGCTTGCACTGTCCTGGTCTCTGGTCAGCGTGCTCTGTCTTCTCCTTGGTTGGTGGTGCCCCTTCGGTTCCGGTTTGTTTTTTCGTCGGCTCTTTTTCCTTTTGGCATTTGCCTCTGGGGGTCGGGTCGCTGAGTTTCTTGCTCTTTGGGTTTTAGTGTTTTGGTTGTTCGGTGGCAGCAGTCTCCATCTTTTCTGCCATGGGGTGGGGCTGCTGCGTTCTGGAGGGGTCCTTGGAGGACCCAAGGAGCCAGGAACAGGGAGGGAAAAGGGCGAACAGCACCTAACCAAAATGGGGCGGCCCCGGGGCATCCGAGTGGGAAACCAACCTAGCGCATTGCAGCACCCTAAACCAAGCTTGCAACGCGGATGCTGCCTGTACTCTTCTGATGTTATTATTAACAGTAATAACATCACGAGAGTACTGGAGAACAAGCCGAGAACACAACTCACAAGACTCCGGGTCAAGATGTCAGTAACCCCAACAGGCAGCATGACGGAGGTAAAAGTAGCGACTGTCACCCGGAGACAAGGACACAGCAACCAACGAACCCGCACAAGACGGGTTGGAACCCGGAAGACACATTCAATGGTCTATTGACCCTCGACAGGGTTTTCCAGGGCCCGTAGGGTAACAACTATGGGAAGCCCGAGCAAGGTGTTGCTAACTGGTTAAAAATCCAAAACTAACAAGGGGTAGAGGACAACACTGAAAACCCTTGCGATGTGTACAATCATGGGGGCCTAACAGAGGACCACCAAACACTACCAGTGGAACTATAGCCACACTAGGCAGACCCACACCAAGCAAACGAAAATAAAAACAAAAGAAAAACCACCGCAAAAGTACACCGTCCCCAGAGGCAACAGGAACCGGTCGCCGCTTAGGTGGCAGGTCGCGCAACACCTGGACGCCCTAACCAGCACAATGCCAGTTCCTACCCAGCGCCAAGCAAGGGCCCGAAGCCCCAGCTGTCCCCAAGGGCGAGGCAAATGCCGAGCAACAAGAACCTCTACGGGAATGGTTCCCGAACGCCCCAGGGAAGATAATCCTGTCACGCAGGGGCAGTACTCACAGGGCACTTAGGGAAGGAAGCCCTAAGCGCATGCAGCCCCGGTACTGATGAGGAACACCTGGCCACCGCACAACACAACACACGGCAGTGAACACCACGAAAGGCAAACACTGTCTATTAAACTGAGGCCAGAGAAACGTCTGTCCCGGTTGACATTAGCTTACAAACTGGAGCTAGGCAACCAGCTCAGTGAGGTCCGGGGCGCCCCCTCCCCCTCTCGGGGTGGGGAGGGCTGCGCGGACGATCGGCGCGGCAGTAAAGTGTGATGTTTGCTTGTTTCCTTGGGATTGTAGGGAGTTTCTACCTCTCTGTTCAGTTTTTCTGTTTTAGTTTTTTACCATGTGGGGTTTGTTTTGTTATGCCTACCTTTCTGGGTGCCTGACCCCAGTCGATGGCAGAGAAGGAAAACCCCAACCACAAGGGGGTTTTTTCAGGGACATTGCTTCCTGAAACCTCTCTGAAGGGTCCAGGTTCTGGCGCTGGTCCCTGGTAGGTCTGAACTCCTTAGCTAATGTCCCTGTCTAATATAACATACATTAGCCTGTTAAGCTCCAGGGAGCCCCAGGGGCTCCCCACAGAAAACAAGCCTCTTTGGATAGATGTTTAGTGAGAAAAACAAGCAGTGAGTCACAAGCAGGTCCTAGTGGTATGCAGGCAAAACATACCAGAGAGAGTACCATAGAAATTAGTCATCATTGCCTGATGTTATAATGGAAGGGGACTCCCCCTTCCAAATATTAACATCTCTCCTCTTCCCCCCCCCCCCTTCCTCACCATCTTCCATATGCCAACAAGAGTCCTCAATAAAGGTAAGCAATAACTTGTACATACTTTAGGACTAAAGATTTGGGTGAATTAGGTATAAAATTTACTTTTAAGTTAATATTTTTAGGATTGTGGAACGGATTAATTAAATTGATATTATTTCTTATGGGGAAATTCGCTTCGGTATGCAAATTTTCGGGTTAAGAACCGTCTCTGGGAACAGATTAAATTCGTAAACGGAGGTACCACTGTACTTACAGGGTATCTAGGAAAGAAGGCCCTAGGCACATGCAGTCCCAATACTCCAGGAATTACTCCTGGCCCCGCACACCAAAACACAGCAGAACAACACAGCAAGGGCACAGCACTGCACAGAGACAGGAGCCAGAGTCGAACAACCACTACTCAACACATCAGCATCAGAACTGAGGTTGGATGGCTGGTGCGGGAGTCTGAGAGTCCTCCTTCCCCTCCTGGGGAGGGGAGACCTGCGCAGACAGCGGCGCGGCGGCAGCGGTTGTGACGTCATGCTTGTTTGCTTGTTTTCAGATTGTGTTGCACGGCTTGATAGTTCAGCTTTCGGTAGCAATTATTAACCAGGTGGGGTTTGCTTTGGGATGCCTACCTTTCTGGGTGCCTAGCTCAGTTGATGGTAGACAGAATGCTTCCAACAATACGGGGGTTTCACCAGGCCATTGCTCCTCGTGCCTCTCTGAGGGGGGGGGGGGGGGCAGGTTCTGGCTCGTGGTCCGCCGATAGGCAAGAACTCCAATCGAACAGACTGATGCCATGGTCTAATACATACATATCAGCCCGGTAAGCTTCAGGAAGCCAGAGGGGCTCTCCACAGAAAACATATTTTTGTTAGGTTGATACATTGTTTGTTTTCAATATTGACCATACTTTTGCTCAAACTCAAGTATTTTACATTTCAAAGCAATAAGGAGAGGCATCCAAGATATTGAGCGGAAACCTGTTGGAAAAGAGCTAGGGTATCTCTACTAGGGTATCTCTAGGGTATCTCTACTAGGGATACCTACAAAATGTGAGGTATCCCTAGTAGAGATACCCTAGTTTTTCCTGGTGTCATGATCAATGAGATTGCAAATCCACAATGCAATGGAATCCAAATGCATAGCCATCTTGGAAGAGAAAAGTGGAAAGACAGGACATCAACATGTTGAATAACTTGCTGCAATATGGACAAGAAAATACCAGTTGAAAATGATTGGAGAAGCTCACAGTAGATAAAGAAAAATTAATTAGAATTAACAAGTGGATAAAAGAACATTTGCTAATTTTTGTTTCCAAGAAAGGATCTTGGAAAAAGCTTATAAAATTTGCAAGCAGCCAAGAGAATGTTGTGATGGATGATAATTCCCACTGTCAGGGACAGAAAGCTTGCATCAAAGCTTATCAAGGTGCCTCTAGGCCAAATACTTAACTTTTTCAGGTTGCAACCCACAACAGTTGCCTAATGCCCAGGTATCTATTTTACTGCTAGGTGAACACAGGCTTTATAGGAAAGGAAATGTACCCAACCATTTTTGTCCAGTCTAGGGATCGAACCTGGGACCCCTTTGACTGTGAGCCAAGGACATAGATTACAGAGCTACAGGACCCATAAAGTAACATCATAAAATAATAAAGGTGGTGTTGGATAGCATAACACAATAAATGTAACAAATGAGAAACACGAGTTACTACAGTATGTTGATTGCTAACTCTACCTTGTACCAACTCTACCAAGTACTAACTCACAGGAAGAGAAAATTATAGGAAGCAAACATGCACTTTAAAAACTTTAGGGAGATGTAATTGTGTTGGTGGTGAGTGTCTCACCTCTCCAGATCATTGGTGTTGAGATAACATTCTGCAAGATCCAGGTGTGTCTGAGCAGCCAGCAGCAGCCAGCCCTCTTCCAGGAACATGGTCAATTGATCGGTCAAGAATGTTGCTGCTTTCTGGGGTTCTCCTTGAGCCATGTAATAGGTGGCCAAGTCTCTGCCGATGAGACGGGCCGAGCGGATACGACCAATGTGTTTGTATGTGCTGATTGCGACTTCAGAGAGATCCTATAAAGAATTATATACAGTATATGAATGAATAAATTAATACAAATCATAAATAACTGAACTCTTCAAAGCTACATCACTTCCCAAATTAAATCCACTGTGACACTTTTGATTACAGCAATCATTAAACACTCAGCTTCCTTGCCTATCTATGAAGCAATATAGTACCATCTCTACATGACTCCATGCACTCGCACAGCTTGCCTTGGCAAACCAACCTCGTCAAATCCTACAATAGTTCTGATTCTGTTAAACATCTAACTTTCTATCTTTACTCCAAATCTCAATAACAATCTGCACAATTGCTGCTCAAGCCTTCAGCTTATACAGTGGTCAATGTGTGGTTCCTAACTTATCACCACCTTCCTACAAACAAAAGTGACTGTATACTAACACTATTGCCAGCATCAAACTACTTTTACATTGTTGTTCCTAGTGTTAAGAGTTTGCAGTGTCCAGGAAATAAAATCAAGCAACAGAGTCACGTCTTGACCTAAATTTCCAGTGTCGGTGACTGGAAACCTTCACTTAGGCTTACCAAGGTCCTGATCTTAACCATGAGGCAACCCACAACAGTTGACCTGCCCGGGAACCACAGTGCTGCGCCAAGTTTATTGTGACACTCCCCTGGTACGCATGAAATAAAGTGTTCCCAAAATATTATTTTTTCTTCGTAAAATGATAAATTTTCTTCCCTGAACATGTCTATGTAAAAATAAATACCAAATTCCACTTACTTTGGCTGTGGGGACGTGGACAAGGTGCGCTGTGACGTCATCAGGGCCTGGTCGCCCGTGCGTGAATCGCCCAGACACGGTCGCGCGGGCCATTCAAGCACCAGGTGTTGCCACAAATATATTTTCAATTATTTGTTTTATGTATTTCCAATGCGGTTTTATTTATTTTTTTTATCGTATATGATGCATATTTGTGTCCTTTACAATATGTATACAGTAGAACGTTCATAATGTTCCCTGGAACTGTGATACATGTGTCAGTAATGTGTCCACAATAAATGTTTATTGTCGCAATATTACCTGTTAAAAATTCACTAAAATTACAATATGTACAGTTTCACACACTATTTACACAGTAACACACTGTATTACACACTCAGTACTTCGGAAGTGAGTAATAATCAACGAAGTAGTCCATGGTACACAGCGCGACTTCGCTCTCAGTGCACCAGGTACAGATAAATTTTCGCTTCCTGTTTCTTCATTCTGTGTGCTTGCAAATAACGCACTCACGTACACCCTTGGCTTTAGTACTTGTAGGTTGTATGTAGCCAAGCTTGTAAAGCATAAGGTAGTATTGAAAAGATTATAGGAAAAGATCAATTTGTAAGGTAGTCTTGAAAAGATCGCTTTGTATGGTCCCACACAGGAAGAGATTCAGCTTGCCTCAAAGAGTGTCCGTCAGTTAGGAAGAGATTCAGGTATTCTTGAAAATATCTATGGAAAACACCACCATGGAAGCCGCTAACACTGTTCATCTATGCTACTTGTATCAGATGCATCATCACTGAATGCAGAAAACGATTCATCTATGTATCATCTAAATAAATTGGAGATAGCATAGGATTGCAAGGGTGACGCTCAGAGCTACAACTGGATACGCTCGCTGTATCGTCCTCATAGGTGCTGTATCACTTGCATCCGACCTTTGTGTTAGGTCCTTATTGCACCTAGCTTCACCAATATTATGACCCTTATGTTCTTCAAACAATAAGGTTTGAATTTCACCGACAGAGCGTTATCTTTCAACACCGCGTCGGACAGGTGTTTGGGAGCCAGAGGCGCGTGCGCCACCCATGGTTGCTCATTCAGTACTAACCCAGCCAGCAGCCCTAGGGCATTCTGGGAATTTTTTCCAAGATGGCTGCCTCTCACTAGAGGTCCTAGGAGTCCATTTCGTACACAACCAACTTCGTGCACATTTAGAATTGGTACCGAAAAATCAAAAAGAGTTTTCTCGGTTGGCGCAGTTTCCCGCTGACCGAGAATACTGTACAGTACTCGGTTGGCGCAGTTAAGTGGTTAAACATGGCTGCAAGAATACAAGTACAAAAAATCCTCTTCTTCCCATTTTTCTTTCTAGAGTGATACCTAATTAAAGACATAATGACTTTTAAACAAGCAATACTTGATACACTACTACCATTGATTCCCGGTTAATTTCAGCCCCACCTCTCCATAACTCACAAAATCTCTAAGTTCATGCACACTATACTTAAAGGCAACAAGTTTAATTGTTGCTTATATGTACAGTATTTATTAATTTGTATATGAAGTGGCAAAACTTGATAAACTTGCTCACATTAGAATTCTTCAGACACTGCCATGATCAATATCTCCACTAATATCTTATTTATGTATATACACTTGGTCGTTAAAGTAGATACTGGTATATTGGTGGTTGATTGTTACATTCTTGCAAAGCCACTAACACATACAGCATTTTAGACAGATCATAACAACCCATTTCATTAAGCCTAAGTAAACAGTCTACTTATTTGACATTTCTTTGGTGTTATTTTTTCTCAATAGGAAACCTAATTTGACTGTGAGCCAATCAGGTTTACACCTTACTATCAAATATATTAATTAGGGTTTTGCTTATACTGTATCAACAATACACTATGCCTGAATCTTCATTTTTCTTAAACAAATATAACATTGACATTTTCCAGATGCTGTATAGTACTTCAATATCATTGGCATATCACATATATTGTTTAATAGAAACAGTTACAAGACTCAATATGGAACTTCAGCATAATGTGACCTACTCTAATGTATAAGTCCGGTCAAGACTGTGCATAATGCTGCAGATTGAAGTATGGTGGTGCTGTACTGAAGATGACTTGAAAACAGACTTAAGTTCTCTAACTCTTTTAGATATCTTTACAGAAGGAAAGTACAGTGATGGTCGTAGATGGTAAGACAGCGTCGTGACAGGACGAGCCCTAAGGTGAGTGCAGATAGTGGCAGTCTGGTTGCGGCTGGTGGCTGTAACCAAGTCTGTCTGGTGTTGCTTCTGGTCTAGCTGTGGCAAGAATGATCTCTCTCAGAAAATCCACTAGGGTTGCGAGGTGTTGCGAACCTATGAACTAGGCATTGCCAGCCACAATGACTCTTTACCGCTAGACCATTGCTGACTTGTAAGTCAATTGATATATATATCACGTTAATGTGATTTCTGTGTTAATAATCTTTATGCTGTGGCTAGGTGGCCTTATATCCCTATCCACCAGACTCAGATAGGATCAATGTTGCTCATTGATTGGTTGATGGGAAACTGCTTGATCCTGGGAAATGTATGGACATTGTTTATATCATCTGTAATTCCTGGGGGATATGGAAATAACTGCTACAGTATTTTTGATGAAGTTGCTACAGTACTCCCCATCCCCAGTGGCAAAAATATTTGGTTGGAGAACCTGGCTGGTCGATGAACTACGTGCCCCGTCAGTATTGTATACAGTATCCTTCTAACTTGATGTTGTCCTTATTGGTGTCGTCCAACTGGGTTGAGGTGTGGGAGGTTGCACAGGATCAGAGGGCATACATGCAGGTGGTGGAACTTGCGGTGTCGGTACCTGTGGAAGAAAGTGATCGGCTTCATCGATATTTCCAGAGAAATATCCAAGGCATTGTTACAGTATGCTGCTTTAAGGAGGTATTAGTGATGTTCTATCTCTTGCCCTGGTGCTTTATGGTTAAGAACTTCACCGTGCGGGAGAACACTTGGCAGGAACTTTCTTAATGAGATTGGAGGCGATGGTGGACAGCATGAATCCATACACACATGGTTGGCAGTTTGAAGATCATGTGGCACATATGTAGGATGTGTCATCAGATGGTGTTGTGGTGTCAGGCACTCTCTTGTCATGGCTACTCAAAGTTTATGGATAACTAGGAATTCACTTGGAAGCTATAGGCTGGACTTCTACACTAGATCCACTGCTGAAAAACAGCTGTCTTCCTTCATTGCTGAACCGATATCAAGTAGAACCAGAGGAAGATTGTTGAGTCAACCATCAGGACAGGCCTGAGCCCTTAGGGCAGCCTTCACTTGATGATGAAATTGTTCTATCATACCATTAGACTCGGGATGGTATGCCATGGTCTGAGTATAAGTGGTACCAAGGAATTGCAAGAGCTCCTTCCATAGGTGTGACTCAAACTGGCATACTTGATCAGTGATGACGACAGAGGAGTTGTCAAATCAGAGGACCTATCTGGAGAGGAAGACATGGGCCACTGATTCTGTCGTGATATCGACAAGAGAAAGCAAGAGTACTCTTACAAAAACTCTTACAGATGGTAATGGTCCAATGATTTGCATGCACCATTTCAAAATGGTTTGAGGGGTAACTGGTGCAGGAGGGCTCTTCATGTGTCAGTGTATTTCGGCCTGCTGATATTTAAGACACGCACAAGCCCAATGGCAAAGACCGCCATTGATTCCTATCCATAGAACATGTTCTGTTAGGAGACGCTGGGTAACACACACCTTTGTGTGTGCCTGAGATCATAATGTTACAAAATTTTCAAGTGAAATTGGGCCAGAATGTAAAGTCTGAGTTCCGGTCTGGAAGTGTCACATGCCATTATGTTGCCACCCAACATAGGATCACTGATGAACCAGAGTGCTATGTAGGACGTCCATATTCATTGATGTCCCAGGTCTTTATGTTGGACTCCTGTCATCACATAGAAGCCCACATAACCCAGACTTTACAAGATTAAACTTATGGTGGGCCAAGATAGAGCATTAGTTACTGTGTTTTTGACACCCTTGACATGGCAGATCTCCATGGTAAATTGGGAGACATATCCCAAGTTTACAGACTATCCAAGGGAAGTATCACCCTCGGATCATGGTTGTCATGGAACAAGTCAGTACTTTGTGGTCAGTGAGTACATGAAACTACTCTCCTTCTAGGAAGTGTTGGAAATGCTGGGTAGCTGCATTAATGCCAAGGAGTTCCCTGTCAAAGGTGCTACATTTCTCCTGTGAAGGCAAGAGGCAAGACAAGAAAAGCAATGAGAAGCCATTCTTTCTTTATTAGCTGATGGAGGACTGCCCTATGGCCATGTCAGAAGTGACAGTAGAGAGGCTGGTGGGGGAGTCGAACATCGGGTGGGCAAATAAGGTGAACTCCGCGAGTTTGCATTTGATGTCGATGAATACTGTCTCTGCTTGCAGAGACCAGTCCAATGGAAGCTGGGATGTATGTTTACAAGATGTCAGAACAGTGCATTATGAAACAGTGGTAAACATTCACCATACCAAGAAACTTCTTTAACTTCCTTGAAGTAAACAGCATGTAAATTCCTTAACAACCTCATCTTTTCTTCTAGTGGTTGAATTCTGGATGCTGACAGTGTCCCAGGAAATCCAGAGCCAGGGTGGTGACAATACACTTTCTAAGATTGAGTTGTAGGGCATACTTATGAAGGCAGGTGAAGATAAACCAGAGGTGAAGCAGATGGTCAACTGGTGATTGACTGGCTACCAAGAGGATAAAGAACAAGTATACTGTAATTTATTAGAATTTTTAGCCTTAATTTGCTAGACTGTTCTTGAGCATCACTGAGAGAATACCTCTTAATCTCATAAAAGTAGAACATGTAACGATTATGATGATGGCAAAATTATCACGAGACTTGCCTCCCAGGGTTTGTCGAGCTGGAAGAGCAGAGCACACTGTCGCTGGAAGAGATAGTTGCGAAACTCCAGCAAGCTGACATCCTTACTCCGGATTTTGCTCTGAACCACTGTGTCCAGCTCAGAGGTCAGGTGCAGCCCCTCCCACTTCTCACATGCTTGGTTGAAGATGCCCAGCCAGGGAGGAGAATCTGAAATATGATTATGGATATAATTCCCATTGTCGGGGACAGGAAGCCTGCACTTAGGCTTATCAAGGTTTCCCTAGGCCAACTACTGACCTTTACCCGTATGCAACCCAACAATTGCCTAACTCCCAGTTATCTATTTTACTGCTAGGTGAATAGAGACATCAGGTGAAAGAACACCTCCCCAACTATTGCCGCCCTTACCTTGTGGTCAACTTGTTGTGATTCCAAGGATCAATGGCCTTGCGGCCTGGTCTCTGACCCAGCCTCCTGGTTGGTGGTCTAGTCAACCAGGCTGTTTGATGCAGCTACTCGCAGTCTGATGAATCACAGCCTGGTTAATCAGGTATCCTTTAAAGGTGTTTAACAAGTTCTCTCTCTTGAACACCATGAGAGGTTGACCAGTTATGCCCTTATGTGTAGAGGGGAGAATGGTGAAAAGTCTTGGGCCTGTGATGTTGATTAAATTCTCTCGCTCAGAGTACCTATTGCACCTTTGTTTTCAATGTGGCTATTTTTCACATCCTGCCATGCCTCCTGAGCATTGAACCTGAGTTCCTCAGTTGTGAGCTAAGAACATAGACCACTGTGCTACAGAACCCATATGAAGTTCACCAGGCAATCAAGCAGTATGTAAATCTTGGCTCACTTTCATTCAACATAATGTATGGATGAAAGGATTTTGTGTACAGCATTTTTTTGCAATGTTTGGTGAATTAGTTCTACATTGTTTATTGGAAGATAAAATGTGGCAAAAGGATAGGAAATGCCTTGGCTCATACTAATAATCTCATCAGAATTATACTTCTCTACAAAGGAAAAACTAACTTGCACATACTACTACTATACTTTACATGAGGTGCAAACGGAATATGACCCAATAACGTACACTGTAAAAATTATGCAAATGCCAAGAGAAAGTAAAATGTTTGAGCAATATATGGAATACTTAATAACGTGGCAAGAGCATCCTGAATATATAAAACCCAGCATTAAATGTAATAAAGTGCCTTTTTCTGGTGGAGCCCCAGTGACTCCCTGCAGCTATCTCGTCGAGATTGATCCACACTACAAGGCCCATCAGCCCTTAAAGTTCAGTTTGTCCTACCAAGGACCATAGCCAGAACCTGGATCCCCTTCCCTCACATGAGGCACAGAGAACAAATTACTTTTTACCCATTTCACTGATAAAGCATCCATAAAGTCAATGATGTTTTACAGACAACTGCTGGGTTCTCAAAACTCAAAGCCACAAAACTGCCAAACAACTCCCCCAAACAATTCAATCAAAACAAAAGAAATCACACGGAACTAGACAGAACCCGTTAGTACCAAATGCTGCCACCAGGTAGCTCGGAGCTTGCTTCAGCATCAACAAACACTCCAGTTTAGGAGCAGACAAAAACTACAATGAACTGACAAACCTGTAGAGGAGAAAGGGAGGGGAGACAGGGAGCCATTGGGACTCCACCAGAAAGAGGCATTTCATTACAATCAATGCTGTGTTTCTGAGGGAGCCTCATGGTGGCACCTTATACCAAAATAACCACAGAAAAAAGAAGGAACTTACCAGAGAGGAGTAGAGACCAATGGCCCATAAACACGATCCAGTACAACACAGGACCAATGAGGGCCAGGGGCATTAACTACATACCTGGCCACTATGAACCAGTTAGTCCTCCAAAGTCCTCGAGCCCGAATATCTGCCCAAGAGTGCACCATACTTGTGAACATCATGTGCCCACGGATAGACCGCAGGCTTGCTAGCCTAGTTGATATTGCAGACAACCTGAGAAATATGAACCTTGGAACAGAGGAACAAGGAGATTGGATCAACCCACAGAGTATCCACCGAAACCGAGCCAGTGACACGCAGCTAGTGATGAACAGCTTTCTGATAAAGACAGAGATCTAGGGGTGGTTCTAGATAGAAAACTATCACCTGAGGACCACATAAAGAATATTGTGCAAGGAGCCTATGCCACACTTTCTAACTTCAGAATTGCTTTTAAATACATGGATGGCGATATACTCAAGAAATTGTTCACGACTTTTGTTAGGCCAAAGCTAGAATATGCAGCGGTTGTGTGGTGCCCATATCTTAAGAAGCACATCAACAAACTGGAAAAGGTGCAAAGACATGCTACTAAGTGGCTCCCAGAACTGAAGGGCAAGAGCTACGAGGAGAGGTTAGAGGCATTAAATATGCCAAAACTAGGAGACAGAAGAAAAAGAGGTGATATGATCACTACATACAAAATAATAACAGGAATTGATAAAATTGATAGGGAAGATTTCCTGAGACCTGGAACTTTAAGAACAAGAGGTCATAGATATAAACTAGCTAAACACAGATGCCGAAGAAATATAAGAAAATTCACTTTCGCAAACAGAGTGGTAGACGGTTGGAACAAGTTAGGTGAGAAGGTGGTGGAGGCCAAGACCGTCAGTAGTTTCAAAGCGTTATATGACAAAGAGTGCTGGGAAGACGGGACACCACGAGCGTAGCTCTCATCCTGTAACTACACTTAGGTAATAACACTTAGGTAATTACAACAGTCTCCGTGGTGTAGTGGTAAGACACTCGCCTGGCGTTCCGCGAGCGCTATGTCATAGGTTCGTATCCTGGCCGGGGAGGATTTACTGGGCCCAATTCCTTATCTGTAGCCTCTGTTTAACACAACAGTAAAATGTGTACTTGGATGAAAAAACGATTCTTCGCGGCAGGGGATCGTATTCCAGGGACCAGCCCGAAACGCTACACGTACTAGTGGCTGTACAAGAATGTAACAGCTCTTGTATCTAAAAAAAAAAAAAAAACCAGCTGCCACCAAACACAACAAAAGATGAACCAGCCAACAAGCATTAAGCAAGAAAGAAAAGGGTGGGCAGACTGCATTTTATTGGACTGTCAGAAAGCTGTTGATACAGTACCCATAGGAGGCTGTTGTATAAGTAGGAGAAACAGGCAGGAGTAGCAAGTAAGGTGCTCCAGTGGATAAGAGAGTACCTGTACTTAGGTAACAGGAAGCAGAGAATTACTGTGAAGGGTAAGATCTCAGAATCATGCGATGTTACCAACAGAGTCCCACAGGGTTCTGTATTGAAAAAATGTGGAAACAATCACAGACCAAAGAGGACACCGTAAACCAAGAGTAAGAAAGAAATGAGGGAATATGGCCAAGAAACCAAGCAGGCTAAAGCAGAGCATGAGCTGTCAGAAGATGAACCAACGCACAAGACAGCTTGGAAATGAGGATGAGGCAGTATCAACCCTGAATGCAAGTTGCAGTGGCTATGCTGCACAATACAAGGAGAACCTCATCCCCGAATAAGAACCGTCTTGGTAGGTTCTTATTCAGCATAAGATGCCGATCAAGAAAAACAAAGAAAGAGCTCGACAAGCTTGTCGAGCCACCTGGTCACTATACAAATGGTGATAAACCCAAGTCAAAAAGACCAGACGCGAAGAGCAGAGAAGAAGACCGAACCAGCCGTGTACCAGACCGGTCCAACCTGCTGGAAGAGGTGGAGCCGTGGAAAACGTCCCGGGTTCGCTCACCGAGCAAGCAGTACCTGAAACCAAGGTTGGGCCGGCGACCAAGGAGCCATGAGGACTACTCTCCCCTGGTAAGACTCGAACCAAGCAAGAACCCGAAGCAACAGTTGGACCAGGGAAAAGAGGTACAGGTAACTCCACCTCGACCAGTCCTGCCGAAAGATGTCCACTACGACAGCCTCACATTCGGGGAAAGGTGCCACATAGCTCGGGAGATGCCGAGACTGCACCGACACGAAGAGATCTTCTTCTGGGAGTCCATACATCCGGCAGAGCCAATGGAAGGAGTCTGCGTCGACCGTCCATTCTATGGACAGAGGAATGAACCAAGACAAGACATCTCTCAGGAAGTTGGATACTCCCCGGATATGAACCACACAGAGAGCCAAACCCCAAGAAGTCAGCACGAGCCACTCGAAGTGACCAGCCGTAAAGAGGCAAGGACCAAAGAGAACCGTTCAGGCAATGAACCACCAAAGAACAGTCCGAATGGAGCCGGATGGTCGAACCCCGAGCGACCCGAATCCTCCAAAGCAAAAGTTAAACCGCCGAGAACTCCCACGCCGTGTTCAGACTCCCACACAACTGCTTGAGCAACAGCCGAGTGACCAGGGACCCACAGAAACAGCTGAAGGCGGGACCGCAGTCGTAGCAATGCCTCTAGAGGGAGAGACAAGGAAGCGGTACGAAAGTCCCAAACATGACCCAGCCAGGTCCAAACCTAAGACGGAACCAGATGGGATTTCCTCCAGTTCACCAGGAACCCGAACCCGGCGAGCTGGGAAAGAACCACACAGCAGACAAGCAGACCGACTGGGAGCCCACACCAGCCAGCCATCGAGGTAGGCCAGGGCCCAAACTCCTAGCAGACACAGATGGGTCACTATGATCCGGGTAAGACGCGTGAACATGGGAGGTGCCAGATTCAAGCCAAAAGGAAGGCAACGAAAGTGGTAAGCCTGACACCCCACTACAAAACCTAGCCAGTCCCTGAACGCCGGATGGATACGAACATGCCAATACATGTCCTTGAGGTCCAGGGACACCATCCAGACACTCTGCTTCAACAGAAGCTGGACCCGAGACAGAGTGGTCATCCAAAAAGAGGGGCAAGGAATCTAGGGGTTCAGATGGGACAAGTCCAGAATGAACTGCAGATCCACATAGTACTGTTTTGACACTGGAAACAGGCGAGAAGCCCACCTGAGGAACAGGGTCGTCTCGACCATGGCCAAGCGCACCCACTCCGAGATGACCCGACAAAGCGCGGGGGGAAGAAGCCTGCCTGGCCAGCCCCGTACCTCCCAAAGGAGGAGCCGCTCAATGCCTCCACATCGCCTTGTCAACAGGGCAAACCGCGAAAGTGCCGATGTCCCTTACAGAAAGCTGACCGCCGAACAGAGCGAACATCTCGCTAACCAGACGACGCTGGCTTCGAAGGCAACGTCGGCTCAAAAGCTGGCACCAGTGGTCCACCTCGACCAGCAACACCCCGAGCCCTGGCACAACCCTTCTGAGAAGGCCAAGAATGGCCGCCCCTGAGAACCAAGAAGTCCGACATAGGACGACAACTACATGAAGTCGCCTCAAACAGCAATGGGCAAAGCAGAGATGAAAACCGAAGAGCCAGTGCCCAAGAGGATTCCAAAGAGAGGGCCAGCACAGCCTGATGGCAGGCGAAGTGAGAAGCAAAAAACAGAGACACAGCCTCCTTCAGGATAGGCACAAATAGCTTCAACAGTGCAGCCGATGCCCGAGCCGCCGAGGACAGCACCCCAGACAATAGCCCGGCACTCAACGCCTCCACATCCTCAACATGTCAGGCAAAAGACAGCTCGAGAAGGGACAAAAGAACAAGACCGAAACCAAATGCCCATGGGAGCACAAATCCTCCGCAACTAAGGACACCTAAGTTTGAGCATTAAGGTGCTCAAACTTGCCCACCAGGTAAACCTGCAAAACAGTAGACATTTCTCGCCACTCAAGCGTACGGGACAGAAAGAACCCATGCCATGCCTCCAATGAAAAAAAAAAGGGCAGTCTGCCAGCCAGAAAGACTCCAGAACCTCCAAACGCACCCAATACGTGGAAGAACAACCAAGCTCAAAAGAGGTCGGATCCATAATAGAGTCAAAATCCAGGCCTCGCAGGAAGTATGCAGCAAGAGCCTCCCGAATCTCCCGCACAGAAATACGAGAGGCAGAAAACCTCCAGAAAGACAGAGCCGAGGTCCCCAACAGGGCCCGGAATCGAACCCAGGGAGGAGTCAAACCAAATCATACTCATACAGGGAAGGGGGGGTTAGTGCATCCTCACCCTAACGAACCCCCCCACTCTATCGAATTCCCGGATGATCCGAACAAATTGAATTCAGTACTAAATGTTCAGTGGAACATGCAGATATTCCATTAAGTGAGGACTGTTTGTTTAATTGGTTACAAAGATCGAGCGTCAGAGGTGGCCGTCATCAACAATGATTTACCAAAGTGTAAAAAGTTACAGTGTTTTATTTTGCTTACAAATTGTTTCCAGAGAGAAATGGTTGAAAGATGATAAAATGGGGTCAGGGAAGGCAGGTGGTGTCATTGGTGTCAGGGGGGTGGCAAGTGGTGAAAGTAGTTGGGGTTTAGTGTCAGGGGGCAGGTGATGGAAGTTATTCTCACTGGAGGCAGGTGGAGTTAGTGTTGTCAGAAAAAAGTTCCACTGTTGTCAGGAAAAGCAAGTGGTGGAAGCTGTTGTCAGGTAAGGCAAGTGGTGTTAGTGGTGGAAGTTGTCAGGGAAGGCAAGTGGTGTCAGTGGTGAAAGCTGTTATCAAGGGAGGCAGGTGGAGTCGGAAAATCAGCATTGATTGTAACGAAACGCCATTTTTTGGGCGAGACCCTGAGGCTTCCCGGCAACCTTCCCTCCCTCCCTCCGGTTGGTGATTTTTTTGTGTGTTTTGATATCCAGCTTCAGAACTGCAGTGTGGATCGCCGGCGCAGGGGTCCTGACCCGCTTAGAGACTTACCAGGGAAGAGTTGTCCTTCTGGCCCCTTGGTGGCCGGCCCAGCCTTGGTTTCAGGTGCTGCTTGCTCGGTGTCCGAACCCGAGGATTTTCCCGCGGCTCTGCCTCTTTCAGCAGATCGGCCCGGTACGTCACGTGGCTGGTTCGATCTTCTCCTCGAGTCTTCGCGTATGGGTTTTTTGACTCGAGTTTATCATCATCTCTATGGTGATCAGGTGGCCTCCTTGTTGGTGTCCCACCTGAGGGTTTCTTCTCGGCGGCAGTATGAAGTTTCCTGGCGGTCTTTCCGTTTCTTTTTGCGTCTTCGTCGTGTTAGTTCCTTGTCTGTTCGGGTGGTCTTGTCCTTCCTCTCTTGGTTGTTTCAGGACCATCATCTTATGCCTAACACTGTCGCCTCGTATCGTGTGGCGCTGGCGGAGCCGCTTCAGCTTGCCTTCGGTATCGATGTTACGTCTGCGCCGTTTCGCAAGCTGTCTCGTGCATTGTTTCACCTTCAGCCTGCTCATGCGCCGCCTGAGTCGTCCTGGTCTTTGGACCGAGTGCTCGCCTTCCTTTCGTCTCCACATTTCCTTGTGGCCTCTTTGGTCCGGGATTGTTTTTCCAATGCTCTTTTCTTGTTGGCATTGGCCTCTGGGGGTCGGGTGGGGGAGCTTCATGCTCTCCTCCGGCACAGGGGTTTCTGCTCTTTTGGTCATGGAGATTGTTTTGTTCGCTTGCAGCCGTCTCCTTCTTTTCTGACGAAGAATGAGACTGCTGCATTCCGGAGGGGTCCGTGGGTGGTTGATGCTTGGTTGGTCAGGCCAGGGGTGCAACATGTTTTGTGTCCGGTTGCGGCGCTTCGCTGTTATTTGCGCGCGCCACGGCTTCTGTGTCCGGGGACGGCCTTTGGGTTGATCCGATTTCCCTTCTTCCCTGTTCGCGGGTTCAGGTCTCCCAGGTCGTCCGCAGGGTTATTAAGTCCAGCCAGCCTGCGGTCTATCTCCGTGCCCATGACGTTCGTAAGTTCGCAGCTCTTGCTGCCGTCTTTGGGAATATGTTTTGGTCTGATATTCGGGCGCGGGAATTTTGGCGGTCGAACAGGGTCCTGGCTGCTCGTTACCTTGTGAATGTCCCTGGGCCCCGTCGGGCCTGTGTTGCTATGGGTCAGCGGTTGCAGCCAGTTGTCTCGGCTTCGAGTTGAGGAGTGAGCGACGACCGCCTCCCGGGTAAGTCCCTCTTTTTCCATCTGTGGGTAGTTAGCTCCGGGGAACCGATGGGGCTCCTCCCCAGAAAACCAGCGTTGAATGTAATGAAACGCCATTTTCTGGGTGAATCAAGGAGGCTCCCCGGCATCCCTCCCTCCCTCCGGTCGGCATTTTTTTCGCGTTTTTGACATCCAGCCTCAAGAACTGAGGTGTGGGTAGCCAGCGTGGAGGGTCTGGGGCTCCCCCTTCCCCCTCCCAGGGAGGGGGGAGCTGTGCAGACAGCGGCGCGGCTGCATGTGACGTCACACTAGTTTGCTTGTTTTTCTGTTGGGGAGTTCTATCCACTAGTTCGGCTTTTGGTAGCAATTTTAACCAGAATAGGGGTTTGTTTTGAGGCGCTTACCTTTCTGGGTGTCTGTTCTGGTGAATTGCAGACATAGAATGCTTCCAACCACACGGGGGTTTCTATAGGCCATTGCTCCCCTTGCCTCTCTGAGGGGGCCCGGTTCTGGCCGTGGTCCCCGGTAGGCCTAAGAATTCCATACACATGATTGATGCCAAAGTCTGACATTAGCATATCAGCCTAGGAAAGCTCCGGGAAGCCTCCGGGACTCCCCCGGAAAATGGCGTTTCATTACATTCAACGCTGGTTTTTTGCTTTCATTTGTACTTAACACAGACACCCACACACAAAATTACCTCCAGCTGCTGAGTTAAGGACAAACTGCGTGAAGAGAGCGTCCAGCTCATCATACTGGACGAGAGCCTCATCGTATAGAGCCAACAACTGAAATACTTGTGCTAGCTCTTCTTGTAACAAAAAATAAGAACAGAAGGACCAGGACTTTTCTATGCGACGTTCCCGCTCTGCCCTCATGCTTTCCTCAAACCTGAAATGGAATAAATCACTAACACTGACAAATCTTTATTTATAACATACACCTAATAAAGTTACATAGCTGATTTGCACATCTAGTATGTGCTGAAATAGAGGGAATACAGAGAACATATACAGCATACATAGACACAATAAAGCTCTTCAGATGTACTCACTAGAAAGGAGAAGGGAGAGATATCAAATAACATGCACATGGAAAATACTGGAGGGCCAGGTACCAAATCTACACAGTAGAATAACAACATACTGGAGTGAACGACATGGAAGAAAATGCAGAATAGAACCAGTGAAGAGCAAGGTGCCAAAGGCACAATCAGAGAACACTGTATAAACATCAGAGGTCCGCGGTTGTTCAATGTCCTCCCAGGGAGCACAAGAAATATTGCCGGAACAACCATGGACATCTTCAAGAGGAAACTAGATAGTTTTCTTCAAGAAGTGCTGGACCAACCGGGGTGAGGTGGATATGTGGGTCTGTGGGCTGCAACAGCCTGGTGGACCAAAAGTCAAGCCTGACCTCAGGCCGGGCTTAGGGAGTAGAAGAACTCCCAGAACCTCATCAAGCAGGTATCTAGAATTTTGTCTTTATAATGATCTTAAACGATGTGTGAAATAATTAATATTTATTCTTTTAGACCAAGTCCACTCAGTTGCTACCTAAAGTCACAGTCAGGCAGGATCAGGGACAGTCAGGCAAGGTCATCGACAGTCAGGCAGGGTCATGGACAGTCAGGCAGGGTCATGGACAGTCAGGCAGGGTCATGGACAGTCAAGCAGGGTCATGGACAGTCAAGCAGGGTCATGGACAGTCAGGCAGGGCCATGGACAGTCAGGCAAGGTCATGGACAGTCAGGCAGGGTCATGGACAGTCAGGCAGGGTCATGGACAGTCAGGCAGGGTCATGAACAGTCAGGCAAGGTCATGGACAGTCAGGCAGGGTCATGGACAGTCAGGCAGGGTCATGGACAGTCAGGCAGGGTCATGGACAGTCAGGCAGGGTCATGGACAGTTAGGCAAGGTCATGGACAGTCAGGCAGGGTCATGGACAGTCAGGCAGGGTCATGGACAGTCAGGCAGGGTCATGGACAGTCAGGCAGGGTCATGGACAGTCAGGCAGGGTCATGGACAGTCAGGCAGGGTCATGGACAGTCAGGCAGGGTCATGGACAGTCAGACAGGGTCATGGACAATCAGGCAAGGTCATGGACAGTCAGGCAGGGTCATGGACAGTCAGGCAGGGTCATGGACAGTCAAGCAGAGCCAAGGGACAGTCAGGCAGAGCCATGGACAGTCTGGCAGAGCCAAGGGACAGTCAGGCAGGGTCATGGACAGTCAGGCAGGGTCATGGACAGTCAGGCAGGGTCATGGACAGTCAGGCAGGGTCATGGACAGTCAGGCAGGGTCATGGACAGTCAGGCAAGGTCATGGACAGTCAGGCAGGGTCATGGACAGTCAAGCAGAGCCAAGGGACAGTCAGGCAGAGCCATGGACAGTCTGGCAGAGCCAAGGGACAGTCAGGCAGGGTCATGGACAGTCAGGCAAGGTCATGGACAGTCAGGCAAGGTCATGGACAGTCAGGCAGGGTCATGGACAGTCAGGCAAGGTCATGGACAGTCAGGCAGGGCCAAGGGACAGTCAGGCAGGGTCATGGACAGTCAGGCAGGGCCAAGGGACAGTCAGGCAGGGTCATGGACAGTCAGGCAAGGTCATGGACAGTCAGGCAGGGCCAAGGGACAGTCAGGCAGGGTCATGGACAGTCAGGCAGGGCCATGGACAGTCAGGCAGGGCCAAGGGACAGTCAGGCAGGGTCATGGACAGTCAGGCAAGGTCATGGACAGTCAGGCAGGGCCAAGGGACAGTCAGGCAGGGTCATGGACAGTCAGGCAGGGCCATGGACAGTCAGGCAGAGCCAAGTGACAGTCAGGCCGAGCCATGGACAGTCAGGCAGGGTCATGGACAGTCAGGCAGGGCCATGGACAGTCAGGCAAGGTCATGGACAGTCAGGCAAGGTCATGGACAGTCAGGCAAGGTCATGGACAGTCAGGCAAGGTCATGGACAGTCAGGCAAGGTCATGGACAGTGAGTCTGGGTTCCTTGTGTCTATTCTTAACTACACACTTCCATTAGTAAAGTTGCTCACTTGGATCCACTCACCTACAGTATTTCTTTCTTGCAATCAGTCCATGCAATACTGTACCTTACACACACAGTTCCACATTTTTGGTGAATCAGTAGACCTTCACGCCTTCTGCGTAACTTTAACTCTTGGTTTGTATTCATCTTCAAGATTTAATCAAAATACTCTCCCATCTAAACCTTCCCACACACATTTATCGATAGTTACTTTCTTTTACCAAAGATATAGGTTTAACTTGTACCACAAACATCAAGCTTTCAAGTTGTGAAACCCTTAGTTTACAGTTTTCAACCTTCAAGAAAATGGTATTTTCTTATACCATTTGAGTTTAAGGTATATACCTACTTGTAATAGTCACATCCACCTATCCAGAGACATCTCTGCTGCAATTGTGCATCTCTTGTTACCACCAGAAAGAACCACTAGCCAGATGTGTAACCAGGACAATGTATTACAAAGTACACTAAGATCAGTAATTAGGATAAATATTGGAAAATATCTCACTTTGCCATAACACACAAAAACAATTAAGCATAGTTTTTCTTTTTCTTTTACACAATATGGTACAAGGAGCAGAAGTGTTGTGACTCACGTTTATATGCTGTGAGTTCTCCCTCTTACACCTTATCTCAAAGTCCTATTCAATTCTGGGTTTTTTTCTCTCCTTAGGATACAATATCCTATCATTTTAGAACTAGATCCCCAATTACTGTTGGATAACCAAGGTCAAACTGTAGAGGAACAGTGCCCAGTTGTTCCTCCCTGCCCTGGGTTTACACCTGAGATGCTCTAGTTTTCATGGTGAGTGAGTGAGGGCGCTACTCACTACTCCACAGGCAACAATTGTTTGTCACCATAACACTGGTTCAAAACACAGTTGAAGGCTACCAAAACATATTAAACCTGTTAGGGATTGTCACATGCTACTATACAAGGATATCACATTAACGTGATGTATTAGTGAGAAAATCAGTAGGAACTACAAGAAAGATTCAAACCTATGCACTGGGTACTCCTGGCCAAACACCACAACATGATAAAAGCATCATAACCTGGGATTCAAGTATATCCTCTAGGGTTCCTGAGGCTTACACTGAAGCCTAACCAGGGTTTCACACAATGACCCCATGCACTTTGGCTTGTAGTCTAAGAATTCTACCTCCAATACTTCCCTTCAAATGAACAAAGAAATCACATTCTTTGTGATTTGAACCTATGCCTGGGAGTACCCAGTGCATAGGTTCGAATCCTCTTCATTGTTCCTACTGATTTTCTCATGCTATTGTAACATACCTGTTAAGGGCTCTGTTGTATGCCACCATCAGCAAATGCCTCATCTTAGTAAGGAGAGTCTGCCATGATTCCACTGACCTTGAGTCAGACTTAAGAGGGTCAATCACTGACATACATCTGTTGGATAACATGCAAGCATAAAGTGGCTTTATGTAATCAATAATTTTCATACTTATTAAACTCCTGTAACTTGTTCCTTTGTATATTTTATAAATGAAATTATAATAATAATAATAATAATAAATCATAGTTAATTATCAGCAATAAAACTACTACACTGTCCACTTCTATGAGGTGAAGAAGTATCTGCCAGAAATACAGTACTACAGGAGGTGGTTAAATATATTTGGAGAGCTTATACTACAGTACCTTCCACACCTGGTTGTATCACAATAAACCTTTGCCATGTCACTGACTAGCCCTAAAGAGCTCCACATCAATTCTTACAAAAATAAAATTATAATCTTTCATTCTCTCTCAATAAACTGCTTTCACTTTACTTGTTTACATTTCTTCTTTCAGTACAACCATTATTCATGCATTTCTTATGACCCAACCACTGTACCTCGGACTCCACTCTCTCTAGGTGTACACTACCATAATTCATTTCAGCTACTTGTGTATATATGCCAAAGTACTCTTACATATAAAAGGGAGACGAATTTGAAAAAGTTAATAGGAAAATATATAAATTTGAAACAGATCTCAATGCATCTCTACCAGCCAACTTAAACAAAAAGTTAGGCAAGGATATATCAAGTGATAGAATTGGAAAAGAGTAAAGAGGAAGTGAAAGAAACATATGCACAAGTGGTGAAGGAGAAAAACAATCAAAGACGTATGTCTTAAGTCAAAAACAGAAATGAGCAGCAAAAAACAGACACTAGACAAGCAATTAGGAAAAGAACTGGTTACCAGCAGTAAACCTGTACAAAACACTGCAGATAAAAGCAAGGCCACAATAATTTTTTGGTGTTTGGACCAGGAGATACTATCTAGGGAGGACAGAGCAGCAGAAGAGGTAAGAATCACTGAGAAAATAGTACATTTAACAGAAGACTTCACAACAAAAGAAAATATCAGTGATTTTAGGATATGCTAATATAAAAAGATAAGAATTGCTTCCTAAGGGTGAAATTCAATAGAGTGAAACAAATGTCAGAAGTGCTTAAGAATGCCAAGAAATTGCTAAATGATGAAGATTGAAAACTATGGTTATTAACGAAGCAAAAGAAGAAAATGATGGCAGAAACAAAGAAAGAACCTTCTTTTTTAAAGGTGATGGGGAACAGGAAGCCTGTGAAATGGTACATAAAAGCATACAAAATCATTATAGAAAAGGTGAATAAAGGTCAAAGGATGTGGGAACATGTTTCTGAAAATTGTATAACTAGCACAGATGGAGTGAAAAATACTGGAGCAAAACATTATTATACAGTTTAAGATCTTGAGGTTATCTTGAGATGATTTCGGGGCTTTAGTGTCCCCGCGGCCCGGTCCTCGACCAGGCCTCCACCCCCAGGAAGCAGCCCGTGACAGCTGACTAACACCCAGGTACCTATTTTACTGTTAGGTAACAGGGGCATAGGGTTAAAGAAACTCTGCCCATTGTTTCTCGCCGGCGCCCGGGATTGAACCCGGGACCACAGGATCACAAGTCCAGTGTGCTGTCCGCTCGGCCGACCGGCTCTCTTGCCACAGATACCACAGATTGTTGCACTAACAGACAAACTTCAGGATAATATTTTAAATGAGGCTGTATTCTCGAGAGGGCTACTCAATTTGGAGACGTGACAGAAAATTAGAAAACGTGGAGGAGTTGCCATGCTGGTGAAAGAACACCTGAAGGTAAGAGAATTAATAATCAACAGCCCACAAGAAGTTGACATAATGGCCCTTAGATATTTATAATCAGAATGATAAACTGATAATCAGAATAATAGTCTACCAGTAAGCAACACATGGACAAAGGAGGAACTAGATGACAAACGAGAGGGCCTCATAATAATCACAAGTTATTATAATAAGAGCAGATGAAGATAAGTCACGGTTGTTGGTACTTGGTGTCTTCAACTTGAATCAATAGACTGGGAAGCATGCAAAGCAAGAACGGACATTTTGGCACATTCCTATACTTCAACTTTGAGACATTCATGTATCAATATGTTAAGCAGGCCAGGAGAATGGTGCAGAGGATGTTCCATCAATAATGGATTTCATATTCACCAGTTAAGAAGAAGAGAGATTTGACATTCAGTATCTTTCTCCCTTGGATAAGAGCAACCATGTCGTTTTGGAAATAAAATATGCAATGCATTATAATTTAGAAGAGAATGGGGAAAATGAAACAATTGAATAACTTGATTTCAGAAGAGAAAAATAAGGGGGAACTTGGCAAGTTCTTTAATGAATTTGATTGGAACAATTTGTTGCTAAGCAAAGAAATATATGATATGTATGCCAAGTTCTATGATATTACAGTATATAATAAAGGTACGTACAACAAAATTTATACCAAGGAAGAGATGCAGAACATGGAAAACGAAAAGGAAATGTGTGAAACATTAAACGAAAAGTTCCAAAGTGTGTTTGTAGAAAATGAGATCTTCAGAGAACCAGACACAATAAGAATTCCACAAAACAACATAGAGCGTATAGAGGTGTCTAGAGATGAAGTGGAAAATATGCTAAAGGAGCTAAGTAAGAATAAAGCAGTTGGCCCAGATGGAGTTTCACCATGGGTTCTGAAAGAATGTGCATCTGAGCTCAGCATTCCACTTCACAAGATCTTTCAGGCATCTCTGTGTACAGGAGTCATAGCAGACGTGTGGAAACAGGCTAATATAGTTCCAATCTACAAAAGTGGCAGCAGGGAAGACCCCCTCAATTATAGACCTGTATCATTGACTAGTGTAATAGTAAAAGTATTGGAAAAACTAATCAAAACTAAATGGGTAGAACACCTGGAGAGAAATGATATAATATCAGACAGACAGTATGGTTTTCGATCTGGAAGATCCTATGTATCGAATTTACTCAGTTTCTATGATTGAGCCACAGAGATATTACAGGAAAGAGATGGTTGGGGTGACTGCATCTATTTGGACCTAAAAAAGGCTTTCAACAGAGTTCCACATAAGAGGTTGTTCTAGAAACTGGAAAATATTGGAGGGGTGACAGGTAAGCTTCTAACATGGATGAAAAATTTTCTGACTGATAGAAAAATGAGGGCAGTAATCAGAGGCAATGTATCGGACTGGAGAAATGTCACAAGTGGAGTACCACAGGGTTCAGTTCTTGCACCAGTGATGTTTATTGTCTACAAAAATTATCTACCAGTTGGTATACAGAATTATATGAATATGTTTGCTGATAATGCTAAGATAATAGAAAGGATAAGAAATTTAGATGATCGTCATGTCCTTCAAGAAGACCTGGACAAAATAAGTATATGGAGCACCACTTGGCAAATGGAATTTAATGTTAATAAATGTCATGTTATGGAATGTGGAATAGGAGAACATAGACCCCACACAACCTATATATTATGAGAGAAATCTTTAAAGAATTCTGATAAAGAAAGAGATCTAGGGGTGGTTCTAGATAGAAAACTATCACCTGAGGACCACATAAAGAATATTGTGCAAGGAGCCTATGTTACGCTTTCCAACTTCAGAATTGCTTTTAAATACATGGATGGCGATATACTAAAGAAATTGTTCATGACTTTTGTTAAGCCAAAGCTAGAATATGCAGCTGTTGTGTGGTGCCCATATCTTAAGAAGCACATCAACAAACTGGAAAAGGTGCAAAGACATGCTACTAAGTGGCTCCCAGAACTGAAGGGCAAGAGCTACGAGGAGAGGTTAGAGGCATTAAATATGCCAAAACTAGGAGACAGAAGAAAAAGAGGTGATATAATCACTACATACAAAATAATAACAGGAATTGATAAAATTGATAGGGAAGATTTCCTGAGACTTGGAATTTCAAGAACAACAGGTCATAGATTTAAACTAAGTAAACAAAGATGCCGAAGAAATTTAAGAAAATTCATTTTCGTAAACAGAGTGGTAGACGGTTGGAACAAGTTAAGTGAGAAGGTGGTGGAGGCCAAGACCACAAGTAGTTTCAGAGCATTATATGACAGAGTGCTGGGTAGACGGGACACCACGAGCGTAGCTCTCATCCTGTAACAACACTTAGGTATTTACACACACACTTGGTGCCTGGGGTAAAAGTGCTGCCAGTTTTTTTTTAAGGAACTGGGTTCTAAACTAATTAAAACAGCTAGAGACCCTGGAGCTGCCAGTTTCCTCTTTCAGCGCCTTAATGTGGCAATCCAGAGAGGAAATGCTCACTACATCCATGGTTCCTACCCGCCATCTTAGGAGCTTCCGTTATCTTGGAGATGATTTCGGGGCTTTAGTGTCCCCGCGGCCCGGTCCTCGACCAGGCCTCCACCCCCAGGAAGCAGCCCGTGACAGCTGACTAACACCCAGGTACCTATTTTACTGCTAGGTAACAGAGGCATAGGGTGAAAGAAACTCTGCCCATTGTTTCTCGCCGGCGCCTGGGATTGAACCCAGGACCACAGGATCACAAGTCCAGCGTGCTGTCCGCTCGGCCGACCATCTCCCCGGCTTGAGGAACTCCATAACCTGTGACAAGCAGCCTTGTACCTTGCATGTAACCAATGTTGTAACCCTTTTTTGCATTATATATTTTTTAATTTATATATAAATATAAATAAATAAAAGACAAGAATATAAAATTCTGTCAACCACCTCTCTGCTTGCTTTCCACCAAAATCGTTCTTGATTTTGTCAAGCACAGTAGTTCGTGGAAGCAGTTTGTTGCCCTTGCGGGTGTCGGGAGTCTCAAGGAGAATAACCATCCAGTCTGTGACGCTCTGTTGCTTGAGAGAGACTACCCATGCCTGCAGATTGTCTCGCACCACATTCTTGTAAGCCTCCACATCCTGAGGAACAAAACACATGCTACCCTATTCAGCTATCTCAGGCATCATAAAGTTATATTTCCTTACAAAGAAAATAAAATATATTTTAATATGATTGTCAGCAAATAAATTATATATACTAATACAAAGGAACTTATAAAATTGGTATGCTGGGGAGGCTTGTATAAACTTCACATACATCTTATTCTTGCTTTTCATTGCATCTCATAAGATCTTCTGCAACTGCATACAAATCTACTTTAACTTGTTAAATTTTATTCTCAAGCATAGTACGTACTTCTTGAAGCTTTGCCACATGAAATATTTGTTCTGCTAGTTCTTTGTTTATTTTTACTCATCCATCCTAATACATAAGTTTTTAATGGTTGCCTACCTAACCATATACTGTATCAATATGGCACTAACCATATACTGTATCAATATGGCACTAACCATATACTGTATCAATATGGCACTAACCATATACTGTATCAATATGGCACTAACCATATACTGTATCAATATGGCACTAACCATATACTGTATCAATATGGCACTAACCATATACTGTATCAATATGGCACTAACCATATACTGTATCAATATGGCACTAACCATATACTGTATCAATATGGCACTAACCATATACTGTATCAATATGGCACTAACCATATACTGTATCAATATGGCACTAACCATATACTGTATCAATATGGCACTAACCATATACTGTATCAATATGGCACTAACCATATACTGTATCAATATGGCACTAACCATATACTGTATCAATATGGCACTAACCATACACTGTATCAATATGGCACTAACCATATACTGTATCAATATGGCACTAACCATATACTGTATCAATATGACACCAACCATATACTGTATCAATATGGCACTAACCATATACTGTATCAATATGGCACTAACCATATACTGTATCAATATAGCACCAACCATATACTGTATCAATATTGCACTAAGCATATACTGTATCAGTATGGCACTAACCATATACTGTATCAGTATGGCACTAACCATATACTGTATCAATATGGCACCAACCATATACTGTATCAATATTGCACTAACCATATACTGTATCAGTATGGCACTAACCATATACTGTATCAATATGGCACTAACCATATACTGTATCAATATGGCACCAACCATATACTGTATCAATATTGCACTAAGCATATACTGTATCAGTATGGCACTAACCATATACTGTATCAATATGGCACTAACCATATACTGTATCAATATGGCACTAACCATATACTGTATCAGTATGGCACTAACCATATACTGTATCAATATGGCACCAACCATATACTGTATCAGTATGGCACTAACCATATACTGTATCAATATGGCACCAACCATATACTGTATCAATATTGCACTAACCATATACTGTATCAATATGGCACTAACCATATACTGTATCAATATTGCACTAAGCATATACTGTATCAGTATGGCACTAACCATATACTGTATCAATATAGCACCAACCATATACTGTATCAATATTGCACTAAGCATATACTGTATCAGTATGGCACTAACCATATACTGTATCAGTATGGCACTAACCATATACTGTATCAGTATGGCACCAACCATATACTGTATCAGTATGGCACTAACCATATACTGTATCAGTATGGCACTAACATTATACTGTATCAATATGGCACTAACCATATACTGTATCAGTATGGCACTAACCATATACTGTATCAATATGGCACCAACCATATACTGTATCAGTATGGCACCAACCATATACTGTATCAGTATGGCACTAACCATATACTGTATCAGTATGGCACTAACATTATACTGTATCAATATGGCACTAACCATATACTGTATCAGTATGGCACTAACCATATACTGTATCAATATGGCACCAACCATATACTGTATCAATATGGCACTAAGCATATACTGTATCAGTATGGCACTAACCATATACTGTATCAGTATGGCACTAACCATATACTGTATCAGTATGGCACTAACCATATACTGTATCAGTATGGCACTAACCATATACTGTATCAGTATGGCACTAACCATATACTGTATCAGTATGGCACTAACCATATACTGTATCAGTATGGCACTAACCATATACTGTATCAGTATGGCACCAACCATATACTGTATCAGTATGGCACTAACCATATACTGTATCAGTATGGCACTAACATTATACTGTATCAATATGGCACTAACCATATACTGTATCAGTATGGCACTAACCATATACTGTATCAATATGGCACCAACCATATACTGTATCAGTATGGCACCAACCATATACTGTATCAGTATGGCACTAACCATATACTGTATCAGTATGGCACTAACATTATACTGTATCAATATGGCACTAACCATATACTGTATCAGTATGGCACTAACCATATACTGTATCAATATGGCACCAACCATATACTGTATCAATATGGCACTAAGCATATACTGTATCAGTATGGCACTAACCATATACTGTATCAGTATGGCACTAACCATATACTGTATCAGTATGGCACTAACCATATACTGTATCAGTATGGCACTAACCATATACTGTATCAGTATGGCACTAACCATATACTGTATCAATATGGCACTAACCATATACTGTATCAGTATGGCACTAACCATATACTGTATCAATATGGCACTAACCATATACTGTATCAATATAGCACTAACCAACCTAGTACCACATTACCTCCCATTAGCGTAAGAAAACAAAGAGGCCTTCACAAGCAAACATATTACATGAACTGCTAGCAAGCTCTGGTACAGTATACTGAGTTGACAATGTTTTGCAACACTCTGTATTGAAAGTTGTATCAGTATATAAAAAAGCATATAACATATGCTAACAGCTTCCCATCATATACCCCGCCCCAAGTATATGCTTGTGTACAGCATATAAAAAAGCATTCATGAAGTGACTTATTATGTTGGAAATAGTGTGTATACAGTACAGTATAACTATTCCATAATGTTGCCAACCAAAAACTATACCATCATCACACACAGAGATCACAATAACGTGATGCATCAAATGAACAAATCCACAAGGGCCGTGACGAGGATTCAAACCTGCGTCCAGGAGCATCCCAGACACTGCCTTAATCGACTGAACTTAATCGAAGTAGAACTTCGGTTTCAACCCTTTTACCCTGTCGTAGCTCAGTCGATTAAGGCAGTGTCTGGGATGCTCCCGGACGTAGGTTCGAATCCTCGTCACGGCCCTTGTGGATTTAGACCATCATGTCAATATGCACTCAAAACTATTATCATCATAAAGAATAGAGTAAATTTTAAAAAGTAAAATATACAGTATCTGCAATATTGAATTTCTAAATAACTTAAAAACTCCCAAGGAGAAAATACTAGTCAACTAATGAGTACTGAACTAGCAAAAGCTCTGCTGTTAAACACATTTGCAAAACACACTATGCATGAGACATGCATGAGATACATGCATGGTATATGCATGGTACAAGGACATGGAGTGAGGGAGGCAGACCCACTCACAGCACAGTCTGTCCAGTACGTGTGGAAGATAGGCTGGCCCAGGATGGTACGGGGTGCATCTTTACCCAGGCACTCCTCTGAGAACGGAACAAAATCTACCTCGACGTGGACACACCTGTGGGCAAGAGATTATCTGAAAATGCTTCCCAGAGGCTACAGTATATGAATTTATTCTGTGCATAAACACATTTCCAGCAAATAGAAACTCATGGCACACCAATGAATCAAAATGCACTTACAGAGCATATGTATCTACACTCCCAGATTATAGTTTGAAGGAGCAACAGACAAAAAGTTCTATGTCAGCACCATAATGTCACAAAATTTAAAGGTAAAGAACATAAATATTGTAGAAGACACAGAAAATAGTTGCAAGTTGAGAGGAGTAATGAAACGATAGATCAGCAATAATATATCACGACACCTCAAAATTTAAATGTTACTTCATACATTAAAACTACAAATATAAATTCAAAATAATTACTATATATATGTTTGAGATGTTAATTTCCAGAACGTGTATTAAATTACTTGTATAGTAACTCATGAGGAAGGCCTAATTGAAGAATAATTTATGCAACAATGAATTTATTCTCTAAGTTACACTGAAGGTAGAAGAAAGTGATTGTAGCAAGATGTGGGATGCTCTGGGCCAAGATTCATCAAGCAACCACTTACGAAACATGTAAATTTTCCTTAATAGTAGTGACAGGAGTTTCAATGTTGGTAGCATCGAGGTTTATGGACAAACATGGAATGTGGCGGACAGAAAGATTAGGATTTTGTCGATTCCTGATACCATTTTGTATGTAGTGATGATATAACCTTTTTCGTCTCTTCTAGCTTAGACATATTTAACACCTCTAGCCACTCATACTTCTTGTTTTCAGTTCTGGAAGTCATTTAGTTGCATGTCTTTACATCTTTTCCAGTTTACTGATGTGCTACTTGAGATATGGACACCATACAACTGCTGCATACTTTAATTTTGGTCTCACAAAGATTGTGAACACTTTCTTTAACGCTTAAGTTGTGCAACACATCATATGATGGGTTGAGTGATTTGCTATAAATTGGGCATCACATCATATGATGTATTGGAGTACTACGCAAGATTTAAACGGCCCGCGGATACACAGGATTCACCACACCTTCATCAGGGCTCTTGTAAACAGACGCCATTTAAAAAAAAATCATGGGCCAAATTCCCGGGTGTGAGGGGGCCTCAATATTGAATGAGCCACCAAGCCTGATGCAAGCAGCATGAGCTCACAGCACTGCTGTTCAGCTTGTGACCACAGCATCGCCTAAAAATGCCATAATATACATGTTCATGCTATTATTTAGTGATGATATTATTACAGCAGACCCCTGACTGTGATAAAAATGACCAGGATTCTGATAATAGCAGGATTGTTGTGATAATTAGCGCTGTAGTGGGAGGAGTAATCTTGGTGGGGCGGGAGGTAGCATTGTCTGCTGACTGTGTGACCACCTTTTACTGTCTGGACTCACTATACCAGCTTAGTTGTTCGCTATGGTAAACAAAACATGCAGATACTTATACATGACGTCTGTATATAAAAGCAAAAACAGTGTGGTGGGAGGAGAATGGTGGCGAGTCAGGTGAGGTGAGGGAGGGAGTGGCAGCCAGTGGCGGGCTACCACTGCCACTCAGCATACCAACTTAGTGGTTCGTTATGGTGAACACGAATGCAGATACTTATATATAATGTGTATATACAGTGTAATAACAGCAAAAGAAGTGTGGGGGAGAAGCCATTTTTGGTGATGGGTGTAGCAACATCTGCGTGATTTGTCATGCTGGTAGGGGTGGCCACTATGCTCTTTGGGCATTATACCGGCTTAGTTGAACAGTTATGGTGAACAAAACATGTAGATACTTACATATAATGTCTGTAAATAGGGTAATAACACCACAAACAGTATTGTTGGGGGTGAAATTTTAGTGCGTCTGACCTTGAATGTGTGAGGGAAGCAGCTGCCACCAGATTGTGTGTAGCGACGTCTCTTAGTGCCTGAACTACTGTAGACACTCGATTATCCGGGATTCGAATATCCGGAAAACACCCTTATACGGCCAAAATCGTGACCGGATAAAGTTATCTCAATATCTGGCCAAAATGTCTGTAGGAGCCGGAAAATCGGGTGTTTGGCCGGATAAAAAAATCTGGGCCAGTTAACTTGCTGCCGATTTTGCAATATCCGGACAATCAGCCGGACAAGTCGTGAATTGTCCGGATACGAAAGCCAGGCGGCGTGTCGTACCGTATTAATCCTGTATGGCTGTGGCTCTAGGTGCATGGTGTAGGAGGGGGTGGGGTGGGTGGGTGGTGTCTGGAGAGAGGGGAGCATTAGGAGGGACCACCTGGGGGATAAGGGGGATGTGGAGGGGCCTATACACTACAATACAGAAATTACCATTAATTTTAGAACAATTCATCATAGCCAAAAACAAAAGAAATACTAATAATTTTGCAATAACAAATATATAAGTTTCCTTAAAAAATATTGTGTTTTTTTCCTCCTGGCGGCCTACGTAAAGTGCCTCCTCCCTGCCCCAAGAGGACCCGTCCAGGCCTGGTCAAGCCATGTGCTCCCGTCCCTCGTGTTATACCACAGTGCCGTGCCATTAGTGAAATATTTTTTTTTAATAACGTTTTTATTTTCATAGTAACTTTGAACATTTTTGGCCAAGACTATGTCTGGTAGCAGCATCAATCGTTCTTGGGATGTTAAGAGGAAGAAGGTGGTCCAAACAATTAAAGACAAGTTACATGTTATACAACTTTGTGAAAATGGCCGGTCGACTTCAAGTGAAGTGAAGCCTGAGGCGAACCAAAGAGCTGATCATACAACAGGCCAATGAACACAGAAGGAAGGAAGGAATTTTCAAGGGAAAGCGCCAAGCCATTACGACTATATAGCACAGGGAAGAGGCTAAATAATAAACAGGGAAGCGCTAAATATCACCACAATCCTGCTATTATCAGAACCCTGGTCAGTTTTATCACAGTCAGGGGTCTTCTGTAATAATATCATCGCTACATAACATTATGAACAAGTATATTTTGGCATTTTTAGGTGATGCTGTGATCACAAGCTGAACAGCAGTGCTGTTAGCTCATGCTGCGTGCGCCAGGCTTGGTTGCTCACTCAATACTGAGGCCAATAACAACCGGGAGTTTGGCCAACGATTTTTAAAAAAAATGGCGTCTGTTTACAAGAGCCCTGATGAAGGTGTGGTGAACCCCGTGTATCCGCGGGCCGTTTAAATCTTGCGTAGTACTCCAACACGTCATATGACGTGATGCGCAGTTGACTGGAACAACGTCCAACACGTCATATGACGTGATGCACACTTTAAGGGTTAAAGAAAAATATGGTAATGATGAAAATTATGGTAAAAACAAGGGATTTGCTACACAGACTATTTGTTATAAAATTAGCACACACATATATGATATGTACTGTACTGTATGTCAGTACTGTATATGCAAAAATTATTTATAACTCAAACAAAAGCATCTCTTAGTTAACATGGGAACAAAGTTAGACACTTGCTTAAATTTCCTTAACAGACTCACTTTTTCTCATGGAGCATTCCAGTACATATAAACAGAGTAGTACAATATATGTATAAATGTGCAATATGCAATATATGAACTGATCTGGAAGACCAATCATAAGAGTGCCTCCACTTTGCACTCACCTGGAATGTCAGTTATATGAACACCTGAACTTCACACGTATATGAATGGTCAGCCGTAAGAATACCTTTTAATCCAAATTCACCCGCAATGTCAGCACTCAGTTGGAGCATTTACTATAAGAATAACTACATTCTACACTCACCTGGAGGGTCGGCCATAAGAACGCCTCCACTCCACATTTTCTTGAGGAAGACCAGTTGCCAGCCCTGCCTGCAACCCGTTGAACACATTGTTGTCCCCTGCATCTGGAGAATCCAAGCAAACCACACAATAACTTAATTCTTTGCATGATGCTTTTATAAATGTTTAATTATTTCTATAAGAAAAATGTGGGGTTTGAGGAATATTGTTGCACCATGGATGTGCATCACTTAAAACACTTTAGGATTTGGCCAGTAACTGGATGGGTAACCATGTGGATAACCTTGTCCTTAGGTAGGGAAGGGGGGCTGTGATAGGCTTGAATAGGATTCCTGTCCTGTCAATAATGAAAAACTAAACTTTGTGGATGACATTATAAATTTCAATTTTTTTTATTTTAATTATATTTTTGTTTTAAATATACAGTATACCAGAGTTTTTACATTCTTGTACAGCCACTAGCATGCATAGCATTTCAGGCAGGTCCTTAATCCTAATTTTTTCCACAGAATACAATCCGCCAAATCATTTAACAACTAGGTACCCATTCACTGGTGGGTGAACAGAGGTTACAGTTAAGGATTGGCACCCAGTCAATCCTCTCCATCCAGGATATGAACCCAAGCCAAATGCTTGCCAAGCACCAGGCGAGTGTTTTGCCACTGCACCATGGGAACTTCGGTACAATCTTATCCCCATGACTGAATTTTGTTCACAATCAGGTACAGGTATAATATTAATAAGTACATATATGGTATATGTCAGACAGAATTGAAGATATATCATATATATAATATACAGTACAAATCACACTATTCATTTTATTCTCATATTTACAGTATTCATACTTTAAAGTATTAAAGTATCCACTTGATTTAACGACCAAATTTGGGGCTGTACCCAGGTCGTTATTTCCGGGTCTCCGGTATTTCCAAAGTTATTGAAGTGTCGGTAATATTTTGAGTAACATTCAAGTAAGATATATTTTATACAGTGATACCTCGGAATACGAGTGTCCCTGTATACAAGTTTTTCGGAATACGAGCCAGATTTCCTCGGAAAATGTGCCTCGGAGGGCGAGGGTTACCTCGGAACACGAGTTCGTTGATATGCGTACAGGCCGACCTAGCGTGTGGTGGTATGGCGATTGTCGCCCCTCCACCCCTCAGTTTACCAGTGCCTCACACCCAGTGAATATCCCACGTCAATTCTTCATCCGGATTTTCAGTGTTTTGTTGGATTTTTGGTCATTTGATCATAAAAGTTGTTATTATATATCTCACTAAGGGTCCCAAGAAAGCTAGTGGTAAGGATCAAGGCAAGAAAGCCCATGTGAAGATGACAATAGAGGAGAAACAAGAGATCATTCGGAAGCATGAAAATGGTACACGTGTTATTGAACTTTGTAGGCAGTACAACAAAGCCACATCAACAATATGCACTATACTTAAGAAGAAAAATGAGATTATGAGTGCTAAAGTGGCAAAAGGCGTAAGAACAATGACGAAACAAAGACCCCAAATACTTGAAGAAGTGGAAAAGTTGTTATTAATTTGGATACACAACAAGGAATTAAGGGGTGGTAGTGTTTCGGAGGCAATCATTTGTGAGAAAGCCAGGTTATTGCACGAAGACCTTATAAAGAAAACCCCTGGAACGAGTGATGCAGATACGAAAGAGTTTAAGGCAAGCAGGGGGCTGGTTTGAAAAATTTAGAAAAAGAAGTGGTATCCATAGTGTTGCGAGGCATGGGGAGGTTACCAGCTCAGACAAACCAGCCGCTGAACGATTTATTGACGAATTTAACCCTTAAAGTGCGCATCACGTCATATGACGTGTTGGACGTTGTTCCAGTCAACTGCGCATCACGTCATATGATGTGTTGGAGTACTATGCATGATTTAAACGGCTCGCGGATACACGGGGTTCACCACACCTTTATCAGGGCTCTTGTAAACAGATGCCATTTTTTTTAAAAATCGTGGGCCAAACTCTCAGGTGTTATTGGCCTCAGTATTGAGTGAGCGACCAAGCCTGACGCACGCAGCATGAGCTAACAGCACTGCTGTTCAGCTTGTGACCACAGCATCGCCTAAAAATGCCAAAATATACCTGTTCATGCTATTATGTAGTGATGATATTATTACAGAAGACCCCTGACTGATAAAACTGACCAGGGTTCTGATAATAGCAAGATTGTGGTGATATTTAGCGCTGTGCTCCATGGAGGGAGGAGTAATGCTGTGAGAGGGAGGGTGGTGGCGATGTCTTCGTAAGATAGGATTTTAACCATAAAAGTAATCTTCCCTGTACGCCTAAACGCGCAAGCTTTGCGAGGAGGCAAGTATGAGGAATGCTATCAAAAGCTCCTTTGAGGTCTAAGTAGAGAACAATACAAAATTTGCTGCTTCTGAGGGAGGTGCGGATTTCATGTTCAAGGCAAAGTATTTGATCGAGTGTGGAGCATTGCGGTCGAAATCCAGCTTGGAGTGACGGTATAATATTATTATATTCTAGGTATTATTGGAGGCGAGTATGTACTAGTGTTTCCATGACTTTACTGAGACATGATAGTAGGGAAATAGGTCTATATGACGCAGGTTGGGATGGGTCTTTTCCTGGTTTAAGGAACGGAAGAATAATACTGGTCTGCCATTGTGAGGGAATATTTCCGTGAGTCCAGCATAGGTTGTAATAGTTTAGGAGAGTACTATGTGCAGTTGATGGGAGATGTTTAATGAGTTCATATGGAATTCCATCCTCTCCAGGTGCCTTGCCAAGAGGTAGGCGGGTTAAGGCTAATTGTAGCTCGCTTAAGGTGTATATGTTGTCGACGCCGGGCATGGGTAGCAGTATGGCACAGTCAATTTCTTGTCTGAGAGGGAGTTCTTGGGCATGAAAGAAGGGTGTTGAGAGGGTAACTTTAAGACATTCAGCAAGAACATTTGCACGCTCCTGAGGTGTTTGACAGAGTGAACTGTTGATCATCAGGGGGAACGAAGGGAATGTTGGGCGACCTTTAATGCTGTTAAATGTAGCCCAGACTTTTGAATGTGGCGTAGTGGGTGTGAGGCTATCACAAAATTTTGCCCATGATGCTCGCTTTGCTGACAGTATGGTTTTTTTGGCTTCTGCTGTAGCCCGCCGGAGATTAACCCAGTTCTGTAGGGAGGGTTGACGTCTTTGTTTTTGTATGGCTCGTCGGCGTAAACCGTAAACTGTTCGTGCACATTCCGCGTTCCACCACGGTTTAAGTGGTTTGTTGGACCTATGTCCTGAAGTTTTCTTGAGCATTTGGGTGGCTGCAGAATTTATGGCCGAGGTGATTGTGGACAGTCGCGTGTTGGGGTCTACATCGTCTGTATCTGGGAGACAGACAGTATCAGCCCATTTTTTCTTATCTAGTTTCTTAATGTTCCACTTGGGGAGATTTAGGGGGTGGGTTGGTGGCTGAAAGTTAGTAAATTTTATAATGAGGGGTTTGTGGTCACTTCCAATATCTGGTCCAGTATGAAACTGTAGTTCTTGTTGAAAGTGTGCAGAGCCAAAGCAGATGTCCAATGAGGCTTCATAATTGGTTCTGTAGTTAAAGTAGGTTGCAAGGTAGGGCGGCGAAAGAAGAATATATGGTGTACAGTATCCACTCAATTTAACGGCCTCTTTTATACCAATCTGCCGGTATTAACGACCGGTTTGGGAGACCGGTATCTGGAGCCTGCTATACCGGTCTGCGGTCGATATTACCGACGGTCTGTCGGTATTGGGTTTGTTGTGGCATCAGCGTCCCCTCACATGGCGACCAGGCCACCGACCTGGATCGTCCAGAGTCATATATTACATCTTAATTTTCTTTTAAAATGATTCACTTTAATGAAGAAAATTGTAAATTATTATTAATAAAATATTTTGAAACAGTTTTTATTAAGCAAAAGTCTTTGTTTTCTTATTAAATACCTTTTATAGTATAGGCACTAGGTATTTTTTTTCCCACGGACCTAGAATGTACTTCGCCGGGCCATGTGTTCCCATTGTTTACAGTACTGTGAACTCGCGCGGCTAGCTTCAATTGTGAAGGATATTACTGTACTGTAATTGTGATCTTCTTTTTAATTTACAAAAATGCCAAAAGTTACCCAAAGGAAGCGCCTGACGGTTGCACAGAAGCTGGAGTTAATTAAGAAACTTGATAAAGGATATTCTCATGCACGAGCAGCAGCAGAGTTTAACATCAGGAAAAGTACAGTAAGTGACATCAAGAAACAGAAGGATACTCTATTAAAATACTGTATGCCTGAAAATAAGTGTACATACAGTATGTACCCTGTATACAATATAAACAATATAAAACAAGCGCTGCAGAGGATGACGTAATCTTCACAGCTTCGTAATCTTCAGCTTCATTAAAAGTAAGTCAATTTACCAATTTTATTATAGTATTACAAGATATTAATTGTTTTTTTTTCAACAAAAGCTACATATTAGTCTCTGCAAATGTATATTCTATCGTCAGCAGAGAATAGGTGAGCTCAAAATATTTCGTCTTGGCTAGCTCTCAGTGACAAGGCTCGATCGCCATTGTTATGGCATGGCCGCCACAGCCTGTGTTGTAACATTAAAAGCAAGTCAATTTACCAATTTTATTATAGTATTACAAGATATTAATTGTTTTTTTTTCAACAAAAGCTACATATTAATCTCTGCAAATTTATATTCTATCGTCAGCAGAGAATAGGTGAGCTCAAAATATTTCGTCTTGGCTAGCTCTCGGTGACAAGGCTCGATCGCCATTGTTATGGCATGGCCGCCACAGCCTGTGTTGTAACATTAAAAATACATTACCTGCACTGTTCAGGGTAAATCAAAACACATCTCTAAAATATTATTGAGAAAATATTAACTTGCTGATTGATACATGAAATATTTTGCAATACAAAGGAATGAATCAATTTTTTCCCACCCATCTGGGCTTGACCAGACCGAGTTCACACATCATCCATGCAGCAGCCAACAACTGGCTTAATTGTCGGTGTGGCACTAAATTGGAATGCAATTACACAATGAACTTTATTTAATTTTAGTTATACAGTATAAAATATATCCTACCTGAATGTTACTTGAAAAATTACCCGACCCGACTTAACTTCGGAAATAACGGAGCTCCGGAAATAACGACTAGGGCTCAGCCCTATATAGGCCGTTAAATTGAGTGGATACTTAGTGTCTAAGTAGTTATATAAATCGGTGCTTGCAGTATTTTGGGCACCTCTACTCCATGTGGGGTGGTTTGCATTGAGATCACCTGTAACAATGATTGGTTGCCGTAATTGGTTTAGATAGAATTCTAGTTCATTTAAATTTATTGTGTCACCAGGGTTGTATATACCCAGAAAGGATATGTGTGTACCATTGTAGGGTATTAGGCATGCTAAAATTTCTAGCTTACCATTTACAAAATGTGTAAGCGTTACAGGTTTACATGTCATGTTACTCCGTGTTAGGAGGAAAATACCACCACCCATACGGTTTGGTCTGTCCAGTCTCTGCATCTGAAAGTTTTTAAAAATAGGATTTTGTTTAGGGGTGAGCCAGGATTCAGTTATGAAAGCTAAGTCCAGTTTGGATGAGTAAAGGAATTGTTTAAGTTCTGTGAGAGATGTTTTAATGCTTTTTGCGTTCCAAGTCATGAATGTTAGGGGAGCCATTTAGGATGTGTGGGTTATGGATGTGTCTGTTTTCCTTGGCATGCCAGTAGTAGTACGTGTTGGATACCTAGATGTGGATGTGGGCTCAACACCTTTCATGTTTGTACTGTAGTCACAGATTGCATTCGGCTTGTTGACAGTTACCTGTTTCACTGAGGATGTTCCATCACGATTCCGTACTCATTTTCTACGTTCAACTTGTTGTGTATCTGCATTGCGGCAAGTTGTTATCGGTGAAACAATTCGTTAATCTTTCCACAAAATTATGAAAGTGTTGTCCTTGCATTTGAATAACGTTTTATTTACCGGCACTTTATCCTTTGCTTGCATCTGAAGGGTTTTAGGTGCACCATGCTGCATTCTGATGGCACCACAGGTGTAACCCCTACTTCAAGCAGCAATTCACTCAACCGAACCGAATTATAATAGTTGTCCATATATAAATGGTAATCTTGGTTCTTCAGTGGATCAATCAAGCCCATTACGGTTTCTATCGTTGTTTTCCCAATTCCTGAATAAATTTCAAAATAAAAAATGTAGCCAGTCTTGGATTCAGCTAGCATTTAGAGCTTTATTACATATTTATCAGGTTTATTGGGATTATAGGTCTTGGAAGATAGACGGCCCCACCATGCCATTGTCCCTTCATCCAAACTCCAATTTTTCTGGGAAATGTATAATGTCTTGAATCTATTTATGAGATATTGCATGACTGAGCGAACTTTGATAAGTCTGTCAACTTTTTGGCCTTGTGGTATGGACTTATTGTTATAAACATGGAAATATTTAGCAATCATTTCAAATCATTTACCAGTCATAAAGGTGTTGAAACAAGGTATGTGCCAGAATCTGCCTGTTTGCCAATACATTCTAAGTCTTGGCAACGGGCAAATACCTATCAAGATCATCAGTCCCAAATATCTGGCAATGTCTTTCACTGTCACTGGTTCCGTCTCTTGTTTGTCGTTTTCCCAGTACGTGCCTTACTTTGGGAAGCATACAGATTAGTTTCATAAGCAATATATTTCAACAAGCTTTGAGTGAGAACTAGTTGAATAAAACCCAAAGCAGTGGTAGGTACAGGAAGAGTCAAGTCTGGTGTAGCTGTAAAACTGTCTACAAAGGGTGAAGTATTGTCACTACACCACCCTCCATCAGAATCTGTTGGTGGTGGGGTATGTGTGGTAAGTCTGGCTCTGGCACGAGCTCCAGTATTTCGCCATGCACGATTGGCAGTCTCGCTCTCAGACTCATCATTTCCATCACTACCAAAATCCTCCTCGGCTGTCTCTGTTTCAATACATTCACTACCTTCATCAGTGTCAGTCTCAATAACACTTTCCAAACTAGATAACTCCGACAAATCGTCAAATACAGCCTGAAACTTAGAGGGTGTTAGTCTCACTCGCTTGTACTTCTCTTATACACTACTTAGCTTCTCCTTTTCACGCCTTTCTTACGCAAATTTCTTCCTGGAAGGGCCTTGTTCATGATCACTATCCATCGTGAAGTAAGCGCAGATAGTTTCTAAAGCTGCAGTAAGAAATATAGCCACGGAAAACAGCCGAAATGTTCACACGTTTGAGACGCGAGGGGAGGCGACATCGGTCACAACAGTGGAGCGAAAACAATGTTCCTACAGCGTGTGCCGCGCCGCCTGGGTGCCACGAGGCCTAACAAGGAAAACGGGAAAACGTTGGCACGCAGTTTAAAACCGGTCCCAGAAAAATCGGATAAAAACCCGGATTTTGGGTAAATATTTTAATGAACGACGCAATGCTGTGTTGTTACCAGGAATGCGTCTACTAAAAAAACGATGCATTGCTGCGCCGTTACGGAGCGAAAGTGTTAAGCAGTTCCCTATTACTTTATGTGATGGAATGTGCATTCGGTGCATATTTAGGTACCCCCTATCATATGCAGCCTGTCCGCCTAAGGTTTCCCAACGTCAAGAAAACGGTCAATTTAAAGTATCTTGTTACGACCCTGGGTTCAATTTGGTACTCTGCAAAGGAATCCAGGATTGTAGCATCTCTGTTTACACATGTATAGGGACAATTCACTCAAGTATTTTAGTGATAGGCGCTGAATGTTTTGGATTGTGTGTGGGATTTTGGTTAGTTATATTATAGTTTGTTAGGTTGGAGTTTAAGAAGACGTGAACTCCTATAACATCTTATATTCAAGAGAACTGTTCCTCAGTTTGGCAAAATGGCAGTTTATCGTTTCCTTGCCAGACATAAGAGCATTTTAGATGCTCAGACTTTTAAGTACAATGTGTTAACATTCTGTTAACATATTGTAAGTTAGGATATACTTAGTAAGTTAGTAAGTTAGTTATACTTAGAACTGAATAGTGGCAAGTTAATACAGTATTGTATTGGAGGATAAGTAAATGTTACTGTACGATCAGTTAATGATTTAGGCAGCAAGCTGCATTGCGAGAAGTCGGTCTTCTCTAACTAACAACGGAGCAGTCTCCGTGGTGTAGTGGTAAGACACTCGCCTGGCGTTCCGCGAGCGCTATGTCATGGGTTCGTATCCTGGCCGGGGAGGATTTACTGGGCGCAATTCCTTAACTGTAGCCTCTGTTTAACGCAACAGAAAAATGTGTACTTGGATGAAAAAACGATTCTTCACGGCAGGGGATCGTATTCCAGGGACCTGCCCGAAACGCTACGCGTACTAGTGGCTGTACAAGAATGTAACAACTCTTGTATATATCTCAAAAAAAAAAAAAAAAAAAAAAAAAAACTACACTCGGGACTGGTCGGACATTGTGCTGTGGGCTCTCTCTTTTTACCTCCTTCCATCTTTTTCTCTCCTTAATCTTTACTGTACAGGATAAGTGAATACCATTATTGAATGTGCCAGTTGATGTTCTAAGTGTAATTGTATCCTAGTTGATTATTTTGAGTTCCAGTGTTAAGTTGTCTGGGGCTGACTAGTGAACACGTGTTGCGTGTTACAGGAGATTAAGTTAAGTGGTGTGTGCTGTCCCTTAAAGAATGTAGACCTTACCTCTAGTTTGCTGTATGTAACTCTCGTCTCCTGCATATGTGGAGTCAGAGAGGTAACGCAAGATCGAGGTGGTAAGTTAGTTGTTGTTCAGTACTTGGGGGGGAGGGTTTAGGGTTAATAAATTATATTAAGGTACAGTAATTTAAAGCTGGAGTTCCAATCACTCTTAGTGTACTGGGGTTTAGGTGATCAATGCCAGATGACAGACCATATGTGGCAATAACTTATTTTTTTATTGGGAATTGTTTCCCTGGGAGTCAGGCCTTGCCTAACCCCATTGGGTGGAGCTCCCTTACCTTAAACATTGACCATGCAGAGCACCCACTTTCCTAACATGTCCTCTCCTAACCTACCAGAGGACCCAAAACAGAAAACGGGACAGTATGTCACTTTCATGAGCCGCTTCCATTTTCTAGTACCGTATGACTATTTTTGGCCTTGTGTAACGCATACGAGCAAAAAGCGGCATACTTTGTAGGAGGACAGGTTGCATATGTGATGAGTAGCCGAAGGATTAGGTTGACAATTGAGATAAAGCTCTGAGAAATCCCACCTAAATATGAGAAATGAGGCATTTACTAGGGTGAAACTGGCCCTGAATGAAAATGTTTAAATTTTGGACTAGGAAGGAATCTAGTATAGCAACAATTTTGTTTTGCAATACCAGAAGTATTCCTGCAATATCAAATCCACACTAGTGTCCCAGAGAAGAATGCGAGTACAGTACTCTCATCAGTTAGTGGCCAACACATATGTGTCCTCTCATCACATATGTGATTGATAATGATAAAGTAATACAGTAGTGACTTGGTGTTATGCATGTAAGTCTTTGTTTTCAAGCACAGTCCAAGTACAGTACTCTTCTCCATGTATTAGCAGCAATTCTCATGAGCAATTTTTTTGCAAATAGGCTATTTATACATAAAAAAATTAATATGCAGGATACTTTAAATATCTCACCTGAGCAACATGTTGAATTATTAAAAAAAAAAAAAAGCTTTACCACATATACTTACATTGATGGCATAAAATTGATTTTACATTACTTACAATACATAAACAATATAGCAATAATCTCATGTATGATTTTAATAGTTTAAAGAACTTGCAACCAACTTCAATTCTGCCCCAAACTACTTCATTGCTAACACTTCTAAAAGGAGGGAGAGCTTACAGGTGAGTATAGGACGTCTGCTCATGGTAAAGGTCGACTTCAGTACAAGTCTGCTCCTAACAGCAGTCTATATGAGGTTGCAGCAGCAGAAGAGGTGATGTATGTCTCATGGGCAGCTGCAGCAGCAGTGACAAGTGTCTCGGGGACAGCATCAGCAGCCTGACATTCGTTTCCGTCTGTAGTTCAAGATACAGTCACCTGCAGACTGACAACAACAAGTGTTCAAGGCGACAAACTGACAATAACAAGTGTTCAATGTAACAAACTGGAAGAGTGACAAGTGTTGTTGTTGTGTTGATTTAGGGGCGACGACGAAAGTGTTGTGACACAGGACTGGAGGACTGGAGGACGCCCCCAGCTGCTGACCCAGATGTAAACACAACCGTTCCTTCTCATACACCAAAATAATTATCACATTTTTACAATTTTAAGTTAAGCAAAATAAAATATAAGTTTATCTAAATTTAAAATGAATATGCATAAATGTTATTATATGTGACTTGTTATTTTATATTACATTATATTTTAAATAAAAAACAATTAGCACAATAAATTTTCCCAAATCTGAACAAACTAATCTAAAACTAAAATTAATTTAAAGCCATTACATATTTCAGTATTTACTTATATGTAAAATAAATATATCTAAATAATTATGGTAATTATTATCATAAGTACATTGACAGGGAATTTTTATGGGATTTTCATATTGGTGCGAGAGGGCGACTGTTACGGACCCGAGCCCGACGTCCGAGCACGGAGCAGTGACGACCGCGCCATCTGTGGGTCAGCTCCCGAAACCCCCTCCAAATGGACGACGACACCTGGTGAGGACGAAGTGTACTGGCCACAAGGGCCAGTTTCCAGTCTTGTTCAGCTCACAACACAGCCGTTGCTGACCTCTGGTGAGGTGGTGCTCAGACGACAACGCCATCTGTGGAGTGGATAGGTGGGCGTTTGTGTCTGGGCCTGTTAGTGAGGTGCTTTTGTGTGTCCCTGTTACTGATGACGTGTCTGATTACAGAGTCGACCTGGGACTGCTGTAATGGAGGTTGGATCAGTCTACCCAAGGCAGCCGTCTCGACACCAAGTGTTTTGCTGCAGCAGCTGTGAGTCGCCTCCCGGATGAACACTGTGGTGTTACCCTGCCTGTGAAGCGGCAGTTGAGGATTGTCATACCCGGGACTGACTGGTGGAGACGCTTAACCACTGGGGTATTGTGGACAGGAGAGTGATCTGTGGTATCACACGAGGCTCCTGACTAGGGCGCTACCCTAGCATCGCTCTTGGAGTGGCCTGACCAGTGTTGCTGATCCGGAACCTGCCAGCTGTCTGTTGGACTTGCGGTTGACGGCCTCCATGGCGGTGCCCCCAGTGGAACTGTGTTTTGGCTGGCCTGTGGCCGGGGTAGACTCAGCTTTTCGAAGGATTCGTCGTGAGGCCACGAGAGCACCGAGAACTTGGCATCGAGAAGATCCAGAGTCTTCAGACGAAGACGACAGTGTAGATAATACCCCTGTGTAGTGTTTATACCCTCCCCCGAGTAATCTTATATATATTTATTGGTGAAGGTGCTAATTATAATATTAAGTTTTTGCCTTTCTTTCCCTTCCCCTTTTAGTTTACTTGCGTTACTGATCACATCCCTTGAAAGCCACTACTGGCTTGGGGCCAGATACCCTTCCTCTAACAACATCAGAGTAAGAACCCAGTTGCGACCCGAGAGGGCCGTAACAGCGACCTTGGTATACCCGAACTTAGAATAGAATCCGGCCCCTGTGTATTATTATTTATTTTTTTTGCAAACTTAAGCTTAAGTATAAACAGCAATGTGCTGCTACCCTATTCTATATGAAAGATTACACATTGTAGATCAAAAACTAGTTATAAGTTCATCTAATATTCCCATCTCACAGGATGGTTAGTCATACATGGAATCAGGGAAGAAAATACTGTAGCGAGTAATAAAATTTGAGTAATAAAAACAAATAACACATAGCATTTTATTTAGGAAAAGTACATACATAGATGCAGAGTTACAAACATACTGTTAGATTTATATATATATATAAATAGAGCTAGTACATACAATACCTAAAGCCACTAATATTTATTTATATATATATATATATATATATATATATATATATATATATATATATATATATATATATATATATATACAAGAAGGTACATTGGAATTGTGAGGATATATAGCATAGTAATTACATTCTTGTAAAGCCACTAGTACGCGCAGCGTTTCGGGCAGGTGCTTAATCTAAGAAACTTGTAAGTAGGTAAATACTTGGAAAATTTATAAAAAGGATAACAGTTACATAGCATGAAAAAAATAAAAGATGAGAGAAAAATTGTAGGTATAACAAGGCTCATAGGTAGCACAGAATGATTGCAATGACAGCTTGAATGGTAGTTTAACAAAACTTAGCAGGCACAACACAGCATATAGCTAGCACATAAAAGAAGACAGCAATGAACACAATGATAAAGTTGTTTGGATTAAGTACATAAAGATTGGGAGATTGGGTAATACTAGATACAGAGCAAATTTAAAGCTCAGTGTAGGAAACTACGAAGATGAAATTAGGTACTTTTTGGTTTTGTTTTTAAATGAGGCAAAAGTTTGACAGCTTTTCAATTCACTAGGGAGTGAGTTCCATAGACTAGGTCCCTTAATTTGTATAGAGTGTTTACACAGATTAAGTTTGACTCTGGGGATATCAAAGAGATATTTATTTCTGGTGTGGTGATAATGGGTCCTATTACATCTGTCCAGGGAGAGTTTCAGAGCATGGTTTGCATTTAAGAACATGGTTTTGTAAATGTAATTGACACAAGAGAATGCGTGGAGGGAGTTAATATTTAGCAAGTTAAGGGATTTAAACAAGAGAGCTGAGTGTTGTCTGAAAGCAGAGTGTGTTATTATTCTGATAGCAGATTTTTGCTGAGTGATGATGGGCTTAAGGTGGTTTGCAGTGGTAGACCCCCATGCACAGATACCATAATTAAGATAGGGGTAGATTAGTGCATAATATAGTGAGAGGAGAGCAGAGTTAGGAACATATCTTATTTTGGAGAGTATTCCAACTGTTTTAGAGACTTTCTTAGTTATGTGTTGAATGTGGGTGCTGAAGTTGAGTCTCTTGTCTAGGAATAAGCCAAGAAACTTTCCATTTTTATTCCTGATGTTAATGTTGTCTATCTTTAGCTAATACTAATACTAATATTGTTAGTATTGGTATTAGTTAGTATTAATGATATTCCATCCTCCAGTACTAATATTCAGGACTATCTTACAGGTAACTATCAACAGTCTTAAGCTATATCTTGCTCTGGTTAGGCTTTTTACCCCTTATTTTATTTACGTCTTGCCAGATTTCCTTCAAGTTTCTGTTACTCCCAACTTTCTCTGCAAACTCCTGCCAATACTTGCTCCTAATTTCCTTTCTCTTCTCCCCACACAGCCTACCAACTGCCAGTAAAGCATTCTTCCCTTCCTCAGTCCTACCATTCCTATTCCAAATCCTGTGAGCTCTCCTCATTGTTAATGTCCGCCCCTTAAGCATCTTGTCATGTGTATAATTTTCTTTTCTGGGGGGATGCTTTTCTATACTAGATGTTTTCCGGTTCAATGTTGCATTAAATACATCTACCTCCTTAATTAAATCTTCATAAAATGCTTCTGCCGAAACTGGCTTATAAGTATCATACCAAGACTTAATATGGCCAACAAGACCCCTTAATTCTCCCTCATTAAACTGTAACCTTTTCCTCTGAAGGCAGGCATTCTTTTTATCTAGTTTAAGCTGTATTTGTAATGCAAAATGATCACTTAGCTATTCCTCTACAGTAAGAGGAATACCATCCACAGTAAGACAATTCCCCTCTATGCCCTCAGCATTTATTAAACAAGCATAATCTAATCTCCCTCCCCTCAAATGAGTAGGAGAGGGCTCGCCCAGCAGTTGAACATCTTCATGTTCCTGCAAAAACTGGTACCATCTGCAACCATTTCTATTTGCTTTACCCCTTGATCCTAAAGCTGGATGTCTGGCATTAAAATCCCCTACCACAAGTGTATCTTCAGAAAAGAAGGAATCTGGCAAGTATCTTAAATCAAGGGAGCTATCAGAGATGTATAGATTAATGAAATTTAACTCTCGGTCCTTTAATTGTATCCGCAAGCTAATACTTTCAATACCTCTATATCTCTGAGGGATTCCAGTTATCTCGGCAGGTATGGTACTTTTGACATAACATGAGACCCCCCTAGTTCCTCCATCAGCATATAAGTGAAAGCCTCTATAGCCATTTAGCCTCAGTATGCTACCATCCCTATCCCCAGTTTCCTGGAGTGCTACTATGTCAATATCCTCTCTAAGAGTATAATAGTGTACATCCACCGCTCTAGTTTTTAATCCATTAACGTTCCAAGATAAAGTTCTCAATTTACTTTCATCCATGATTAATAATAAAACTACCTTTGCCCTGTCCGTCACATTCCATGAGATACGAGAGTACCTTAGAAACTTCCTTCCAACACCGTAACATTTTTGCTTTCTCCTCACCTTCACAACTACTACTAACATCGAAGGTAATATTATTCATATCTATTTTCTTTGTTATTTCTGTAACCCGTTTTACTTTAACAGTTCTTTCAACATTTGTCACAACAGGAGGTTGAACCCCGCGAACACTACTAGAAGGTGTATTCTCCTGACTATCCTCTATCATCAATACGTCATGCATATCATTACTTTCTTCTACGCACGTTTCACTTTCCATTTCACGTCCTGTTTCACTTTCAATTACACGTCCTGTTTCACCACCATCTTCACCCCGTCTACCCACCATAGCCAATTTTTCCAATGCTTCAATCCTCTTATCTAGTTTTTTTAGATACTCCAAAATTTGATTACCAACCTCAGAGGTGGCCATATTGTCCTGAACCTTATAATAAATAAATAAATAAATAAATGTTTATTTAGGTAAGGTACATACATACAAGAGATTTTACAAAGACTGACGGATTTATAGATAGAGCTAGTACATATAATGCCTAAAGCCACTATTACGCAAAGCGTTTCGGGCAGGAGAAACATTAATGACTAAAGCTTAATACTAATTGGGTATAAAGAATATAATGTGTTGAGAACAAATAAAAATAGAGATAAAAGAAGGTGGAACATGGCTGAAAAAGCTGCACAAATACAATTAGGTCGATAAACAGCGTTGTTTAAAAAAAACAGACATGGGTTGACAATAGAGGGGTAAGGTAGGTTACAGGGAATTTATTAGGTATAGCTTCGTTTTTATCTTAAACTGGTTGAGAGAGGTACAGTCTTTAACATGGTTGGGAAGGTCATTCCACATTCTGGGCCCCTTGATTTGTAGAGCATTTCTAGTTTGATTAAGTCGTACTCTAGGAATATCAAAACCGTATTTATTTCTGGTGTGGTGCTCATGGGTTCTGTTACAACCTTCAATGAAGCTTTTGAGGTCAGGATTGACATTACAGTTCAGCGTTTTATATATGTATAATACACATGAGAGAATGTGCAGTGACTTAATATCTAACATATTCAGAGATTTGAGTAGGGGTACCGAGTGATGTCTGGGGCCAGAGTTGGATATTGTCCTAATAGCAGCTTTGTATTGAGTAATTAGAGGACGTAAATGATTTTGGGTTGTAGAGCCCCATGCACAAATACCATACTTGAGATATGGATAGATAAGGGAGTAATAGAGAATCACCAGGGCAGGGCGGGGTACATAATATCTGATCTTAGAAGAAATGCCAACAGTTTTTGAAACTTTTTTTGATATATTTAGAATGTGTCCCTGGAAATTCAGCTTGTGGTCAATGAGAACGCCAAGGAATTTGCCATCTAATTTGTTACAAATTTGGGTATTGTTTATTTTGATATTTATTTGATTAGAGGATTCATTGCCAAACAGAATATAGAAAGTTTTGTCAATGTTAAGGGTGAGTTTGTTGGCAGTTAGTCACAGATGGACTTTATTTAGCTCAGTATTTACTGTGGCATTTAGAGCAAGGGGGTCAGGACTGGAGTAAATGAAGGTTGTGTCGTCAGCAAATAGAATTGGTTTGAGGTGTTGGGAGGCATTTGGAAGGTCATTAATGTAGATGAGAAAGAGGAGAGGGCCAAGTATGCTGCCCTGAGGAACACCAATGTTGATGGGTAGGGTGGGAGAAATTGAATTATTCACAGAAACATACTGGAGCCTGTCAGTAAGGTAAGATTTGAAGTATTGTAGGGAGTGTCCTCTGACTCCATAATAATGTAATTTAAGAAGGTTTTGGTGGTTGACAATGTCAAAAGCCTTACGCAGGTCCACAAATAACCCAACAGGGAACTCATTTTTATCAAGAGCTGCATATATCAAGTTAATCATACTAATAAGTGCATCGTTAGTGCTTTCTTGGGGTCTGAAGCCATATTGACAAGAGCTAAGTATATTGTGTTTGGCTAGATAAGAGTAAAGCTGCTTGTAGATTAGTTTTTCAAATATTTTTGACAAGTTAGGAAAGATTGATATAGGTCTGTAGTTGTTAACATCTGTGAGATCACCACATTTATGAACAGGGGTTACTCTAGCTTTTTTTTTAGAATATCTGGGAAGGTTTGGAGTTCAAGTGACTTGTTGAAGAGCAAAGCAATAGCAGGGGCTAAAGATCTGGAGGCTTTTTTGTAAATTAAAGTTGGTATCTCCTCAAGGGCACCAGACTTGGTTTTAAGGGAAAGGATTATCTAATTGACGTCAGTGGAATTAGTAGGCTTTAGGTACAGAGACTGTGGATAGTTACCTGTAAGATAGTCCTTAACATCAGTACTGGAAGATGGAATGTCATTTGCAAGGGATGACCCAATGGAAGAGAAGAACCTATTGAACTCACACTGGACTTGTCCTCACAAGGTTTCAGTTTTTCCACTGCATGATTTACTTTCCCTAGGCTCGCCTTTATTTTCTCCGCCCCTTTCTCCCACACATTGATCATAGGGGCTGTCGTTGGCTTCCAGCTGTTTCCTCCATGTTCCTCTTGCACAATCTTTCCTTGCTGCGAGGATACATCTATCCTGCTTGTAGGACCCGTCCTAGTCTCTTTCAGATGAGGCTTCATGGGGCATAGAGAGGAACCAGTATTGTGGCTGCCTCGACAGTTGCAACAAAATGGGACGATTTTTTCACTTCTTTCAATCTTGACTCTACACTCTCGCGAGTCGTGTTTCTTCCCACAATACCGACACCTGGAGTCAAACTGGCATTTCCATGCCATATGTCCCCAACGTGAACACTTCATGCACAGTATGGGCTCCTCAATGGAATTTGCAACGTTCCTATAGCCTAGTCCTTGCACAAAAATTTTCTCCGGCGCCTCACCCTTTACCAAGGCAACAACCTGGCTTTGTTTGTCACCACGAACACTGTTCCTCTTTGCCCAGACAACATTATCATTGTTAAGAAGAAGACAGTCAGGATCCAAATAAGTTGGAAACTTGAAAACTATGATCTTTGTGTGCATCATACCTTCTTCTGGAGGAACCATCACTACATTTTCCAAACCAACCGTCGTGAGGCGTTCCACGGCCTGTTCAGTCCCAACTGTTATGTAGGGCCGGTGAAGACCCTCCTTGAAGAGTGGTTCGTATTCCAAACATTCTTTAGCCAGACATACCGTCCACTCCAGCTTTTGGTGGATATTCAATTGGCATGTTGTAGGGAACAACAGCCTCTTCCTTCTATTAAATTGCTTGTCTTGAGTCCTGCTGAGTAGGGTCTCATTCTTTGGTCTCTTTGTAATTTCATCGTCACTCTCACTGTCTGTTAATATTTCTCCATTTCTTTTTGTTCATTGCTACTTCAAACGGTCTGTTATCATCTTGTCTATCCTCCTCACTACCACTTAAGCATACCGCTTCAGCCATTTTCTCGACACTCATAGGCACTGTCAACAATCGAGAACAAATTCACAATATCCTGTATCACCACGTGCAAAGACGAAGAGTGTGGGGGCAATACTCCACCTCCCACCAAGCAGCGGACGCCAAGAGCGCCAACACTGCGACCGCACACGACCGTGGTCCGGTCACAACTGTGGAATTAGTAGGCTTTAGGTACAGAGACTGTGGATAGTTACCTGTAAGATGGTCCTTAACATCAGTACAGGAAGATGCAATATCATTTGCAAGGGATGACCCAATGGAAGAGAAGAACCTATTGAACTCAATAGCAGAATCAGAGGCCGAAAGCTGACCATCGTTATTGGACAGAAGTTCCTTCCATTAGTCTACATCTCCCACGTCCTGCTGAGCATGACTTCATTTTTTGGTCTCTGTTATTTCCTCCTCACTTTCTCCGTCTCGCTGTCTTTGAATATTTCGCCGTTTATATCTGTTCACTACTGCTTGATACGGCCTAGTATCATCCTGTCTGCCATCCCCACTGTCACACTCCAGCAGGCCCAGTGCAGGATCTTCTATCACCTACCTACTTAAAACCTTCCTACTTCCTACTTCCTTACCTTCCTACTTAAAATTATCTGCTTGATTAAGGACCTGCCCGAAACGCTGCGCGTACTAGTGGCTTTACAAGAATGTAATTACTGTACTATCCAATGTACCTTCTTGTATATATATATAAATAAAATAATAAATAAATAAATAAATAAAATAAACCTATGCAGACCGCCTCAGCCATGTCTGTTATTTTTAAACAATGCTGTTTTCTGAGGTTGGAAGAAAACGTGCTCAGATTGGGGACTTGTTTATTTTATAATGGTAAATAATAAATATATAAAATTAATATATAATAAATTAATTTATTATATAAATTAATTTATTATATAAATTAATTTATTATATAAATTAATTTATTATATAAATTAATAAATAACAAATTAATAGATAAAATTATTATTATATAATAAATAATAATAATAATAACAAATAGTATAATGATAAGCAATTATTTTTAATGCATCAAATAGCTAATTAGGATGAATGATAAATAATTATTGACTAGTGCATAACAATAAAGTATTAAGGAATAATTATAATGAATAATCCTTAATGATAAAGTAGAGATCAATTACAATTAATAACTACATCCATAGGTAGTAAATGAAAGTTGCATTAATTAGACTAATTACAATTCATGGGAATATTTCTTAGCTATCTGCAGGCTTATCACTTTGGGGGTTCCGGCGGAGCACCACCAAAGATACAGCAAAAGTTTAGCATGCTAGAGCAAGTGCCCCTTGAGTACATCTGTGGGCCGTCCCTTTCGAAATTAAAACAGGGGATGCGGAGGATCCCGGGAGGAGGGTGGGCGTTATGTAAGAGCAGCTGCTGGCTTGGGGAAAGGGGCCCACGCCGTCTCCGTCCCGGTTTATATAACCTCGGGTCAATGCGCGCGCAGCTTGGGGCGGTTAAAGTCGGCTTCCAGACATACGTTTTCTTCCACTCAGAAAACCCACCGTTTTTGGGAAAGAGTGTTCTTTTTGTCGACCAAATTATATTTTTGCTGTTTTCCTGCCATGTTCCCCCTTTTTTATTTTTATATTTTCTCAACACATTTTATACTTTAATCTCAGTTAGTTTAAATTTTATTCTTTAGTGTTTTTCCTGCCCGAAACGCTTTGCGTAATAGTGGCTTTAGGCATTGTATGTACTAGCTCTATCTATATATTCATTAATATCTGTATCACCCCTTGTATGTATGTACTTTACATAAATAAACATTTTAATTTTTAATTTTTAATTTTTTGAAAATTTGAGTTGCGCGAGATGCCCATCTTAAGACAGGCGAGAGTTCCAAGTTGGGACGGAAGCTATCAGCTGATAGTGTAAACATTGACCAGGTGACGTGCAGGAGACTTGGGTCGTGCTCACCACCTGACTGCTCAATTTCACCATTAAGGGAATATACTTTCATCGTTTTCTTCAAATCAGGACTGGCAGGGCACGTAGGGCTTGGCCCCGTCGCTGCCCCTAATACTAACTTCACTAACTCATTTCATGCTCTCTCGCTAAGGTATTGGTCATTGAGGGGTCGTAAAATTATATCCTTTGATTCAAGATGGAGAAGGATTTCATTATAATTTAAGGTTTTGCGAATCACCTTAGCACAAGAACTGTAGGGACAAGCGATAATACAATGTCTTGTCCTGACAATATTTATTTGAGGCTGTTATACAATTTTATACATGGTACTGTCATGCACAGTAGTATGTCCCTAGTGTTAAAATGATCACGTCACATACCTCGTGCACAGTACTATATGTATAAAACCCCAAAATGTATCTATTTTTTTTATTAGGTTAGACTTGATTAGAATACAATAGGTTAAATTACTTTTGTTTAAATAATAAGATAATAAATGGTTTTGTCAGGGACAGAAAGCCTATTGCATGTAATTACCTAAATGTAGTTACAGGGCAAGAGCTACGCTCGTGGTGTCCCGTCTTCCCAGTACTCTTTGTCATATATGCTTTGAAACTACTGACGGTGTTAACCTCCACCACCTTCGTACCTAACTTGTTCTGCTTTATACCTGGTTGATGGGGTTCTGGGAGTTCTACTACTCCCCAAGCCCGGCCCGAGGCTAGGCTCAACTTGTGAGAGTTTGGTCCACCAGGCTGTTGCTTGGAGCGGCCCGCAGGCCCACATACCCACCACAGCCCGGCTGATCCGGAACTTCTCTTAGAAAACAGTCCAGTTTTCTCTTGAAGATGTCCACAGATGTTTCAGCAATATTTCTTATAGTCGCTGGGAGGACGTTGAACAACCGCGGAGCTCTGATGTTTATACAGTGCTCTCTGATTGTGCCTATGGCACCTCTGCTCTTCACTGGTTCAATCTTGCATTTTCTTCCATGTCGTTCACTCCAATACGTTGTTATTTTACTGTGTAGATTTGGGACCTGGCCCTCCAGTATTTTCCATGTGTATATTATTTGGTATCTCTCTCGTCTCCTTTCTAGAGAGTACATTTGGAGAGCTTTGAGACAATCCCAATAATTTAGGTGTTTTATCTCGTCTATGCGTGCCGTATATGTTCTCTGTATTCCCTCTATTTCAGCAATCTCTCCTGCTCTGAAGGGGGAAGTGAGTACTGAGCAGTACTCGAGATGGGACAACACAAGTGACTTGAAGAGTACAACCATTGTGATGGGATCCCTGGATTTGAAAGTTCTCGTAATCAATCCGATCATTTTTCTGGCTGACGCGATATTTGCTTGGTTATGCTCCCTAACCGTTAGATCGTCGGACATCATTATTCCCAAATCCTTGACATACTGTTTTTCTACTATGGGAAGATTCGATTGTGTTTTGTACCCTGTATTATGATTCAGATCCTCATTTTTGCCATACCCGAGTACCTGAAATTTATCACTGTTAAACATCATGTTATTTTCTGCTGCCCAATCAAAAACTTTGTTGACATCTGCTTGTAGTTTTTCAATGTCTTCAGCAGAGGTAATTTTCATGCTGATTTTTGTGTCATCTGCGAAGGACGATACGAAGCTGTGACGTGTATTTTTGTCTATATCGGGTATGAGAATAAGGAACAGCAGCTGTGCAAGGACTGTACCTTGAGGTACAGAGCTTTTAACATCGCTTGGACTCGATTTTATCTGATTGACTGTTACTCTTTGTGTTCTGTTCGACAGGAAATTGAGTATCCAGTGTCCTACTTTTCCAGTTATTCCCATTGACCTCATTTTGTGAGCTATCACCCCATGGTCACATTTGTCGAACGCCTTTGCAAAGTCTGTGTATACAACATCTGCATTTTGCTTTTCTTCTAGGGCTTCTATGATTTTGTCATAGTGGTTGAGTGACTGTGACAGACAGGATCTTCCCACTCTAAATCCATGTTGTCCTGGATTGTGCAATTCATTGTTTTCCATAAAACTAGAAATTTGATTCCTAATAACTCTTTCAAACACTTATTATGTGTGATGTTAGTGCAACTGGCCTACAATTTTTTGCCAAGGCTTTACTACCCCCCTTGTGCAACAGAGCTATATCTGCAGATTTAAGTGCTGCTGGTATCTCCCCTGTATCCAGGCTCTTTCTCCATATTACGCTGAGTGCTCTCGCTACTGGTACTTTACACCCCTAACTGTTCCAACTGTCTACCACTCTGTTTGCAAAAGTAAATTTTCTAATGTATCTTTTTGGGGGTAGGATTGTTTCATTAGCTTAAATTTATGACCATGTATATATGTACCTCTTGTTCTTGAAGGTTCAGGTCTCAAAAAAATTTCTTTATCAATTTTTTCAGTTCCTGTTACTATTTTGTATATAGCAATCATATCACCTCACCTCTTGTTGGTTAACATTTTTTTTTTTTAAGTTTGCTTCATATTCATATGGCACTGTTTCTCATCTAAATGTGAATGAATATTATACAAAGAACAGCACATCACACTTGAACCCATGTACAGTACTTGTGACTGTTGACAGTTGTAGAATATAATGGGTTTTTCTATTACCTTTGAAAGGCATTGTACGTTGGTTGCCATTGAGGGAGTTGTCTTATGACTGCCTCTCACAGGATAGGTTAAAGTGGCTTGGTAGTTTGAGAGCAAGTAAACCTTCACTCCACCATTAACCTCTAGTTTATATGTGAGTTAGTTTAGTTCATTTATTATGCACCCCATACCCATCTTGTGGGCGGTAGTGGAAAGGGTTACAGAGGCACATAATGGGCTCAGGGACTGAACCTCACAATTCATTTAGCTAAGCAAGTTACAATCTTGATGAGCTAGTTACAAAATTCAGTATAAGTCGTCACATCAACAGTGGGTTCGAGATCGACCTCAAGTACAGTTTCAAATTAAGCAGCCGACATGTGGAGAGCTGGTGTCACAATTGATATGTTTGTCCTGCATGTGTGATGCAGGAAATATTTCACTTTACAATAGTTGGTAACACTTTAACACGATTTTCAGGAAAATTGGAAAACTTTGAACCTTTGCCAAGATATTTTCTTGACTAATCTTTCAGTTAAATATTCAAGTTCTAACAAAAGTGATAGATTGGTGATGATAACTCTCCTGTATTCAACATAACAAAAACCTATTTTCTTAAACCAGTACTGTTTATAGAAATTTATCATGAATGTGTACATGTACAGACTGCTTTCGAAGCTGCAGAAGGCACTCAGGACAGTACAACAGTGATGTTTAACTAGCTTAATCAGAACTGTATCACATATGGTGCATTTTCTACATACTGTATCATTAATATGTCAAAATGTTTACTTTTTTGAGTTAACAATATATACATAAAACATTGCAAGAGTGCACTCGATAACAAATTATGATTATACTGTACTGTGTTTCATTGTTAGCTGTGCAAGTGTGTATAGTATAAGAGTACCATTACAGTGATGTGTTAACCTATCTTTTACCCCCTAAATGATTATTGTGTACAAGAGAAGAGAAGATTCTTTGATTATAAAGATCTGCTAATTATCTGCAATAATGTACTGGAAACTTTCAGAGTGTACTTTCGAGCATGTCTCCTGTGCCAGAGCCCACACAAGGGGGTCGTGTTGGACCTGGCGGTAGGGAGGATGAGGAGTTCGACCCTCCCACTGGCCTAATTGTTGGACCTCCGGCGTCATCAAGTGATGAAGAACCCGATCAAGTTGATCAGGATGATCCATACCCTTCTGGTTACCAGCCTCTCCCACAGGACATGGTGAGTGAACCTCTACAAGGTACAGTACTATGTTTCATTGCTGTTTGTTTTTGGTATGTGTTTTCCTGAGTCCTCAGCATTGGAACTGATTAAGATATTCAGTGCTGTGTTTGCCCCAGAACTTGATCCACCAGTCATTTTATATCCTGTCCCAAATTACTGTTACCCACCCAAAAATCTGGAATAAAAGAATTGATGATGATGTATTCTGTCCTGGACTGTTATCAAGTCGTGTAATGAAAAAAAAAAAAGTGTGGTGGAGAAAGTCAATTTATAATTGAAATTGAAATTGAAATTGAAATAAGTTTATTGAGGTAAAATACACACAAAGGGATGAGGTAGCTCAAGCTATTCTCACCCCGTTCAGTACAACGTGTTAATATATACATATACACACATCACAAATAAACATATTACCAAACATTCTGAGAGGTAAAAATATACATTTCCTCCCTCACAAGTAGTATGGTATCAGACGTACACACAAATACTTTTATGACCTAGGTATACTGTATAGACAATTTGCAAGACACCTGCAGATAATTCAACAAAATATTACAATCTTGGTGCAAAATTCTTATATCTCTCAAGAATATCATCAACCTTTCCGTTGTGACACATCCAGGCTATTTGTTCAGGAACAGTCCTTATCTCAGTGTTTCTATATACACTAATCAACGGACAATCAAGAATATAATGGGCAAGGGTGTGAGACCTTAACATACCACATAGTTTACACTTCGTGTCATTACCATGAACATCTATCCCATATTCCCAGTAATATTTGTACCCAAGCCTGAGCCGCATGTACACAGTCACTCCAAGCATTTCTCCTTTTACCATAAGTGAAATGGGTGTTTTGACTCACATACATGTAGTGTTGCATGGTTTGACTTCTCTCATACATTATCTCTCTCGTCTCCACTCCCGCCTGTGCCTGAATATTTCTGATTTTGCTTCTTATTTGTCTCATTGTGAATTCACATTCAATGTCAACTTGTGGTTTTGATGTGGCACGTTTGGCCAAGTCATCCGCCACCTCGTTGAGCACTATTCCAACATGAGATGGAATCCACATGAATTTCACACTATAACCTTTCAGCTGTATCTCAGTTATTCTTCTCTTACAGTCCTCCACTATAGACATGAAGACTGGGTTTCTACTGTTTAAGGACTCCAGTGCTCCTCGGCTATCGACAAATACAAAAACATTTTTGTCGTCATGACGTACTTCCTCCAAACACGCCAGAATGGCCTGCAGTTCAGCTTGTGTGGATGATATATAATTACTAAGCCGGAGTTCAATTATCCTGTCCACAGTCCCAAACTCCGTATAATCCCTTATTAGGACACCACACCCTGCCCTGCCATCCTCCGCCACCGACCCGTCGCAATATACATGTAAACTGTTGCCTCTTGGTAACCGAGATATCATGCTTCCATACAAACACCGTAATTGTCCCGGTTCATGATGAATCTTTTTCACCTTGAGGGGTACAATTTCGACGTCTATTTTCTGTACTTTCCAGGGAGCAGACATATTACATTTTCGAGAGGGTTTACAGCAGTCAAGTACGTCGTATTCCCTGAGGTCATGAGCTAATCCTCTCGTATAGCGAGTCTCCCTCAGTTTCCTGGAAGTGTGTACGTCACTCAAGCAGGTCTGAACGCTCTCAAACAGCTTATCCCCTCCTTTTCTCCGCATGAAACGAATAGATACTCTAGTGTTAATGTCACGGACTCTATCACACACACTCTGTAAATTTAATTCCATTCTCATTATTTCAATCATTGCATTTCTTTGACATCCAAGAATAATCCTCATAGCCTCGTTCTGTATCAGCTCTATTTTTTGAATTCTGCCTTGGCCTGTGTAAGACAATACGGGTGCTGCGTAGTCTATCAGGGATCGAACAGTGCTTATGTATAACATCCGCAAGATAGGTACCCCAACACCTTTACCAGAAAAAGCCAGTGCTTTTAGAGGATGCAGACGGGCTTTACATAAGGTGCTGATATGATTTATTTCAGCATTTTTACTCTCACATGTGTATCCAACATACATGCCCAGATACTTGTACTTCTGTACACGGCTCAGTTCCACACCATTTAGAGTAAGTGTTATATTTCTTCGTTTCCTATACTCGTATTTGGTTTTATCTGCATTTATAACTAAGCCTAACTTGTGACAGGTTGTACCAAGTATGTTAAGAGCATCTTGAATTTTGTTCCCAGAAGTGCCTTGTATAAGAATGTCATCAGCATATATGATCGTCGTGACCCCTGGAGGATACATCTCTGATGCTAATCTGTTCATTAATACATTGAATAAGGTGGGACTTAATACTCCCCCTTGTGGGGTACCTAACTGAAACCTCCGTTCCTCAGACATGTATCCCTGGTAATACACCTGACCTTTTCTGCCTTGCAGGTAATCCCTTATCCAGTGTAGCAATCTCCCTGTTATTCCCAGATTGGCTAATTCGTATAAGATTACTTCCCCATTGGCTTTATCAAACGCTCCTTGTAGATCAACAAAAACTCTACAATTGTCATCCACATTAGACAAACACTTTAAGAGACAATCCGCAGTACTTTTGCCTTTGATAAAACCAAAGAGATTATTGGACATGTTATCACCTACAAGGTAGAGTAGCCTATTTAACAAAATCCTTTCCATCATTTTACAAAAGCAGGATATTAAGGAGACAGGTCTGTAGCCTCCGTTTGACTTAGGGATAGGAATGATGACAGCCTCTTTCCATTTTCTTGGTAACTTTCTCTCTCTATAACTCATATTAAACAAATCAAGTAAGGGATTAGGTTTCATAACGTATGACATAGTCAATTTATAAGGTAGGAGTGAAATGATAGGCAAGAAGGTTAAAGAATAGTAGTAAGGTAAGAAGTACAGTATAGGAAAAAATATAGTGTAGGTTAAAAGTATGGGAAAAAGGTAAAGTACTGTATAGGAATAGATTTGTAACTTGAGAATGTATGAGAATAAGGAAGACGTATGGGAATAGCATTTATTATGCTTAATCCTCACACTGTAAACTATGCTTAAGAACAATTTCAGGATATGGACACTGCTTGAAACAAAGTGGTGAAATTTCTGGTGGAAGCAAACATATTGTTAAGTTTTGTTGAATCATGTGCAGCGCCCGCAGGGGTACTTAAATGCGGGCAGTGGAGGTCAAAACCTCAGTACACCTTTAGTCGCCGCCCGCTCCTCAAAAAAAAAATCCCACCCATCTTCCTGGACCCCAAAGTGATATGTTGTTTTAACTGCGGTAACTCATCTAACACATAATAATTCAAGAACATGTTTAAAGTTACTAAGCATTAACTTAAACTGCTCAAGTGAGTTATGGCAACAATGTACGACTGACTAGGAACATGCAATTTGTAATTAATGATCTTTAATCCTCTTATTCATAAATGTCATAATAAAAGGCACAATTAATCTTGCTTGTTAACCGGAGCAAATGTAAATGTAAATATGTAATCACATTTATATATATTTATATATTTTTTAATACAGTACTTATGCTTACATTTATAATCATGTAATAATTATATACTTATATTTGTACTTTTACATATACTGTACAGTTATTTATGCATTAAATATTTACATTTATAATACTTATAAATGTAATATTTAAAAATGTTATACTAATAAATAAGAATCCCATTCTATGTGTGAGTTTACTTCCTGCACAGAAATTTTGTGGTTTGTACTGACCACAGTTGTGAGTACTTGGGATGTGGGACACTTAAGATAAAGCCTACAGATGTTTGGCATAGCTTGTAACTATCAGAAATCTCTGGGGACAGAGTGGTTTTGATTTGATAAACTTGGGAAACCATCAGTGCCCACCTATACTCTGCGAGGTTGACATGTCGCCAACCCCTGTCTTGGCTCACTACAGCCTCTGGCAGCTATGAGGCAGAATATGTATTTGTGTAGTGTAATTACCTAAGTGTAGTTACAGGATGAGAGTTATGCTCGTGGTGTCCCCATCTACCCAGCACTCTTTGTCATATAATGCTTTGAAACTACTGACGGGTTTTGGCCTCCACCACCTTCTCACCTAACTTGTTCCAACTGTCTACCACTCTATTTGCGAGAGTGAATTTTCTTATGTTTCTTCAGCATCTTTGTTAAGTTAGTTTAAATCTATGACCTCTTGTTCTTGAAGTTACAGGTCTCAGGAAATCTTCCCTATCAATTTTATCACTTCCTGTTACTATTTTGTATGTAGTGACATATTTAATGCCTCTAACCTCTCCTCGTAGCTCTTGCCCTTCAGTTCTGTGAGCCACTTAGTAGCATGTCTTTGCACCTTTTCCAGTTTGTTGATGTGCTTCTTAAGATATGGGCACCACACAACCGCTGCATATTCTAGCTTTGGTCTAACATGTCATGAACAATTTCTTTAGTATTTCGCCATCCATGAATTTAAAAGCAATTCTGAAGTTAGAAAGAGTAGCATAGGCTCCTCGCACAACATTCTTTATGTGGTCCTCAGGTGATAGTTTCCTATCTAGACCCACCCCTAGATCTCTTTCTTTATCAGAATTCTTTAAAGATTTCTCACATAATTTATAGGCTGTGTGGGGTCTATGTTCTCCTATTCCACATTCCATAATATGGCATTTATTCACATTAAATTCCATTTGCCAAGTGGTGCTCCATATACTTATTTTGTCCAGGTCTTGTTGAAGGGCATGACAATCATCTAAGTTTCTTATCCTTCCTATTATTTTAGCATCATCAATCATCAGCAAACATGTTCATATAATTCTGTATTCCATCAGGTAGATCATTTATGTAGACAATGAACATCACCGGTGCAAGAACTGAACCCTGTGGTACTCAACTTGTGACATTTCTCCAGTCCGATACATTCCCTTTGATTACTGCCCTCATTTTTCTCTCAGAAAATTTTTCATCTATGTTAGAAGCTTACCTGTCACTCCTCCAATATTTTCCAGTTTCCAGAACAACCTCATATGTGAAACTCTGTTGAAAGCCTTTTTTAGGTCTAGATATATGTAGTCAACCCAACCATCTCTTTCCTGTAAAATCTCTGTGGTTCGATCAAAGAAATTGAGTAAATCGATACACAGGATCTTCCAGATCGAAAATGATACTGTCTGTCTGATGATATATCATTTCTCTCCAGGTGTTCTATCCATTTAGTTTTTATTATTTTTTCCAATATTTTGACTATTACACTTGTCAATGATACAGGTCTATAATTGAGGGGGTCTTCCCTGCTGCCACTTTTGTAGATTAGAACTATGTTAGCCTTTTTCCACACATCTGCTATGACTCCTGTACACAGGGATAACTGAAAAATCAGTTGAAGTGGAATGCTGAGCTCAGATGCACATTCTCTCAGAACTGATGGTGAAACTCCATCTGGGCCAACTGCTTTGTTCTTACTTAGCTCCAGGAGCATTTGTTTCACTTCGTCTCTAGACACCTCTATGTGCTCTATGCTGTTCTCCGGAATTCTTATTGTGTCTGGTTCTCTGAAGAACTCATTTTGTACAAACACACTTTGGAACTTTTCGTTTAATGTTTCACCCATTTCATTTTCATTTTCCGTGTATCTGTTCCCCATTTTCAACCTCTGAATATTATCCTTTACCTGCAGCTTGCTTTTAATGAATTTATAGAAAAGGCCTGGATCTGATTTACCTTTGTCTCCTATACCATTCTCAGAGTTCCTCTCTGCCTCTCTCCTTACTGACGTGTAGTTGTTTCTTGCATCTTTCTATTGCTGGTATGTTTCGGGGGTTTGACCTCTTTCTATAATGATTCCATGTTTGTGTCTTTTGATTTCTGGCCTTCTCACAATTTCTGTTGAACCAACCCTGTTTTCTAGGTCTGCATGTCTGTTTTGGTATGAATGTTTGTGTGCCTTCATCGTATATTTCAAAAAATTTGGCATACATCTCATTTGCTTCCTTGCCTAGCAACGTCTGTCCAATTATTCCCATGAAAAAATTTTTAAGTTCCCCATAGCGTCCTCTCTTGAAATCAAGTTTAACAACTGTTTCACTGTTCCCATTCTCTACTAGATTATATCGCATAGCGTATTTAATGTCCAAGAGGACGTGATCACTCTTTTTCCCAAGGGAGGAAGGTACTGGATGTCAAATATCTCTTCTTCTTTCCTGATGAATATTAGATCCAGTACTGATGGAACATCCCCTTCCCTCATTCTTGTGGCCTGCTTGATGTGTTGATACATGAATGTCTTTAAGATGAGGTTTACAAATCTGCCTGTCTAAATGTCCTCTGTTCTTGCCTCATAGGCCTCCCAGTCTATTGCCTTAAAGTTGAAGTCCCCCAGTACCAACAATCAGGATTTATCTTTGTCTGCTCTTACCATAATCTCTCTCATGACCACTAAGAGGCCCTCTCGTTTGTCATCCAGTTCTTCCTTTGTCCACGTGTTGCTTGCTGGTGGGCTGTAGGCATTTAAAATTATCAGCTTGTCATCTTGATTCCAGACCTGCAATGCCATTATGTCAATATCTCTAGGGTTTTCAAATAATAACTCTCTTACCTTCAGGCTTCAGTGTGCTGTATATTCCATGTTATTAGTGGTAATTTAATTACTGTATATGTAATGACAATAGGGCCTTCCTGAATGAATTTGTGTAAATTGTGGACAATATAACAACTCTGATATAGTTGATATAGTTTTATAGTTATCCTATCCTGCTGTTTTCTGTGAGAATGAGGAGTGGCTAGTGCAAGCCAACCAAGCTCACACCTCACTTTATATGTCAGCACCTTCTAACAAAGCACCAATGAAAAATGCCATTTCAACCATACACCTGCATCTGACTGGCTAAATACTGGGCTTCACTGATGTGTCTGGGAGTGGGGGGAAGGGTTTATCAAAACTATTGGCAGTCAGGTCAGGCTGTGATCTGTGCTGACCTGGACACTCACAGCTAACTTGTGGGGTTGTACTTCTCCATGATTATACAGGCACATTTTATAAACTTCCTTCTACTAGTATGGTGTAATAACCAGGTGTTGTATGGCACCACACACATGATTTCTGAACTGCTCGTATGATTCCCAATCAATAGACATCCAAAACAAGGTACTTGTGTCTTTGGATATAGGCTACCAATGGTCATGTGCACAGCATGCACAGAACAGTACAGCAGCCATGGGGGTACAAGGCTAGCTGAGAGAACACCATTCTTTCACATTGACTCTTTTGTGTAGGTTCTTGGTTAGGGTCATCCTATTGGTTGTGTGAGGTACACTAGGGTACAAACACAGTTCATTTGACATGCCACAGACACTTCATAGCCTGGTTGGTTAGGCTGTGTTTGGGGTCTGTTCTTCTGGCGAACGTCCCTATTGCCTGGGTGTTCTGTTTGGCTAGTCACTTTCAGGCCCTGATAATTTCCCCGTGGGTCTACTGTGTGGCCTGTTTATGGATCGACCTGTCGAGTCTGCTCTCACTATGTGCGAGTTTGAAGGGCGCTCATCTCTCCTGCTGCTGGCCGATGATCATTCTTTCTGCCTCCGTCATGCTGCCTGTTAGGTCAGTGACACCTTTGACTCAGAGTCTTGTGATGTGTACACATTGGGTCTCCAATTTGCCATACACATATAGTATCTTTAAAAGTCCAGCTTAAATATATTTCATTATGTTAGTGTGCCAAGGAAATGTTTGTAATTGGCTGTATGGTGAATATGACCCTCCTGCAACGCTAGTACTGCTCCCACAGGATGAAGATCAAGATAATTCAGAGATTGATTACAGCTCTCTCTCTGGCTTGATGTCTGCCCTTGCCACCAATGGAGTTAATGTTGTGCCTGATTATGCAGGAAATAGTGAATTTACTGGAAACCATGAAGAAACAGGAGGCACAGAGAGCAGCAGCTTTCCCCTGACTACAGTGTTGGATGATGAGGTAGGTCGGCTTGTTTGTTTCGTTTTCTTACTATACTGTACTAGTATAGTACAGTGCTATCATGTTTCATACATTATTGCTGATAGGATAAATTGCAGACTGTTTTATTTTTATTAATCAATATTATGTACATATAGACTAATGTTTCTTAACACTGTTATATGTAGAGTATATTGTACTGTCTTACAGGATGAGAGGTAGTTATAAAAATGTATGTGTACTGAAATCCTACCACACTTAAAGGTGTCCATCTAAACACTAGGAGTTCTAGCTATTTACAAAATATACAGAATACACATATGATCCACATTGGAAAATTAACTTTGTGCACAGGAGCTGTGAGATATTTCTCATTTATTTGCAAGACATAAATAATTAATGTCACAATTGTGGCAAATTTGATGGTTGTAAAAGAACCTTCTGCATCATAATTTTGCAATCAATCAAGTGTTCCTAAAACTTTGTTCAGTATTGTTTTAAGACAGAATTATATTTTAATATATTAAAATATAGAATATAGTATTGTATTGCACTTTTAGCCAAGGTGTGGCTATGGACGAGTGGCAACAGTGTGTTAGGAGATGATGTAACACTTTGCCTGTAATTGATATATGTATGACAACTGATGGTTGTCACCTTGCTTATGGGGAAGCTGCGATACCTGCAGTAGTAGAGTAGATGATCTGCCGGTGTCATTCTGGCAAGTGTGACAATAGTGTTGTATAGTGAAAGGATGAGTGTCTCCCTTCATCTCTGGTCCAACACTGTCTACAGTTATTGAAATATTTGAGAACAAAACAAATCTGTATTCTGCATTGTACTTGTTTGGATATAGAGTACAGAATTTCATATACAGTATACATAATTATGATATTTCAGTTTGGACATTTGGAGAGAGAGTTATTCCCGTAATTTTGTTTTCTTGTAAGATTTGTGGAAGACAAATTAAATATGGGTGACCAAAACATACCAAAAACGGTCTCAAACTTAATACTTTGAATAAATATATTTGGGTGTGGGGGTTCCACATTCTCAAAAATTCTCCTAATTAATAGATTTTTAAATAACAAAGTTTATCATTTGTTAATAATAGCCAGAGATGTCAAATCTTGATAATTATACTGTAGTGCAGTATTATAAACACAGTGTAATTCTCATAAATTTCTATGTAAAAAGTTATATCATGTAAGATGCATTTACATGGGATGACCCAAAAAATATCTCTATGACATCAGCTGCACTCTAAGGATTACTCTCCAAGACTCTCCTGGCAAATGTTTCCTTGCCCTGTAAGCAGGAAACAGGATTCTGAGGATGATAATGTGGGGAGAAATACATACTAAAATAAAAGGGATCTTTAGTTAAACAGATTTACATAAAGAAATTTTGGTTAGTTTTTGTAAAAAGGAATAAAATAATGTTTTGCTTCTATTATCTTGCTTCATGGTATAACCCAATTTACTCCTTGTGGCTGCTGGCTAGCCTTTTATTGGTTATGATTGTAGTGTTTGTTATATACAGTACTTGTGATTATTCTGTTGATATTACCATCTAGTAATGAGTATTGACTATTATCTAGTAATGACTAGATCATTTTATGTAATGACTAGATAATTTCATCTCATACTTGTAAATATTTTTAGTCTTCCAGACAAAGGCTTAGTGAAGTGGTAGCTGAGAGAGCAGTCATATGGAACTCCTCCCCAACATCAGATCGTCTCATCCTAGATGGCAATAAGGTAGAGGAAATAAAATCTGTAATGGCGTCTTTCACTCTGCCTCAGTCTGCCATTCCTGCTTGGGCTCAGAACCTCTCTGAGGAGGATTGGAAGGATCAGGTTGCTGGACTTATAGCACGTCGGACGTCACAATGATAGATCACACTGTGAAAGTTTCCTCAAAATATGCTGCTTGTAGTTATGGAGTTAACACAGGTTGTAGTGTTATTTACATTGGTACGGCTTTTTGTGTTAGGGTATATCAGCAAGTAACACACTGATTGTTATATATTATCTCTGTTAGAACATGGTTGATAATTTCACATTCCTTATTCTCTGTGGCTTGACCATTGGCTGTAATTAGAGCCAACATTTGAGCTAAAGACTGACCACTTGCAGTGGGTTTTAGTGGTCTTATAGTTACACCCAGTTATCTTAGAGGTAAAATAAGCTATGAGTTTGATATTGTACTATGCTTGGTGCATGATTAGTACATTGTAGGTACATGTACTCAGAGATGAGTTATCAGCCCATTCATTATTGTAATACTAAGCTCAGTACCAACATCCACGTGAAAGATATGTCACAAACTTTGAATTTAGTATGTTTGCCTTATATTTATTATTTACAAGTAAACTAACTTTATCCATTTGAAATGATAGCATACTATAATATAATAATGAAGTCTTACTGAAGTCACAAGAAGGCTCTCTATTGTTGGGTTTCCAGAACAAAAAGCCCAGTTGTGACAAATATTAGTTTCAAGTATACTTGGTGAAACTTTAAAGTTTGATATGTACTTTTTCATTAATGATATCTCAATTTTGTGTAAATATGTCTTAAAATAATGTTTTTTATTCACTGGGGTGGATACTGTTATGGCTATATATATATACTGTCTGCTCCAAGGCTGGGGAACATTGTGGTGGTTATAACCATGCACTGGCAAGAGCTGGTTCTGATGCAGACAATACTCAGTTTCTCTATAATGATTATTGTCTGCTATACATTGTCACTTTTTTCATTAATATCTCAATTATTTAATGAGACAAAGCATTTCAAATAAAATCTCTTAATGTTACAGTGTTGAAACTGTTGAGAATATTATAAATTTCATCTATCACCTGTTTATGTACTGTACTTTAAAGTATATTTTGTAATGAAATTTATATTTTGTTATTCTACCCTTAATTTATGTAACAACTACCTGTATTTATATTGTATAACAAGCCTAACAGTAGACTTGCCATATGTAGAGTACTATATACCATACTTTTTATGATAAAAGACGATGATTAATTGTATACTCTGTATTCCCAAGTACAGTAGTGCAGTTGTTAGCGCAGTCAGTTCCCACCTGAAAGGTCCCAAGTTGAATTCTCGTAGCAGAACAGAAATGTTTGTGCACATTTCATTTTACCCGATACCTCTGTTCACCTAGCAGTAAATGGGTATCTAGGAACTAGCAACTCTTGAGAGTTGCATCCTGAGGAAGGTCAATACATAATTGACCTTTGAGGATCTCGATAAGCATTGCAGGCTTCTTGCCCCCCAACAGTGGGAAGCCAAGTGCAATAATGCTCAATGAAGTTAATGGAAAAGAATACCTTGGATGCATCTTTTAAAGCTATATTGATAAGTTGAAACACACAGCTGATTATATATGTATATTTATGCATGGTTTAGCTGGTCTCAGTGTGCAGGACAGAGACTTGTGCAGTATTCTCCAGACCCTGTCGTCACTGTTGTCATACTCGCCAGACATTCTTTATTATCTTTATTACCTTACATACCAGACTTTCATTACTGCCACCATGGCCTCTTGCCAGTCATATCTCACCATACCCATCTTTCCATTCTCCTGTGGCTTTAGAAGGATTCTCACAATCATCAAGTCCTCTACTTGTCCTCCCATCTTGCTGGGTTACCCATCACATTAACCAATAAATTTTCCTTACAAACCTGTTCCACACTGTCCTCTCTCTGTGTTCACACTATTATACAGTACAGTACTACTACTAACTAGCTCTAACCCTCTACCTCATAGCTGCCTTTCCTGGTATTTTACTGTATAATTTTGTGTTTCTCATTCCTCAACATTTAACAATGCTACCTGCATTGCTTGAATAGTGGGTGTTACTAGACTGACTCATAAATATGTTTGTTAATGTGTCATGTGTAAACAGAGGGTCCTGTTTGCTGTCAGTTGTAGATTATCATGCTTCCTGTCTTTTCTTATCCGTATTTACTGCTACTTGTCTCTCATGATGACTATCAACAACACACTAAACTTCACCCCCACATGCATGTGGAGTGTATCAAGCACTTGTACACCTTAATTTTATTATTGCTTAGCTTTAAGTAATTATACAGTAAAGATTACATGCTCTTACTAATTACACTAATATATCACTACTAAATACAATGTCCAGAATTAACTCATATTAATAAAACATTATTATTAATTGACATGAGTGTAGATGTGCACTAATGAGGGGTACACTTTACCTAATAAACTAGTTACACACATCTAATATTACATTCACATATAGCTATTGTTTTGATTATTTACTAATGTTATTTAAGCTATATGGTCTTCATTAGCTGTTTGTTAATATGCAGTAACCTTAGAGTGTATTTTTTGGCACAAATTAGTAAGAGCAGAAGTGTGTTATGGTATATATAAAGACTCAAGCGCTGCCTTTACAAGCTCAAGTGTAATCAGGTACAAACTTAAAACTATACACTATTCACACACACTCATAATGCTAGAATACTAAATGCCAATAATTCTCTCTAAACTCCTCAGCACATATAAGCCGATTAATGCCCTGAGTGTGTAATAGTGAGATTTATATAATTATAATGCCCATAGTTCTTATAATCCTAAAGGTGTCTACTTCATGCTTCATGTAGTCATTCATAGAATTGTGTCCTTAATCATTCCGGTTAGATAAATTATATGGTGAAAAAAATGCATCTTCAATGCATAAGGAAGAACGAGATCAAAGGAAAGAACGAAGACGAGGTAAAGAGGAAGCACAATTTCATGATTATGGTAGCTGTGTAACAGGCAGTGTTTCAAACAGTAGTATTTCAGGCGGTAGTTCTTCAGGCTGTACTGTTTTAGGCAGTAGCGGGGGTAACTGTGCTGTAGACAGAGGTAATGTTGTCACTGTCTCTGAGCGTGCTGATGCTACAGTCAGAGGTGAAGACACAGACTCCGAAGTAGGTGTAACAGTCTCCCGGTAGACCTCCTCTGCAGGCACCACGAAGAAGTGATTGTTGCGGTCGTACAAGAGGTGAGCTTCAGAGCAGGGAAAGGCCATGTCTACCCAGGCACATACCATGGCATCCTAAACAAGACAAGATATGTGAAGTAATAGCTGAAAACCTATTACATGTTACTTATATCAGTTCTTGAAAAGTATAATTAAAAGTACCATTCATATACAAATGAAATCAATACAAATGTTATGAAGTACAAATGTGATATTGAAGGTAGTTTATTCATTTTATTTCAACATAAAATGGAGGAGGAGGAAGGATTTTCCCAAGGCACTATTGTAGTTGTTAGGAGTGCCACTTACTACCCAGCACAAGCTAGGTGACAGTATGCCAGGTAAGTGTTCATAATGAAGGCTCAGATAGTACCAGTGTCCAAGTACACTTTCAGATTCCTAAAAAAAATATACAGTATAACCAACATGCTTATACAGTAGGCAATAATTAGCAAAACAATGCATTGATGATGTGCCAGACAGCTGCCATTCTGATGAAATAAAACAATAAGGACAAGATGTGTAATACTGTATTTTGAACTAGGATAAATACAGTAACTGGCTACATGGGATGCTTGGAATCTGCTGGATGCAAAACAGAGTCCCAAACTGCAAGCCAACATGTAGTTGGATCTAGTGTCCTACAATGTATACACAGCAATGGAAAAGTTACTGACAACATCAAGGTACAAAGTCAGCATCTAAGACACAAGCGATCATAACAGGAGATTTCAATCATGAGATTATAAATTAGGTGAAGCTATACAAACAGTAATTGAAATCCCTTGACCTCATACAAGATCATTATTCACAGTGATCATGATACAAGCTCTACCCAAGGAAGCAGTTGTTAGATCTGACTCTGACAATAGAAATGGACATGTATGACAAAGTTGAAGAGGGAGACAAATTTGCGTCCACCTGTATGCATTGTACAGTGAAATGTACAGTGATCATAAGAGTAATTTTTGGGCTAGTGCAAAAATACCACTAAGGAAATGGAGATAGATGCTGGCGAGCTGGTAATGCATGGAGGTAAGGAGCCATACAAGTAAATTCTAACAATTGATGAAAGCAACTCAGTAACTTCAGCCATAGAAAAAGCCATAAAACATCAATACAGCAGCAATAATCAAACGTCAACAGGAATAATTACACTAGTACTAATCCAACTACAGTAGTAATGATCGAACCACAGTAGTATTGATTAAACAACAGTTGTAATAATGAAACTACTGGAGGACAAATAAAATTACAGTAGTAGTAATCAAACTACAGTAGTGATAATCGAACTACATTAGTAGTAATCAAATTACAATAGTATATAAACAAACTACAATAGTAGTATTATTAGTATTCAAAATATTTTGATTACTGTGTTCAAGCATGGAGACTGCTGCTACAGAATGATGTAATTACACTGGAAAAAGTTCAGTACAGTATATGGTGATGTAAATCAGTCCTGAATTAACAACCTTGCAAGGATTGGCTAAGGGCATGGGCTTTGGAGAACTAAGTGTGCAGGGTTCAAATCCTCTTCATGGCTCTAACTGATTTTCTCATTGCTAAGGGCTTCACAGCTGGCAACTTTAAGACAAGGCACAACATGGTTGGTCTTACAGAAACATTTATACTAGTGAATAACATAGACGAGGCAAACTCCAACCACTTATCCAGAGTTCTAACACAGTACATGTAAGATTTAGGAATTTCAAATTTGGTAAGCCTCAATGTGAAAGAGACACTAGAAAGTTAGTCTTCCAAAGAGCAATAAACATTGCAACAATCTACCTCCTGAAACTGTGATATTGAATCAGCAATAAAATACCCATGGTAAACTCTCAGGGAATATAGGGAGACCTTCCCTGCTATGGCACTATACAGGTAGACTCAGAGGGCCCTTCCCTGCCATGGCACTATACAGGTAGACTCAGAGGAACCTTCCCTGCCATGGCACTATACAGGTAGACTCAGAGGAACCTTCCCTGCCATGGCACTATACAGGCAGACTCAGGGGGACCTTCCGTGTCATGGCACTATACAGGCAGACTCAGGGGGACCTTCCGTGTCATGGCACTATACAGGCAGACTCAGGGGGACCTTCCCTGTCATGGCACTATACAGGTAGACTCAGGGGGACCTTCCCTGTCATGGCACTATACAGGCAGACTCAGGGGGACCTTCCCTGTCATGGCACTATACAGGCAGACTCAGGGGGACCTTCCCTGTCATGGCACTATACAGGCAGACTCAGGGGGACCTTCCCTGTCATGGCACTATACAGGCAGACTCAGGGGGACCTTCCCTGTCATGGCACTATACAGGCAGAGTTAGGGGGGGGGACTTTCCCTGCCATGGCTACTAAAGACCGAAAAAATACTTGTGAAATGCAGGATAAAATAATGTTCTGGTGGCATTGATCACTTCTACTGTATTCTTCATAATTTTGTAAAAACTTTGACTGAAAGATGCATAATTAAATGGAAACCAAATGATAAAGGTGGATGCATCATTAACACACAAAATAAAACAAAAAATCACAAACTACTATAATCATGAAAATCTTTAAACACAGTAGATGTCATTAACAACACTTTGTAACTCAATACATCAGTATAGCAAATTACATTAAAGGTGCCCATCCTCAGGATAAAGTGATTACCATGAGCCACCAAACCTCACATCAACTGGATAGTTATCTAGATATTTGTGATTGTTTGCAAGCATATTACAGTTCCAATTGCAAACTGACAAGTGAACCTTTGTCCTAAACAGAGAATATTCTTCAGTTATAACTTTCTTGTATTAAAGCTGTTGGTTTAATATATAAAAAAAACGGTCTGATGTATTTGGTTTACAATAAATAAAATTCTAGGGGATACTCAAATAGTTTTTGAATGTCATACTTCACATGTTTGAGAATAATACACCATATTAGGATCACAGATACACCCACCTGGGTAAAGATAGTGTACGCTGGACAGAGGATGGCTGACACACTCACCTGAGTAAAGATAGTGTAGGCTGGACATATGATGGCTGACACACTCACCTGGGTAAAGATAGTGTAGGCTGGACATATGATGGCTGACACACTCACCTGGGTAAAGATAGTGTAGGCTGGACATATGATGGCTGACACACTCACCTGGGTAAAGATAGTGTAGGCTGGACATATGATGGCTGACACACTCACCTGGGTAAAGATAGTGTAGGCTGGACATATGATGGCTGACACACCCACCTGGGTAAAGATAGTGTAGGCTGGACAGATGAAGGAGAACTGGTAGATGTCTTGTGCATCATACAGGTCAGGGAAGAGCTGCTCCATGGGTACACATATGTGGAAGATCTGGCAGTCATTATCCTGGTCAGCATAATAGCCATACACCTGAGGGAGACAAACAGGCCAGAGCAGCAGGTGGTTGCCCCCGCCACACACACCTTAGCTTATGGCAACTTTTCTGCTGTGAAATAATGATTGACATCTTATAATTACTGACCAGGAATGATGTCGTGTTTGGCTATCAGAATATTATTCTTTATCTTCTGTAGAAAATGTAACCAGGATACCTGCTTCTCAACTGAGAAGTCGTTTTAGTTACATTAAAATTACTGAAAAGTGTATAATTCCATTTTTATATCTATTAATTAATCATTAATGACAACTTTCTGTCTGTAATTTACTGTTCTGCTTTCTCTCTCTCTCTCGCGCGCGCGCGTGTGTGTGTGTGTGTGTACTCACCTAGTTGCTCACCTAGTTGTACTTGCGGGAGGTTGAGGTTTAGCTTTTTGGTCCCGCCTCTCAACCGTCAATCAACTGGTGTACAGATTCATGAGCCTACTGGGCTCTATCATATGTACACTTGAAACTGTGTATGGAGTCAGCCTCCACCACATCACTGCCTAATGCATTCTATTTGTCAACCACTCTGACACTAAAAAAGTTCTTTCTAATATCTCTGTGGCTCATTTGGGCACTCAGTTTCCACCTGTGTCCCCTTGTGTGTGTGCCCCTTGTGTTAAATAGCCTGTCTTTATCTACCCTATCAATTCCCTTCAAAATCTTGAATGTGGTGATCATGTCCCCCCTAACTCTTCTATCTTCCAGCGAAGTGAGGTTTAATTCCCGTAGTCTCTCCTCGTAGCTCATACCTCTCAGCTCGGGTACTAGTCTGGTGGCAAACCTTTGAACCTTTTCCAGTTTAGTCTTATCCTTGACTAGATACGGACTCCATGCTGGGGCTGCATACTCCAGGATTGGCCTGACATATGTGGTATACAAAGTTCTGAATGATTTTTTACACAAGTTTCTGAATGCCGTTCGTATGTTGGCCAGTCTGGCATATGCCGCTGATGTTATCCTCTTGATATGGGCTGCAGGAGACAGGTCTGGCGTGATATCAACTCCCAAGTCTTTTTCTTTCTCTGACTCCTGAAGAATTTCCTCTCCCAGATGATACCTTGTATCTGGCCTCCTGCTCCCTACACCTATCTTCATCACATTACATTTGGTTGGGTTAAACTCTAACAACCATTTGTTCGATCATTCCTTCAGTTTGTCTAGGTCTTCTTGAAGCCTTAAACAGTCCTCTTCTGTCTTAATCCTTCTCATAATTTTGGCATCGTCCGCAAACATTGAGAGAAATGAATCGATACCCTCCGGGAGATCATTTACATATATCAGAAACAAGATAGGACCGAGTACAGAGCCCTGTGGGACTCCACTGGTCACGTCACGCCAATCGGAGGTCTCACCCCTCACCGTAACTCTCTGCTTCCTATTGCTTAGGTACTCCTTTATCCACTGGAGCACCTTACCAGCTACACCTGCCTGTCTCTCCAGCTTATGTACCAGCCTCTTATGCGGTACTGTGTCAAAGGCTTTCCGACAATCCAAGAAAATGCAGTCCGCCCAGCCCTCTCTTTCTTGCTTAATCTTTGTCACCTGGTCGTAGAATTCTATTAAGCCAGTCTGTGTATGTGTGTGTGTGTATTCACCTAGATGTGTTTGCGGGGGTTGAATTTGCTGTTTCGGCCCGCCTCTCAACTGTCAATCAACTGTTTACTAACTACTTTTTTTATTTTTTATTTTCTCCACACCACACACTCCTGGAGAGAACACCTTCTCTCCAGGTGTGTGTGTGTGTGTGTGTAATTACCTAAGTGTAGTTACAGGATGAGAGCTACGCTCGTGGTGTCCCGTCTTCCCAGCACTCTTTGTCATATAACACTTTGAAACTACTGACGGTCTTGGCCTCCACCACCTTCTCCCCTAACTTGTTCCAACCGTCTACCACTCTGTTTGCGAAAGTGAATTTTCTTATATTTCTTCGGCATCTTTGTTTACTTAGTTTAAATTTATGACCTCTTGGAATTCTTCCCTATCAATTTTATCGATTCTTGTTACTATTTTGTACGTAGTGATCATATCACCTCTTTTTCTTCTGTCTTCTAGTTTTGGCATATTTAATGCCTCTAACTTCTCCTTGTAGCTCTTGCCCTTCAGTTCTGGGAGCCACTTAGTAGCATGTCTTTGCACCTTTTCCAGTTTGTTGATGTGCTTCTTAAGATATGGGCACCATACAACCGCTGCATATTCCAGCTTTGGTCTAACAAAAGTCGTGAACAATTTCTTTAGTATTTCTCCATCCATGTATTTAAAAGCCATTCTGAAGTTAAGAGTGTAGCATAGGCTCCTCGCATAATGTTCTTAATGTGGTCCTCACGTGACAGTTTTCTATCTAGAACCACCCCTAGATCCCTTTCTTTGTCAGAATTCTTTAAAGATTTCTCACATAATATATAGGTTGTGTGGGGTCTATGTTCAATTCCACATTCCATAACATGGCATTTATTAACATTAAATTCCATTTGCCAAGTGGTGCTCCATATACTTATTTTGTCCAAGTCTTGTTGAAGAGCATGACAATCATCTAGGTTTTTAACTTCCCTATTATCTTAGCATCATCAGCAAAGATGTTCATATAATTCTGTATTCCCACTGGTAGATCGTTTATGTAGACAATGAACATTACCGGTGCAAGAACTGAACCCTGTGGTACTCCACCCGTGACATTCTTCCAATCCGATACCTTGTCTCTGATTACGACCCTCATTTTTCTGTCAGTTACGAAATTTTTTCATCTATCTTAGAAGCTTACCTGTCATCCCTTCAATATGTTCCAGTTTCCAGAACAACCTCTTATGGGGAACTCTGTCGAAAGCCTTTTTTAGGTCCAGATAGATGCAGTCAACCCAACCATCTCTTTCCTGTAATATCTCTGTTGCTCGATCATAGAAACTGAGTAAATTCGATATACATGATCTTCCAGATCGAAAACCATACTGTCTGTCTGATATTATATTGTTTTTCTCCAGGTATTCTACCCATTTAGTTTTAATTATTTTTTCCAATATTTTGACTATTACAGTTGTCAATGATACAGGTCTATAATTAAGGGGGTCTTCCCTGCTTCCACTTTTGTAGATTGGAACTATGTTAGCCTTTTTCCACACATCAGCTACAACTCCTGTATACTGGGATGCCTGAAAAATCAGTTGAAGTGGAATGCTGAGCTCAGGTGCACATTCTCTCAGAACCCATGGTGAAACTCCATCTGGACCAACTGCTTTGTTCTTATTTAGCTCCTTGAGCATTTTTTCCACTTCGTCTCTAGACACCTCTATGTGCTCTATGTTGTTCTCTGGAATTCTTATTGTGTCTGGTTCCCTGAAGATTTCATTATGTACAAACACACTTTGGAACTTTTCGTTTAATGTTTCTCACATTTCATTTTCATTTTCCGGGAATCTATTTCCCATTTTCATCCTCTGAATATTATCCTTTACCTGCAATTTGTTGTTTATGAATTTATAGAATAGACCTGGTTCTGTTTTACATTTGTCTGCAATCCCTTTTTCAAAATTTCTTTCTGCCTCTCTCCTCACTGCCGTATAGTTGTTTCTCGCATCTTTGTATCGTTGGTACGTTTGGGGGTTCGGCCTCTTCCTGTATTGATTCCATTTTTGTGTCTTTTGGTCTCTGGCTCTCTCCCAATTTCTATTGAACCAATCCTGTTTCCTAGTTCTGCTTCTCTGTTTTGGTATACATTTTTTTGTGCCTTTATCATATATTTCACAAAACTTGACATACATCTCATTCACTTCCTTTCCTAGCATCAACTCTGTCCAATTATACTCACTAAAAAAATTGCTAAGGTCGCCATAATGTCCTCTCCTGAAGTCTGGTTTTTCAACAGCTTCAACCTCCTTATTTTCTTCCAGCTTATAACGCATTGCATACTTTATTCCCAAAAAGACATGGGTCACTTTTACCCAAGGGAGGAAGGTACTGAATGTCAAATATTTCTTCCTCCTTCCTGGTAAATAACAAATCTAGCATGGAGGGAACGTCCCCTTCCCTCATCCTCTTAGCTTGTTTAACATGTTGATACAAGAATGTTTCCAGGATGAGGTCTACAAATCTACAGGTACAAAAATCTTCTGTTTTAGCTTCATATGCTTCCCAGTCTTTGGATTTCAAGTTGAAGTCGCCGACTATCAACAGTTGTGATCTATTGTTGTCCGCTCTCGCTATAATCTCTCATTATTGTTATAAGACCTTCACGTTTACTATCTAGCTCCTCTTTTGACCATGTGCTACTTGGGGGTGGACTATATGCATTTATGATCATTAGTTTATCATCCTCATGGCAGATCTCTAGTGCTATTATATCAACTTGTGGATTGGCAGTCATTATTTCCTTCACCTTTAGGTGTTCTTTCACCAGCACAGCAACGCCACCGCCTTTCCTAATTTTTCTGTCCCGTCTCCAAATTGAGTAGCCCCTTGGGAATATGACCTCATTTAAAATAACATCTTCAAGTTTTGTCTCCGTGAGTGCAACAATGTCTGGTGTCTGCAGCTGTATTATATCACTTAACTCCAGTATCTTCGATCTTACTCCATCTATGTTGGTGTATGCAATCTTCAGGAACTTGTTCCCCCTCTTCTTATTCTTCACTCCCCCTCTCTCTAATGATTTTGTTGGTTTGCCTTTATGTACCACTTTACTGGTCTGCCTACCCCTATCACTTTGTAAAAAAAAGATTTGATTTTTTCTTCATTCCTGCTCTCATTTAAACGTTTTTCCTCGGCGAGGTTCAGTTTCAGCTTCTCTCTGTCTTCTTTTGAAAGATCTCGTCTTAACGACCACACTTTCCCATCCTCATCACTTTGTAATTTTCTAGCATTCCTTAGTACTTCTTCCATCTGTTTGGCACTGTTTAGGGTGATCCTCAAAGGTCGATCTTTCCCTTTTACGTACCTGCCTATTCTCCTGTAGTCGCACACATTCTGTATGGTAGTAAGACCTTCCCCGAGGCCAACAATTTTATCTACTACTTTCTCTTCTTCTACAGCTCTTTCTGACCTAGATGTTATCGCCTTTTCTTTGCAGCCAAAAATGATCAGGGACTTGCTCCGATCAACTGTGTTTTGCACCAACTTCGGGTTAGATGCCAATTCTGTTCTCACTTCTAGCCTAATGTTTGTTTTATCTTGGTTGCTGCAGTGTTTGACTTCCTTTACTGCTTCTTCTATTTTTTCCTTCTCCTTGGCCACTTGTGCATAGGTGAGTTGCATATCTTTCTTGCACTGTTCTGTTCCCTGTGTAACTTCCTCCATCTGTGCTGACAACAGCTGTTTCTCCTGTTGAATTTCCTTACCTAACCTATTGTAGTCATTTATGTTTAAATTTACTTTAACTTCTTCCAAAGCTATTTTTAAGAGTATATTTTCTTCTTCCATGGCTTTGCAATTTGTTTCCAATTGATTCTTATCCTTGCGCAAGTCTTTCACTAAACCCTCAAGACATACAACTTTCCTATTCAAATGGTCATTACATTCTTTCAATTTACTAATCATTTCTACATGAGAGTTCACTATAGTATCTAATTTTACCAACTTGTTGTGTAGACTGCTATTATCAATGCTTTCTTCATTGAATCCCACAAAATCAAGCTCCGTTTTGTTTTTCCTCCTTCTGGCGGCCATCTTGAATGTTCTTCTCTGCACTGGAAACACTAGTATGTGTGTGTGTGTGTGTGTGTGTGTGTGTGTGTGTGTGTGGTGGAGGCTGATCCATACACAGTTTCAAGTGTAGATATGATAGAGCCCAATAGGCTCAGGAATCTGTACATCAGTTGATTGACAGTTGAGAGGCGGGACCAAAGAGCCAGAGCTCAACCCCCGCAAACACAACTAGGTGAGTACAAATCATGTAAACTATTTATTTTCGTATAGATGATGGGATGACTGGTCCGGCAGTGTTGCAGTGATATACACATGGAGGCAGTAATGCACAGCTGTAATGTACATAGTGCAGCAGTGATGTCTATATTACTGCATCATCTGCAGTAATGCACAGAGTAAAGCAGTGATACACATGGTAGAGAGTGGTGTACAGAGTAAAGCAGTGATGCACAGAGCAAAGCAGTAATACACATGGTAGAGAGTGGTGTACAGAGTAAAGCAGTGATGCACAGAGTAAAGCAGTGATACACATGGTAGAGAGTGGTGTACAGAGTAAAGCAGTGATACACATGGTAGAGAGTGGTGTACAGAGTAAAGCAGTGATACACATGGTAGAGAGTGGTGTACAGAGTAAAGCAGTGATACACATGGTAGAGAGTGGTGTACAGAGTAAAGCAGTGATACACATGGTAGAGAGTGGTGTACAGAGTAAAGCAGTGATACACATGGTAGAGAGTGGTGTACAGAGTAAAGCAGTGATACACATGGTAGAGAGTGGTGTACAGAGTAAAGCAGTGATACACATGGTAGAGAGTGGTGTACAGAGTAAAGCAGTGATGCACAGAGTAAAGCAGTGATACACAGAGTAAAGCAGTGATACACAGAGTAAAGCAGTGATACACATGGTAGAGAGTGGTGCACAGAGTAAAGCAGTGATACACAGAGCAAAGCAGTGATACACATGGTAGAGAGTGGTGTACAGAGTAAAGCAGTGATGCACAGAGCAAAGCAGTGATACACATGGTAGAGAGTGGTGTACAGAGTAAAGCAGTGATGCACAGAGCAAAGCAGTGATACACATGGTAGAGAGTGGTGTACAGAGTAAAGCAGTGATACACAGAGCAAAGCAGTGATACACATGGTAGAGAGTGGTGTACAGAGTAAAGCAGTGATGCACAGAGCAAAGCAGTGATAAACATGGTAGAGAGTGGTGTACAGAGTAAAGCAGTGATGCACAGAGCAAAGCAGTGATACACATGGTAGAGAGTGGTGTACAGAGTAAAGCAGTGATGCACAGAGCAAAGCAGTGATACACATGGTAGAGAGTGGTGTACAGAGTAAAGCAGTGATGCACAGAGCAAAGCAGTGATACACATGGTAGAGAGTGGTGTACAGAGTAAAGCAGTGATACACATGGTAGAGAGTGGTGTACAGAGCAAAGCAGTGATACACATGGTAGAGAGTGGTGTACAGAGTAAAGCAGTGATGCACAGAGTAAAGCAGTGATACACATGGTAGAGAGTGGTGTACAGAGTAAAGCAGTGATACACATGGTAGAGAGTGGTGTACAGAGTAAAGCAGTGATACACATGGGAGAGAGTGGTGTACAGAGTAAAGCAGTGATACACATGGTAGAGAGTGGTGTACAGAGTAAAGCAGTGATACACATGGTAGAGAGTGGTGTACAGAGTAAAGCAGTGATACACATGGTAGAGAGTGGTGTACAGAGTAAAGCAGTGATACACATGGTAGAGAGTGGTGTACAGAGTAAAGCAGTAATGCACAGAGCAAAGCAGTGATGCACAGAGTAAAGCAGTGATGCACAGAGTAAAGCAGTGATGCACAGAGTAAAGCAGTGATGCACAGAGTAAAGCAGTGATGCACAGAGTAAAGCAGTGATGCACAGAGTAAAGCAGTGATGCACATATTACAGCACTTAAAACTTAAGTGCTGTACTTATATTACAACACTTACAACTGACATAAATCTTGACAGTTTTAAGTGAGATATCATTAATATCTGAGGAAGTGGTGGGAGTTAAGTACAGGGACTCAAGATAGCGGCCTGCGGTAAGACAGCGGTAAGACTCAAGATAGCGGCCTGCAAGATAGTCCTCAACACTGGTCTGGGATGCTGGGAGGTCATCAGTAGACGAGGCGCCAGTGGACGAGAAGAAGATATGGACTTTAACGTGGGCGAGAGATGACAACTTACCCTACCATCACAACGGAAGGTGTCGACAATATTCCTCCTGATGTTGGTGGCATTATGTACCAGTCTGTCGATGAGAGGAGGAAGGTCGCCCTTGGCCCTGATGAGTCGAGCTCCCGGAGGGGCGCCGCTGATGACGGAGGTGACGATGGTCTCCGTGTAGAGCAGTCGGGACTCCCGCGGGTAGGGCAGGGCCGTCCCTGGCACCCAGCACCCAGCCACGAGCAGCGCTGTGGGGGAGGAGCAGATCTTGTCAGTCTGGGGGTCCCTTGGGGGCCCTTATGTTGGGCTGTGGGCGGAGGAGCCCATCTTGTCAGTCTGGGGGTCCCTTGGTGGGGCCCTTATGTTGGGCTGTGGGCGGAGGAGCCCATCTTGTCAGTCTGGGGGTCCCTTGGTGGCCCTTATGTTGGGCTGTGGGCGGAGGAGCCCATCTTGTCAGTCTGGGGGTCCCTTGGGGGCCCTTATGTTGGGCTGTGGGCGGAGGAGCCCATCTTGTCAGTCTGGGGGTCCCTTGGTGGCCCTTATGTTGGGCTGTGGGCGGAGGAGCCCATCTTGTCAGTCTGGGGGTCCCTTGGGGGCCCTTATGTTGGGCTGTGGGCGGAGGAGCCCATCTTGTCAGTCTGGGGGTCCCTTGGTGGGGCCCTTATGTTGGGCTGTGGGCGGAGGAGCCCATCTTGTCAGTCTGGGGGTCCCTTGGGGGCCCTTATGTTGGGTTGTCAGTCTGGGGGTCCCTTGGAGGGCCCTTATGTTGGGTTGTCAGTCTGGGGGTCCCTTGGAGGGCCCTTATGTTGGGTTGTCAGTCTGGGGGTCCCTTGGAGGGCCCTTATGTTGGGTTGTCAGTCTGGGGGTCCCTTGGAGGGCCCTTATGTTGGGTTGTCAGTCTGGGGGTCCCTTGGAGGGCCCTTATGTTGGGTTGTCAGTCTGGGGGTCCCTTGGAGGGCCCTTATGTTGGGTTGTCAGTCTGGGGGTCCCTTGGAGGGCCCTTATGTTGGGTTGTCAGTCTGGGGGTCCCTTGGAGGGCCCTTATGTTGGGTTGTCAGTCTGGGGGTCCCTTGGAGGGCCCTTATGTTGGGTTGTCAGTCTGGGGGTCCCTTGGAGGGCCCTTATGTTGGGTTGTCAGTCTGGGGGTCCCTTGGAGGGCCCTTATGTTGGGTTGTCAGTCTGGGGGTCCCTTGGAGGGCCCTTATGTTGGGTTGTCAGTCTGGGGGTCCCTTGGAGGGCCCTTATGTTGGGTTGTCAGTCTGGGGGTCCCTTGGAGGGCCCTTATGTTGGGTTGTCAGTCTGGGGGTCCCTTGGAGGGCCCTTATGTTGGGTTGTCAGTCTGGGGGTCCCTTGGAGGGCCCTTATGTTGGGTTGTCAGTCTGGGGGTCCCTTGGAGGGCCCTTATGTTGGGTTGTCAGTCTGGGGGTCCCTTGGAGGGCCCTTATGTTGGGTTGTCAGTCTGGGGGTCCCTTGGAGGGCCCTTATGTTGGGTTGTCAGTCTGGGGGTCCCTTGGAGGGCCCTTATGTTGGGTTGTCAGTCTGGGGGTCCCTTGGAGGGCCCTTATGTTGGGTTGTGGGCGGAGGAGCCCATCTTGTCAGTCTGGGGGTCCCTTGGAGGGCCCTTATGTTGGGTTGTCAGTCTGGGGGTCCCTTGGAGGGCCCTTATGTTGGGTTGTCAGTCTGGGGGTCCCTTGGTGGGGCCCTTATGTTGGGCTGTGGGCGGAGGAGCCCATCTTGTCAGTCTGGGGGTCCCTTGGTGGCCCTTATGTTGGGCTGTGGGCGGAGGAGCCCATCTTGTCAGTCTGGGGGTCCCTTGGGGGCCCTTATGTTGGGCTGTGGGCGGAGGAGCCCATCTTGTCAGTCTGGGGGTCCCTTGGTTGGGCCCTTATGTTGGGCTGTGGGCGGAGGAGCCCATCTTGTCAGTCTGGGGGTCCCTTGGGGGCCCTTATGTTGGGTTGTCAGTCTGGGGGTCCCTTGGAGGGCCATTATGTTGGGTTGTCAGTCTGGGGGTCCCTTGGAGGGCCCTTATGTTGGGTTGTCAGTCTGGGGGTCCCTTGGAGGGCCCTTATGTTGGGTTGTCAGTCTGGGGGTCCCTTGGAGGGCTCTTATGTTGGGTTGTCAGTCTGGGGGTCCCTTGGAGGGCCCTTATGTTGGGTTGTCAGTCTGGGGGTCCCTTGGAGGGCCCTTATGTTGGGTTGTCAGTCTGGGGGTCCCTTGGAGGGCCCTTATGTTGGGTTGTCAGTCTGGGGGTCCCTTGGAGGGCCCTTATGTTGGGTTGTCAGTCTGGGGGTCCCTTGGAGGGCCCTTATGTTGGGTTGTCAGTCTGGGGGTCCCTTGGAGGGCCCTTATGTTGGGTTGTCAGTCTGGGGGTCCCTTGGAGGGCCCTTATGTTGGGTTGTCAGTCTGGGGGTCCCTTGGAGGGCCCTTATGTTGGGTTGTCAGTCTGGGGGTCCCTTGGAGGGCCCTTATGTTGGGTTGTCAGTCTGGGGGTCCCTTGGAGGGCCCTTATGTTGGGTTGTCAGTCTGGGGGTCCCTTGGAGGGCCCTTATGTTGGGTTGTCAGTCTGGGGGTCCCTTGGAGGGCCCTTATGTTGGGTTGTCAGTCTGGGGGTCCCTTGGAGGGCCCTTATGTTGGGTTGTCAGTCTGGGGGTCCCTTGGAGGGCCCTTATGTTGGGTTGTCAGTCTGAGGGTCCCTTGGAGGGCCCTTATGTTGGGTTGTCAGTCTGGGGGTCCCTTGGAGGGCCCTTATGTTGGGTTGTCAGTCTGGGGGTCCCTTGGAGGGCCCTTATGTTGGGTTGTCAGTCTGGGGGTCCCTTGGAGGGCCCTTATGTTGGGTTGTCAGTCTGGGGGTCCCTTGGAGGGCCCTTATGTTGGGTTGTCAGTCTGGGGGTCCCTTGGAGGGCCCTTATGTTGGGTTGTCAGTCTGGGGGTCCCTTGGAGGGCCCTTATGTTGGGTTGTCAGTCTGGGGGTCCCTTGGAGGGCCTTTATTTGGGTTGTCAGTCTGGGGGTCCCTTGGAGGGCCCTTATGTTGGGTTGTCAGTCTGGGGGTCCCTTGGAGGGCCCTTATGTTGGGTTGTCAGTCTGGGGGTCCCTTGGAGGGCCCTTATGTTGGGTTGTCAGTCTGGGGGTCCCTTGGAGGGCCCTTATGTTGGGTTGTCAGTCTGGGGGTCCCTTGGAGGGCCCTTATGTTGGGTTGTCAGTCTGGGGGTCCCTTGGAGGGCCCTTATGTTGGGTTGTCAGTCTGGGGGTCCCTTGGAGGGCCCTTATGTTGGGTTGTCAGTCTGGGGGTCCCTTGGAGGGCCCTTATGTTGGGTTGTCAGTCTGGGGGTCCCTTGGAGGGCCCTTATGTTGGGTTGTCAGTCTGGGGGTCCCTTGGAGGGCCCTTATGTTGGGTTGTCAGTCTGGGGGTCCCTTGGAGGGCCCTTATGTTGGGTTGTCAGTCTGGGGGTCCCTTGGAGGGCCCTTATGTTGGGTTGTCAGTCTGGGGGTCCCTTGGAGGGCCCTTATGTTGGGTTGTCAGTCTGGGGGTCCCTTGGAGGGCCCTTATTTGGGTTGTCAGTCTGGGGGTCCCTTGGAGGGCCCTTATGTTGGGTTGTCAGTCTGGGGGTCCCTTGGAGGGCCCTTATGTTGGGTTGTCAGTCTGGGGGTCCCTTGGAGGGCCCTTATGTTGGGTTGTCAGTCTGGGGGTCCCTTGGAGGGCCCTTATGTTGGGTTGTCAGTCTGGGGGTCCCTTGGAGGGCCCTTATGTTGGGTTGTCAGTCTGGGGGTCCCTTGGAGGGCCCTTATGTTGGGTTGTCAGTCTGGGGGTCCCTTGGAGGGCCCTTATGTTGGGTTGTCAGTCTGGGGGTCCCTTGGAGGGCCCTTATGTTGGGTTGTCAGTCTGGGGGTCCCTTGGAGGGCCCTTATGTTGGGCTGTCAGTCTGGGGGTCCCTTGGAGGGCCCTTATGTTGGGTTGTCAGTCTGGGGGTCCCTTGGAGGGCCCTTATGTTGGGCTGTGGGGCTTGGTCAACTGTTTAAGACGGCAGCCCCCCCCCCCAACACACACACCTCTTGTTGTTCCTCTGTGTCCTCGCTATCTCTGGTCTGTCTGTCTGTCTGTCTGTCTGTCTGTCTGTCTGTCTGTCTGTCTGTCTGTCTGTCTGTCTGTCTGTCTGTCTGTCTCTCTCTCTCTCTCTCTCTCTCTCTCAGTCCTACAGGCCAATAGGGCTGTCAGTGCAAGTACTTAATAAAAATGCAAGCATGACCTGTTATCCTGTATCAGTTCATCCGAAGCCCGCTCCTAGAGACTCATTTATTTCTTGAGATTATTCGAACCTAAGTAGCTATCTTATAAGGTACCTAGTGAAATTGCAAGCAAGATCTGTTATCCTATCTCATGTTATTTGAGGTCTGCAACCTAAAGACTCATTTATTTCATGAAATTATTATTTGAATCATTAGGAATAAACTTTATTTAGCTCTAAGTGACAATCATATAAGGAACAGGATAAGCCAGAAGCCAACTGTGTGCCAGAGCCTTCAGAGCTTCATACAAGGCTGTTCAACGCCTGCTGTCAACAAGGCTGTTCAACGCCTGCTGTCAACAAGGCATAAGATGCACCGTTGGGCTGTAAGTGTCCTGGCTGCCTTGTGGGCTAGGGGTTAAGCACGGGGCTCGTCATTGGACCTGAAATGTCAAACTTCGTTGCCATAGGAGCTGGCAGAAGAACTATGCCTACCGCTGAAACTACTTCCCACAAAATCTCTAGACCAAGGGATAGTTCCCCTAAATTAGAAATATGTAAAATGTCACCCATATTTTAAAAAAAGGCAGAAAGAGCTCAGCAGAAAACTACCGTCCGATCAGCTTGACATGACACATCTGCACAAGCTCCCGGAGAGTATCCTGAGGGAGGGAGTCATTCACCATCTTGCAGTGAACAATCTTGTAAAACTGACGCAACAAGAGTGTGTTAAACACAGATCCTGCCTTACAAACCTGCTCACATTGTCGGGAACGGTCACCAGCTACTCAGACAAGGGACTTCCAGTGGATGTAGTATACAAGGATTTTTACTAAAACCTTCCGTAAGGTACCACATGAAAGACTGGCAATGAAATTACAGGCACATGGAAAAACTGGTAGAATACTAGAATGTATAAAACAAAGGTTAAAACAAACAAAAAACTATAGAAAGGAGAATCAGATTGTTGAAAAAGATGTTCTACAGGAGGGGGCTATACACGTCGCCCTGTGTATACCGGCACCAGCACACTGACTTTCTTACTTTCTTCCATTTAGGACTACTCTTAGAGTCCGTTGTTGATGGTAGTTCATTATTATCTCTATGGAGTCGGAGATACCTAGTACGAGTGTCGCTACTAATCCAGAGTGCCAGACCCGCTCAAAGGCTCTTGCTATGTCTACAGCAACAACACAGCTGATATTGGACTCATCCAAGATTGAACTTATCCAAGTGTGTGTGAAAATTAGGATTAAGGACTTGCCCGAAACGCTACACCGTGCTAGCGGCTGTACAAGAATGTAACAACTCTTGTGTATATATATATATATATATATATATATATATATATATATATATATATATATATATATATATATATATATATATATATATATATATATAAACAGTGATTGATGTTACTTAAAGGTGATATTAAGTAAGATATCAGACGCAGATCAGCCTTTTCTAAAATTATACTGTTGATCACATAGTAGCCGATGATGGAATATAAATTAAGTCATTTGCTGAGAAATTAATATTCTCTCTCTCTCTCTCTCTTTGTCTCTCTCTTTTTCTTTCTCTTTCTCTCTGTCTGTTTCTGTCTGTCTGTTTCTGTCTGTCTGTTTCTGTCTGTCTGTTTCTGTCTGTCTGTTTCTGTCTGTCTGTTTCTGTCTCTCTCTCTCTCTCTCTCTCTCTCTCTCTCTCTCTCTCTCTCTCTCTCTCTCTCTCTCTCTCTCTCTCTCTCTCTCTCTCTCTCTCTCTCTCTCTCTCTCCATCTCTCAGTTTCAAACATCTCAGGTTACAATATTGAGGGGTGGAAGCTCTGGGGTTCAAAGACCCCAGAGAGGCAACATTCCAGCCACACACATATCCTGGATGGGAACACTTGACCAGGCATGGAGCAGTACTGGGGCAGCCTCACCACGTACCTGTGATCGCTGCACCACTCAACATCTCGCACCCTGGAATAACGAAAATAATAAAAATAATAATCTATAGTTATGTAAAATACATATGAAGCGTGATTGTGGGCCATTCGAAGGTACACAATATAACTGATATAAGGCCACTAATATGCAGGGGGTTTCCGGCATAATATAAAATGTGATAGACATATTAAGGACGTATTAGGTGATCCACGTCCCAGTCATATAAATTGTAAACACGATCAACTTTTACGTAACACAACATAAGTGAACATAACACAATATAAGTCTGGGTACAGCACAAGAATATCTTCCAATATTCCTGAGTGTATGAAGTAATTACAGAGCTCAAAGCACCTCATACCATTTGGTCTGAAGTCACTGATAACAGGACAATCACAGTTATAGTCTTGGAGAGTATGTCCTCTCAAGTAGGACTGAAAACAGATGTTTTTTCACCCAGCGGGTTATAAACCCATGGAGCGGCCTACCCGCTGAAGCCGTAAAGGCCGAAATCCAGCTAGAAAATATCATTAAGACAATTGGCGGGACTTAATAAGCCCTCGGTTTTTTGTCCTCGTCGAGGCCACTAGATAGTTAGTAACCCTTGGGTAAATTTAGGTAAATATATACGTAAATAAGTACCATCGCTTCTAAATCTTGGGAGCGACAAGGACAGCTATACAGGGTCTCTTAGAATTACGTAGGCAAACAAAAAATGTAACATATTTGTTTACTACAATGTCGGTGCTGCCTGTAGAAGTTGAAAAACATAGTTTTACTTCGAAATGCCTGTACCCCAGCCTCCATGTTGCCTGTACCCCAGCCTCCATGTTGCCTGTACCCTACAGGAACGTCCTGCCCACCTAACCTACCAGAGGACCCTTAACTTACTGCTATGCAAACTGTTACGGCCCTATTGGGTCGCAACTGGGTTCTTCTCTGATGTTATTAGAGTTTGGGTATCCGGCCCCAAGCTAGTAGTGGCTTTCAAGGGGTGCGTTCCGTAACGCAAGTAAATTAAAGGGGAAGGGATACAAATGCACTGCTTTTGTATATATATTGCTACCACCACCATAAATATATCACAGTCACACGCGGGGTTGCTATAACTACACTTATTATATACAAATTAGTCTTCCTCTGAAGACACAGGATGCTCCACGGTGCTCAAGATGAGTAGCCCTGGTTCTCTTCTTCGTGGCCCACGATGAATCCTCTGATTCTCTCGGCAAATCTACCCCGGCCACAGGCCAGCCGAATCACAGTCCCACTGGGTGCACCGTCGTGGAGACCTTCAGCCACAAATCCAGCCTGTATCTGGCAGGTTCCGATCAGCTCCGCTGTGTAGGCCACTCCACGATCGATACTAGGGTTGCAAGCCCTAGGCAGGAGCCTTGTGTGATTCCGCAGATCACTCTCCTCTCTCCGCACCACAGTGGGTAGTCTCTTCCACCAGCCAGCCCCCAGATAAGACGATTCCTGGTACTGCCACGTCACAGGCAGGCTAACACACTCAACAGTGTTCGTCCGGGGGTGACTCACAGCTTCTGCAGCAAACACGTGGAGAGACTTTGGCTGCTTTGGGTAGACTGATCCATCGTCCAATACAGCAGTCCCAGGTCGACTCTGTAATCAGACACGTCATTAGTACTGGGCCTAGGGAACCTCACTTACAGGCTTAGACACAAACGTCCACCTATCCACTCCATAGATGGCGTTGCTGTCTAAGCGCCACCTCACCAGAGGTCCGCAGCGGCTACGTTATGAGCTGATCAAGACGGGAATCCAGCACCTATGACCAGTATATCTCGTCCTCACTAGATGGCGCTGTCCATTTGGAGTGGGTTTCGGGAGCAGACTCACAGATGGCGTTGTCGTCACTGCTCCGTGCTACGACGCTGGACTCGGGTCCGTAACACAAACAAAAAAACAAATTGAAATTACGTCCATTTTCGACCATACGGACAAACGGCCAAATTCAGACGTCAGTTGTAAGAGGAGAGGTCGAGCATCAGTAACCACAACGTCACGCCCCATCATGGTCATCAATCAAAATCTTCGAGGAAGCAAAACACAGGCTGCCTTATGGAGGACTACAGCCATCATCGTTATTTACTCCACCCACCAGATTGGTTGGAACTTTAACTATAAACCGGTATATATATATATATATATATATATATATATATATATATATATATATATATATATATATATATATATATATATATATATATATATATATATATATATGTATGTAGGAGGGAGGTTGAGTGCTCAGCCTGAAGAATCGCCAGTCGCCAGGTGTTGAGAATGTCATGGCATATATGACCTGTAGAGTGGAGGTGAGGGTCCGGGGCGTCCCTGCTGGAGGTGAGGGTCCGCGGCGTCCCTGCTGGAGGTGAGGGTCCGGGGCGTCCCTGCTGGAGGTGAGGGTCCGGGGCGTCCCTGCTGGAGGTGAGGGTCCGAGGCGTCCCTGCTGGAGGTGAGGGTCCGAGGCGTCCCTGCTGGAGGTGATGGTCCGAGGCGTCCCTGCTGGAGGTGAGGGTCCGAGGCGTCCCTGCTGGAGGTGAGGGTCCGAGGCGTCCCTGCTGGAGGTGAGGGTCCGAGGCGTCCCTGCTGGAGGTGAGGGTCCGAGGCGTCCCTGCTGGAGGTGAGGGTCCGAGGCGTCCCTGCTGGAGGTGAGGGTCCGAGGCGTCCCTGCTGGAGGTGAGGGTCCGAGGCGTCCCTGCTGGAGGTGATGGTCCGAGGCGTCCCTGCTGGAGGTGAGGGTCCGAGGCGTCCCTGCTGGAGGTCAGGGTCCGAGGCGTCCCTGCTGGAGGTGAGGGTCCGGGGCGTCCCTGCTGGAGGTGAGGGTCCGAGGCGTCCCTGCTGGAGGTGAGGGTCCGAGGCGTCCCTGCTGGAGGTGAGGGTCCGGGGCGTCCCTGCTGGAGGTGAGGGTCCGAGGCGTCCCTGCTGGAGGTGAGGGTCCGAGGCGTCCCTGCTGGAGGTGAGGGTCCGAGGCGTCCCTGCTGGAGGTGAGGGTCCGAGGCGTCCCTGCTGGAGGTGATGGTCCGAGGCGTCCCTGCTGGAGGTCAGGGTCCCAGGCGTCCCTGCTGGAGGTCAGGGTCCGAGGCGTCCCTGCTGGAGGTCAGGGTCCGAGGCGTCCCTGCTGGAGGTGAGGGTCCGAGGCGTCCCTGCTGGAGGTGAAGGTCCGAGGCGTCCCTGCTGGAGGTCAGGGTCCGAGGCGTCCCTGCTGGAGGTCAGGGTCCCAGGCGTCCCTGCTGGAGGTGAGGGTCCCAGGCGTCCCTGCTGGAGGTGAGGGTCCCAGGCGTCCCTGCTGGAGGTGATGGTCCCAGACGTCCCTGCTGGATGTCAGGTGCCCAGGCGTCCCTGCTGGAGGTCAGGTGCCCAGGCGTCCCTGCTGGAGGTGAGGGTCCCAGGCGTCCCTGCTGGAGGTGATGGTCCCAGGCGTCCCTGCTGGATGTCAGGTGCCCAGGCGTCCCTGCTGGAGGTCAGGTGCCCAGGCGTCCCTGCTGGAGGTCCCCCAGTGCTGGGATGGGTCAGCTGGCTCCACCGTGTAAGGTCAACTGTTGTTGGTGGTGAATAGTGACTCATTGATCAGGGAAGACTTTAGTCAACTGTGAATTAGGGATGCATGATATTAGTGTTGTGTGGACCGGTGTGTGTCCGGGCTGTGGACCGGGTCGGGTCCAGGGCTGGACCGGTATATGGTTCGGGAGTATGGTGGCACATATGGGCATTTAATGTAAATTATTTATTTTAATTTACATTTAATAAATTCTTATTTATTGTTGAGCTTCAGAAATCTTTCCTTGTAAATTCATTGACACGAGCAGAGCGGGTCGTGTTAGAGAGCCCGGGTGAGAGTGTGTTGATACATGTTCACGTGGGTCGTGGGGACATTACCACTAACTAATACTTCACACTACAATGTGTTCATTTATCTTTTTAACAATGACGGCCCATACTAAGTACATTGTCATCATATTACCCCTACCCTATGTTGTCACCTGTGGACCCCCACAACCATGTTGTCACCTGTGGACCCCACAACCATGTTGTCACCTGTGGACCCCACAACCATGTTGTCACCTGTGGACCCCACAACCATGTTGTCACCTGTGGACCCCACAACAAAACAGACCGAACTACCACAAGTGAGAGTAGCCATTGCAGCGACTAAGACATAACAATCCTCAATCCCTAAATTGTCATTTATTTATTTATTTATTTATTTATTTATTTATTTATTTATTTATTGATACAAGAGTTGTTACATTCGTGTACAGCCAGTAGCAGGCATAGCGTTCCGGGCAAGTCCTTAATCCTAAGCGAGGACTTGTCATTGTCATATAAGTGATAACTGGAGACATTCAGTTCAACACACTCTTAAGTGGTTCTTATCTTGTTAGTAAAGTGAGTACAATACAAGGTGTCCGTGTCAGGGACCCCTTGACAGTCCTTCCAGGATGGGTCCTTGTGGAGGGAGTTATGGACAAGCAGTCCCCTTAAGGGACTCTCTCTCTGGCACTTTAGTCCTCTTCACGCCGCTTGATTTATGACGTTGGATACTGATGGAAGAGGGCTTTTGACCCCTCCTCTCTCTCTCTCTCTCTCTCTCACTCTTCCCCTTCCCTGCGCCTCCCCTTCCCTGGGGCCAGCCTGTACGGGTGTCAGGGCTGAGATACGATAATAACGATGTTTAAATAAAGTGAGGTAGGAGGGAGAGGACAGGCCACGGGGGGCGGACAAGAGCCCCAGCCACAAACAGGTCCAACCTCCCCTCATTATAACTCATAACAATATGAGAATATCAACTAGGCATGTGATAACAGAGTAGTTGACATGAGGAGATAATGAGAGAAGTATCAGACCAGGTACACGAAGATGATGGGTTGCTGGGGGCAGGTGCTGGTGAGGCTCACAACCTGCTGGTTGGTGCCCTCTTCCAGGACAACCACCCCTCAACCACCCCTCACCCACTCCCCCCTCAACCACCCCTCAGCCACTCCCCCCTCAACCACCCCTCAGCCACTCCCCCTATGCCCCAGCACTACGCCTTGTGTCACAGGGCTCGGACCTTAGCCCTAGCACTAGACCCTGTGCACTAGGGGCTAGGTTCTCTCTCACTTGTTTACAACACACACACTTAAGATTTACACAGAGGACCGAACAGCAAATTTTTCAGACTGTACAAAAATGCAGTGAAAATAAGTTCAAATTATTGTGTTGTTGATTTAGGGGCGAGACGATCGAGTCCTCTTATAAAGAACGTCGCATTTCGATCGTATGCGTTACATAAGGCCAAATATTGTCGTGTATGAAAATGGAACCAGCTCGCGAAAGTTATGTACTGTCTCGTTTTCTGTTTTGGGTCTTCTGATAGATTAGGTCATGTGTTAGGTCCTCTGGTAGGCCAAGGACCCTACAGGCTCTTCAGTCCACGGACCTTACAGGCACTTCAGGCCACGGACCCTACAGGCACTTCAGGCCACGGCCGTGACGAACGAAGCGGAAGGCATGACGAAGAATGTCACAACGGACATCTTCATATCTCCCGCCCGCTCCGTCTAGAGAACGGGAACCGTGAGGCGGGGGATTCAAAATATTCAAAACTGTTATGAGACGATCTGGGTAGACTTTTAATATATATGAAAAATTGACAGATGTAGTTTAATGTTAACAAATGTAGGGTTCTGAGGCCAGGTAATGATAGTATAATTCACAGACGTCAGCTGGATAATGCTGAAATTTCCAGATGTGAATACAAGAAATCTCCAAAAGTCTCCATAAGTAGGAATCTTAGTCCAAAAGTCAATGTTTAAATATATAAATATATGGAATATGGGAAATAAGACCATGGGATTCATATGGAGAAAACTTAGAAGTAAGATATATATAATGGTAGTCCTCAACTCCAGCTGTCCTTGTTAGGCACCATTAACATTACATTAATAGTGTGGCTGCACCATAGAATTAAGGGCAGACTAAAGCTAACACAGAGAAGGATGACAAAGTTAATCCCATGAACTACATATCTTCAATATCAAGACAGATCAACACAACTTAATTGACATTCTCTAGAGCAGACAATAAGTCACAACAACGTGGTTACAAATTAGACATCCAACCCACAAATATTAAAAAACAAATAATGACGACGTTTTGGTCCGTCCTGGACCACTATTAGGTCGTATAATAATGGTCCAGGATGGACCGAAACGTCAGTTATTTTATTTTCATATATGTGGGTTGGGTGTCAAGCTTTGTAGAGAGAAGCAGAGTAAATGGAGCCATGACTGACACACACAGACGAGTGAAGGGGAGAATAAACTGTTACAAATATAAACTACAACAGAAAACGAAACGAAGGATATCAATTGGAAAAGTTTAGGTGCAGGAAAGGCCTGGGTAAATACTGGTTTGTAAGACACTGTTGTCACTTTAAGGAACCAATTACCAGGTAAGATAGTAAACGTGGGTCCTCGGTAGTGTTTCAAGTGTAGCTTGGACATATATATGAATGGGTTTGGGTGGATATAAATAGATGCTGCCTCGTATGGGTCAATAATCCTTCTAAACTTTGTTTAATTTGTATGTACTTATACATGGGGGTACGTATACAGTATCCATGTAGTATACACAGGTTATAAATGCAGTATACATATAGTATACAACCGAGGAAATGCTATATGTATGTTCCAGTATATTAATTGATATTTCAGACAAATGTGGAGGAGTTAATGATAGATGAAGCATCAACAGTATCAGTAGTGGATGAAGCACCAACAGTATCAGTAGTGGATGAAGCACCAACAGTAGTGGATGAAGCACCAACAGTATTAGTAGTGGATGAAGCACCAACAGTAGTGGATGAAGCACCAACAGTAGTGGATGAAGCACTAACAGTATCAGTTGTGGATGAAGCACCAGCAGTATCAGTAGTAGATGAAGCACCAACAGTAGTGGATGAAGCACCAACAGTATCAGTAGTGGATGAAGCACCAACAGTATCAGTAGTGGATGAAGCACCAACAGTATCAGTAGTGGATGAAGCACCAACAGTATCAGTAGTGGATGAAGCACCAACAGTATCAGTAGTGGATGCAGCACCAGCAGTATCAGTAGTGGATGAAGCACCAACAGTATCAGTAGTGGATGAAGCACCAACAGTATCAGTAGTGGATGAAGCACCAACAGTATCAGTAGTGGATGAAGCACCAACAGTATCAGTAGTGGATGAAGCACCACCAGTATTGGATGCAGCACCAGCAGTATCAGTAGTGGATGAAGCACCAACAGTATCAGTAGTGGATGAAGCACCAACAGTATCAATAGTGGATGAAGCACCAACAGTATCAGTAGTGGATGAAGCACCAACAGTATCAGTAGTGGATGAAGCACCAACAGTATCAGTAGTGGATGAAGCACCAACAGTAGTGGATGAAGCACCAACAGTATCAGTAGTGGATGAAGCACCAACAGTATCAGTAGTGGATGAAGCACCAACAGTATCAGTAGTGGATGAAGCACCAACAGTATCAGTAGTGGATGAAGCACCAACAGTATCAGTAGTGGATGAAGCACCAACAGTATCAGTAGTGGATGAAGCATCAACAGTAGTGGATGAAGCACCAACAGTATCAGTAGTGGATGAAGCACCAACAGTATCAGTAGTGGATGATGCACCAACAGTAGTGGGTGAAGCACCAACAGTATCAGTAGTGGATGAAGCACCAACAGTAGTGGATGAAGCACCAACAGTAGTGGATGAAGCACCGACAGTATCAGTAGTGGATGAAGCACCAACAGTATCAGTAGTGGATGAAGCATCAACAGTATCAGTAATGGATGAAGCACCAACAGTATCAGTAGTGGATGAAGCATCAACAGTATCAGTAATGGATGAAGCACCAACAGTATCAGTAGTGGATGAAGCACCAACAGTATCAGTAGTGGATGAAGCACCAACAGTAGTGGATGAAGCACCAAAAGTAGTGGATGAAGCACCAACAGTATCAGTAGTGGATGAAGCACCAACAGTAGTGGATGAAGCACCAACAGTAGTGGATGAAGCACCAAAAGTAGTGGATGAAGCACCAACAGTATCAGTAGTGGATGAAGCACCAACAGTATCAGTAGTGGATGAAGCACCAACAGTAGTGGATGAAGCACCAACAGTATTGGATGAAGCACCAAAAGTAGTGGATGAAGCACCAACAGTATCAGTAGTGGATGAAGCACCAACAGTATCAGTAGTGGATGAAGCACCAACAGTATCAGTAGTGGATGAAGCACCAACAGTAGTGGATGAAGCACCAACAGCATCAGTAGTGGATGAAGCACCAACAGTAGTGGATGAAGTACCAACAGTATCAGTAGTGGATGAAGCACCAACAGTATCAGTAGTGGATGAAGCACCAACAGTAGTGGATGAAGCACCAACAGTAGTGGATGAAGCACCAACAGTATCAGTAGTGGATGAAGCACCAACAGTAGTGGATGAAGCACCAACAGTAGTGGATGAAGCACCAACAGTAGGGGATGAAGCACCAACAGTATCAGTAGTGGATGAAGCACCAACAGTATCAGTAGTGGATGAAGCACCAACAGTATCAGTAGTGGATGAAGCACCAACAGTATCAGTAGTGGATGAAGCACCAACAGTATCAGTAGTGGATGAAGCACCAACAGTATCAGTAGTGGATGAAGCACCAACAGTATCAGTAGTGGATGAAGCACCAACAGTATCAGTAGTGGATGAAGCACCAACAGTAGTGGATGAAGCACCAACAGTAGTGGATGAAGCGCCAACAGTAGTGGATGAAGCACCAACAGTATCAGTAATGGATGAAGCACCAACAGTAGTGGATGAAGCTCCAACAGTAGTGGATGAAGCACCAACAGTAGTGGATGAAGCACCAAAAGTAGTGGATGAAGCACCAACAGTATCAGTAATGGATGAAGCACCAACAGTAGTGGATGAAGCTCCAACAGTAGTGGATGAAGCACCAACAGTAGTGGATGAAGCACCAAAAGTAGTGGATGAAGCACCAACAGTATCAGTAGTGGATGAAGCACCAGCAGTATCAGTAATGGATGAAGCACCAACAGTATCAGTAGTAGATAAAGTCCTCCAAGTATATATATATGAGAATGTCTGTGTCCAAGGCTGGAGGCAACATCCCTGGAGTTAGTCTCACCCAGCTCTTGAAGATGACCCTGGGGTGGTATGGGACTGTCATCAACTAGTCGGGTTCATCCCCCCAGTGCCCCCATTTATGAAGGATTAGCTCCTATTCACAATCCTAGTGATTGCAATATAACCTGAAATGCGGTCTTTGTTTTCCATAGAGTTTCTTAAGAGCTGTTCAGCCGCTCATTATATCCCAAATTAAACAGGAAGTAACCACATTGTTTTAAATTATATTGTTATAATATTGCACCAAAGTAATAGTTGTAATAAAGTGATTATGTTATGTTTGCTGGAATTGTTGGTTCTGAGAGAGAGAGAGAGAGAGAGAGAGAGAGAGAGAGAGAGAGAGAGAGAGAGAGAGAGAGAGAGAGAGAGAGAGAGAGAGAGAGAGAGAGAGAGAGAGAGATATGGGTGGATGATGGGAAAGAGCGGCAGAATGGGAGAGGGAACGAAAGGGGGCAGAAGATGAGAGCAGAGAGAGGATAGGGGAAAACGGGGAAGTGGCGAGTGAAGGGAGAGGAGGAGAAAGTGTGAGAGAGAGCAGAGAGGGGTATGGAGACAAGGGAAGAGAAGTACCCAGGTCCAGACAAGTACCTCCCATATAGTTGTAGCTATATACCAAAGTTCGTATATATTTGTAATAAGTATAATAGTAAAGGACATCAACCTTTAAACACAAATATAATCTTATATTTCAAGACACACTTTTTTTTAAGAAGTTTATTACCTAATACGAAAATTTACATAAATATTTTGAGCGGCAAAATATTGTGAAGTAGCGTTGATCAGTATCTATTTAACAGGCACATGCGCTCGGTAATTCCAGCTTGTTATATATAATTATACAAGTTACCTTTAGAACTTTTGTATGAAATATGTATATTCATATGTATGAGCGACCTTCAGTAATGGTTGAGGTGAACAAGTTGGGTGGTAACCATCTTGCCTCCCACCAGCCCGTCTTGGGGGGTGGTGCTGTACCCTCATTACTGCCACCCACCACCACCACCACCACCACCACCAGGGGTGGTGCTGTACCATCATTACTGCCACCCACCACCACCACCAGGGTGGTGCTGTACCCTCCTTACTGCCACCCACCACCACCACCACCACCAGGGTGGTGCTGTACCATCATTACTGCCACCCACCACCACCACCACCACCACCACCATCACCACCACCACCACCACCACCACCACCACCAGGGTGGTGCTGTACCCTCCTTACTGCCACCCACCACCACCACCACCACCAGGGTGGTGCTGTACCATCATTACTGCCACCCACCACCACCACCACCACCACCACCACCACCACCACCACCACCACCACCATCACCACCACCACCACCACCACCACCACCACCAGGGGTGGTGCTGTACCCTCCTTACTGCCACCCACCACCACCACCACCACCAGGGTGGTGCTGTACCATCATTACTGCCACCCACCACCACCACCACCACCACCACCACCACCACCACCACCACCACCACCACCACCACCACCACCACCACCAGGGTGGTGCTGTACCCTCCTTACTGCCACCCACCACCACCACCACCACCACCACCACCACCAGGGTGGTGCTGTACCCTCCTTACTGCCACCCACCACCACCACCACCACCACCACCACCACCACCACCCACCACCAGGGTGGTGCTGTACCCTCCTTACTGCCACCCACCACCACCACCACCACCACCACCACCACCACCACCACCACCAGGGTGGTGCTGTACCCTCCTTACTGCCACCCACCACCACCACCACCACCACCACCACCACCACCACCACCACCACCACCACCACCACCAGGGTGGTGCTGTACCCTCCTTACTGCCACCCACCACCACCACCACCACCACCACCACCACCACCACCACCACCACCACCACCACCAGGGTGGTGCTGTACCCTCCTTACTGCCACCCACCACCACCACCACCACCACCACCACCACCACCAGGGTGGTGCTGTACCATCATTACTGCCACCCACCACCACCACCACCACCACCACCACCACCACCACCACCACCACCACCACCAGGGTGGTGCTGTACCCTCCTTACTGCCACCCACCACCACCACCACCACCACCACCACCACCACCAGGGTGGTGCTGTACCATCATTACTGCCACCCACCACCACCCACCACCACCACCACCACCACCACCACCACCACCACCACCACCACCACCACCAGGGTGGTGCTGTACCCTCCTTACTGCCACCCACCACCACCACCACCACCACCACCACCACCACCAGGGTGGTGCTGTACCATCATTACTGCCACCCACCACCACCACCACCACCACCACCACCACCACCACCACCACCACCACCACCACCAGGGTGGTGCTGTACCCTCCTTACTGCCACCCACCACCACCACCACCACCACCACCACCAGGGTGGTGCTGTACCCTCCTTACTGCCACCCACCACCACCACCACCACCACCACCACCACCACCACCACCACCACCACCACCACCAGGGTGGTGCTGTACCCTCCTTACTGCCACCCACCACCACCACCACCACCACCACCACCACCACCAGGGTGGTGCTGTACCATCATTACTGCCACCCACCACCACCACCACCACCACCACCACCACCACCACCACCACCACCATCACCACCACCAGGGTGGTGCTGTACCCTCCTTACTGCCACCCACCACCACCACCACCACCACCACCACCACCACCACCACCACCACCAAGGTGGTGCTGTACCATCATTACTGCCACCCACCACCACCACCACCACCACCACCAGGGGTGGTGCTGTACCCTCCTTACTGTCACCCACCACCACCACCACCACCACCACCACCACCACCACCAGGGGTGGTGCTGTACCCTCCTTACTGCCACCCACCACCACCAGGGTGGTGCTGTACCATCATTACTGCCACCCACCACCACCACCACCACCAGGGGTGGTGCTGTACCCTCCTTACTGCCACCCACCACCACCACCACCACCACCACCACCACCACCACCAGGGGTGGTGCTGTACCCTCCTTACTGCCACCCACCACCACCACCACCACCACCACCAGGGTGGTGCTGTACCCTCCTTACTGCCACCCACCACCACCAGGGGTGGTGCTGTACCATCATTACTGCCACCCACCACCACCACCACCACCAGGGGTGGTGCTGTACCCTCCTTACTGCCACCCACCACCACCACCACCACCACCACCAGGGTGGTGCTGTACCCTCCTTACTGCCACCCACCACCACCAGGGGTGGTGCTGTACCCTCCTTACTGCCACCCACCACCACCAGGGGTGGTGCTGTACCCTCCTTACTGCCACCCACCACCACCACCACCACCAGGGGTGGTGCTGTACCCTCCTTACTGCCACCCACCACCACCAGGGGTGGTGCTGTACCCTCCTTACTGCCACCCACCACCACCAGGGGTGGTGCTGTACCCTCCTTACTGCCACCCACCACCACCACCACCACCAGGGGTGGTGCTGTACCCTCCTTACTGCCACCCACCACCACCAGGGGTGGTGCTGTACCATCATTACTACCGTCCAAAAGAGCACCGCTCCCGTGCCAGGTAAGTCCACTACGGGCTCTCCATAGCCCGTGCTACTTGGATCTTATTCCGAGTATATAGTTGAATCTATAACAACAACATACCGTCCTAAAGCACCCTTGAACTCCCCCCCTCTCCCAGCCCACCTTGCCTCCCCCCCCCGCAGCCCACCAGGCCTTCTCCACCCCCCCCCAGCCCACCAGGCCTCCTCCACCCCCCCCCCAGCCCACCTGGCCTCTAACCCCCCCCACCCCCCCCCTCCCCCCCCCACTAAGGTCATCTACCAGAATACAATATTCGAGGAAAAGAGAGGAACTT